ATCGGAAAATCAGAACTCAAATTTACTATAGATCTTCCTTGACTAAAAAGCACAACTGAAGCCAACATTTCCATCGCTAAGAAGATCATTGTTAAGTTTGTTTTGCCCAGTGGTGGGATTCAAATATGTGAACAACCGGTTCTCTGTGTGGATGTCACTTCCAGAAGTCCATTCTGGGCCTGGGCAACAAAAAAATAGCTACCGCATGTGCTGAAGTGGTGCGAACCGGCTGAATCCCACCACTGGTTTTGCCCCATTTTATGACCTTTCTTGCCACCATTGTTAAGTAAATCACTGCAATTGTTATGCTAGTGACACAGTTGTAAAATGAATCTTGCTTCCCCATTCACTTCGCTTGTGATGAGCCCAGGACACTGCAACCGTCATAAATGTGAGTCAGTTGTTAACTGTCTGAATTTTTATCCCATGGCCGTGGGGATGCTGCAAAGGTCATAAGTGTGAAAAATGGTTCTAGGTTACTCTTTTCAGTGCCATTGTAACTTTGAACAGTCATTAATAAATTATTGTAAGTTGAGAAATACCGATACTTCAGATTGAAAACTTAGAGGTTGTACAATTCTAAACCAGCAAGAAGAAAAAATGGAAAGGTATGTACTGAGGAGAGGTTTGAAGAGATTTTTTGTAACAATGATAATAAAGTTGAAAGGGACCTTGGAGGTCATCTAGTCCAAGCCCCTGCTCAGGCAGGAAACCCTACACCATTTCAGACAAATGGCTGTCCAGTCTCTTCTTAAAAACTTCCAGTGCTGGAGCATTCACCGCTTCTGGAGGCAGGTTGTTCCACTGGTTAATTGTTCTCACTGTCAGGAAGTTTCTCCTTAGTTCCAGGTTACTTTTTTCCTTGATTAGTTCCCATCCGTTGCTTCTTGTCCTGCCTTCAGGTGCTTTGGAGAAGAGCTTGACTCCCTCTTCTTTGGGGCAGCTCCTGAGATATTGGAACACTGCTATCATGTCCCCCCTCATCTTTCTCCCTTCCAACTTTATCATTATTATTATTATTATAGATTTTTTTCCAAAGGAACTGTGACTGTCTACTTATATGCATTATTGGTAGTTTAAGAAAAGCAATCTTCTTCTCCATCTCGTCTTCATGTTTGCTACTACCTTGGATGATTCTTTGAAGCTTTTGGATGTCCTTAAGGAAATAACTTGACTCTCTGTAAGAAGCCCTTTCTCTGCTCAAGAAAGTAATACCAACTCTTTGGTAGACATACTACGTGTCTCTTATTCTCTGCATATAACACAGAGATCTGCAATGGGGAGGCAGCCCACAACTATACTTGGATTTTGATGGCATGCTGGGGAACACATTTCCCAAAATGCTTGTAGCCAGTATCTTGGCAGGATCAGATGCAGAAACAAAATTTAATGTAACCTAAATTTATACTTAAATAAATTTTATGGGGAGCACACTTGGCTCCTGGACCCACAGGTATTTTTTAGTGGCACAATTATTTGCTTTCATAGTTATGAAGATGTCTACTTGCTGATTTCCCATGCCATCAACTAGCGATCCCTCCATGATTGGTATAAATTCAAAGATAGTCCGGATAAAATAATTAAAAATAATTAAAATAATAAATCTGTTTTAAAAGGTGTGATTTTATAAATACTAAAAAGAGATCAAAACTTTCACTTCATAAGGGATATCATACTGGATGCTTGGAATGGCAAGCATACACAGTAGGATTATCTTTGACTTCAGAAATGGGAGGAATTATATACAGGTAGTCCTCAACATACGACCATAATTGAATCCAAAACTTCTGTTGCTAAGTGAGACAGTTGTTAAGTGAGTTTTGCCCCATTTTACGACATTTCTTGCCACACTTGTTAAGTGAATCGCTGCAGTTATTAAATTAGCAACATGGTGGTTAAATATGGCTTCCCCATTGACTTTGCTTATCAGAGGTTTGCAATAAGGGATCACCTGACCCAGGGACACTGTAACCGTCATAAATATGAGTCAGTTGAATTTTGATCACATGACCACAGGGGTGCTGCAACAGTCGCAAGTGTGAAAAATGGTCATAAGTCACTTTTTTCACTGCCATTGTAACTGAACAGTCAGTAAACAAATGATTGTAAGTTGAGGACTACCTGTACAGGAAAGCAAGGTTTCCTCATTTTGGCAACTTGCAATGACAGAATAATAGAACTGAAAAAGATCTTATGGATCATATGATCCAATGACCTGCTCAGTGAAAGATCCACTAGAGCAGGGGTCTTCAAACTTGGCCCTTTTGTGACTTGTGGACTTCAACTCCCAGAATTCCTCAGCCAGGCACGTGTGCCTGGCTGAGGAATTCTTGGAGTTGAAGTCCACAAGTCACAAAAGCGCCAAGTTTGAAGACCTCTGGACTAGAGCCTCCTTAATTGAGGACCATCCAACTTTTGCTTTAAGGTATCTTGATGAAGGAGAACACAACATGTCATGTTCCACTGGTTGCCCTTTCTACAGTAGAAAGAATCCCTCTAAGCCCGACTCTCTTTCTCTGTAACCTTAACTCACTGGTTCTCATCCTGCCTTCTCTGTAAGAGCAAATAAGTCAGTGGTGGGATTCAAATATGTGAACAACCAGTTCTCTGTGTGGATTCAGCTTCCGGAAGTCCATTCTGGGCCTGGGCAACAAAAAATAGCTACCAGTTCTGCCAAACTGGTATGAACTGACTGCATCCCACCACTGAAATAGGTCCATTCCTTACTCTGTGTGTGATTTCAACTTTCAAAATTCCCCAGTTACTTTTTGGAGGGTTGGAAGTTGAATTCCACATTTGTAAGATGTCAAGTTTGGGAAAAATCTGATGTAGAAGATGGATCAAGTAATATTCAGTATTGGTTGGATGTGCGGACATATCGATCCATATCTCATCTATGGGCTGTATAACTTCTCAAGGTGTTTTGCCCTAGATCCCTTCAGCCTATAACCCAATAAAATAAACACTCTGTTCCTAAATAATGATTTGATCCTTCTTTCCTTCCTTCCTTCCTTCCTTCCTTCCTTCCTTCCTTCCTTCCTCCCTCCCTCCCTTCCTTCCTTCCTTCCTTCCTTCCTTCCTTCCTTCCTTCCTTCCTTCCTTCCTTCCACTCTCCCTCCCTTCCCCCCTTCCTTCTTTTTTCAACTTGAATGACTTTGAGCAGGCTGAATCTAAACCATTAAGCTGAGATTCAAACACCAAAACAGATAAATATATGGAACTCTGTATTGTTTGCAAAAAGAATTCCTTCCTTCCTTCCTTCCTTCCTTCCTTCCTTCCTTCCTTCCTTCCTTCCTTCCTTCCTTCCTATCTATCTATCTATCTATCTATCTATCTATCTATCTATCTATCTATCTATCTCTTCCTTCTAACTGGAAGGCACAGATTTTCTTTGTATTATTTCATCTATGACAGACATGTTGAATCCACGACGTCATGTGACATTGCGCGACATATCGGGACTATTTTGCCATTGCCGGCAATGGGGTAGGCGCGGCTTCCATGTGACGTGTCTGGCCCACGGGCCAGCAGTTTGACACCCCTGATCTATGACCATACATTGAATAAGCAAAATTAAACCAAATTAACATTCCTGGTCTGTGTTACTTCTTGCTTCCTCATAGCCTGATCTGCCTAATTTTGTAATTCTTCATTCAGTGGGATTTCTGTCTTAAAAGTTCAGATATCTAAATCTATTTTGCATCTTGATTAGCCTTTGATTAGCATTCCAAACTCTTAAAGTTCAATCAGAAAACAGTCAAAATGGACTGGGATAAAAGTTACACAATATATGATTTGGGATTTATTCCATCTGCTGACCCCAAAGCACCTTTTTCCTATACATCTACATTTCTAGATTTTGGAACAACTAGGCAGGAAACTGTTTAAGAGCTCTGTGTGGAACTCTATTAGCACCACTTCCAACCACAAACATCTTGAGGCAATGTTGCAGAAAATAAACCATTCACAAATGACAGAAGAGAAAATAAAGAAATAATAATAGTGAACATATATACACACACATATATATACATATATATATGCATATACATATAAACACACATACATCTCTGTGTTATAGTTATATATATAAACCTCCAGCCTCATTCAATATCAATCAAAGCTTGCCATTCAGAAAGAAAAGAAATAGCAAAGCTATTTCCTTTTTAAATAATCTGGCAAGCATATTTCCTTGCCAGAAAAAAAAAAATCTGTGCTTTATCTTCTAGAAACAAAACAAAGCAAACATTCTAATTACTTGGAGAATAGCCCACCTGCTATAAACACAATTTAGACACATTTTATGCACACGCACACAAGATAAAGAGAGAAATCTTGCTGACGTGGTGAAATCTACATTAAAGATAGCACCTTTTAAAATACATAAATAACATTTGATTGTGGTACAAAGTACTCCTTTAAGCACGTTTAAACAGGGTAGCCCAAGAACTGGGTTTGAAAGATAGTAGGACTTTGTTTCTTTATGTGTAATCATCCCCCTCATGCTTTCCCAACAACTGATGAATAATTGGCTGGATCCTGTGAACATTTCTTGCTTCAGAACACAAGGTTAAAGGTTAGATCATTTTACAAAGGAACTAGAAGACCTTCTGTGTACACCTTGGGCACAAAAAACACGTCCTGTCATGGCAACGTGTATTAAAAGATACAATTCATGCAGTACAAGAATCCAAATTGAAAACAATTTCTTCACGTGCATAAAACCCTAGTTCAAACTTTGCTATCTTTCTTTAAGGAAGAAAGAATGCTAGGACTGGGAAATAATGTTTCTTAAGTTGCAGGGTCCCTGGTGCTCTCTGAACTTGGTGGTTTTCTTGCAGACATTGCATGACCCAACCAGGGAACATCAACAGTGCTAGAAGGGAGTGGGGTGGTGGAGTGGAGGAGGGCTATGGGGTCCTTGGTGCTCTCTGAGCTTGGTTGTTTTCTTGCAGACATCTCATGACCCAACTAGGGAACATCATCGGTGCACTGATGTTACTTAGTTGGATCATGAAACTTCTTCAAAGAAACCACCAAGCTCAGAGAGCACTAAGGAGCCCACCATTCGTGAGCTCCAAATATTATTTTGTATTGGCTGCTTAGCAGTCACAGAAGACAGTAACAGAATTAGATGAATAATCTTTGGGAAAAGATGATGGTGATGGCAGAAGAATTCTTTTTCATAATTTCCCAGAAATTTATTTTGAAGATGCATTGCTGGTCATATTTATAAGAGATCAAGCACCAAAAGTATGCTTTTGAGCATACATACCCACAGTTGCACTGCTAAAAGATCAGTTATCCTACGGGCAATTAGGCCAAAGGTTTTAAAAAAAAAGATGAAAAATGAATTTTCACAGATGCATTTTACTGAACAAGCAAATAACTGCAAAACAACTGTTGATAAAAAAAAAGCTGGATCTGGTGAAGATCTCTGGTTGCAATTAGAAAGATATGATTAGGAACCCACAAAGTTTTTCAAAAAGCAATTCCAACCTGCGAGTTGGAAGATACAATAGAAGAAGCATGAAATCTTTAATTGTCCATGCTCCTATCTGCCACTGTTGCCTGGACTTTTCTCGTCCTCATTTTTCTCCTAAGTTTAACACAGAGGTCTGTGCTCAGCCATGCTAAGCAAAAGAGCTTCCTAAGAGTGTGCAAAGACACGTGCAAACTGTCTCTTCCATCTGTCCTGTTGCCCTCAGGAGACTGGGATTGCTACATCTAAATCTCTACTGAGCACTTGCGGGACAAAGCCTTAATAGCCAATAGCACAGCACCTCCAGATGTTTCACCCATGAATGGTGGTTAAGCTAGCAAACAGAAATCTAAATATCTATCAAGGGCCCCTAGCATCTACTTACCCACCCTTTTCCTTTCTTTTCTGTTTTAGGTGAACTTTCTAGAAGACCATCTATTAAAAAAAATGGGGGGAGGGAAATCATCCTCAATCTTTATATAAAAATATTCTTAAAAAAGAAAAAAAAAGAAAGAAAATCTTCCCAGAAAAAAATCACTTCTCACTGCATAAAATAATGCAAATTAATCATTTTCTTCATCATAAAAACTCGACTGTCCGGCAGTATTTGATTTTCAGAGTCTCCATGCTCCTTGTCAAAGAACAGAAGAAAAAGAGATAGGATCTCCCAACTCCCATGATAGGTCCACAAGCAGCGATGGAGGCTAGGTTTTTTAAGGTCCTTTGATGTTGCTGGGCCGAGCGGCTAGGCTTGCATAATAAGCACATTGGGAGGGATCACATTGTCCATTGGCCCCTGGAGGTCCTGGGGGGCCCATAAGGCCAGGAGTCCCAGCTTCACCTTGAGGACCTTGTGCTCCAGGAAGTCCATCCTTACCATAGCCAGGTTCACCTGGAATACCTACAACACAAAGTGGTATGGGTAAGTGGGATTGCTATGGTGTGGACAAGCTTAGTAGACAAAACTACAGAGTTACAACCACTAAGGTGGCACAGCAGTTAGAGTGCAGTACTGCAGGCCACTTTAGCTGACTGTGTTCAGCAGGTCAGCAGTTCAAATCTCACCGGCTCAAGGTTGACTCAGCCTTCCATCCTTCCGGGGTAGGTAAAATGAGGACCCAGATTGTTGGGGGCAATGTAAATATATATATATATATATATATATATATACATTGCTTACTGGTGTACACCGCTTAGAGAGTGCTTGCACTTAAAGCGGTATATAAGTCTCATTCATAAATAAATAAATAAGGTGACCAACTTTTTTACAATGAGAAGGAGGACACAAATAAATTGAAGGAAAAAAAGTGAGTCTAATGTGTGTGTGTGTGTGTGTGTGCCGTGTTGTGTTTCGGTAAGAAATAAACAAAGCCACTTGCATGCGGCGCACTCTTGCGCGCAGCGCACTCTCTCAAAACAATTCTCCTGTGTGGAGCGCATGCGTCTTCTAATCGCGTCTCGCTGCACTGTACCGAGCCTTGACGAATCGTCATGTCAAATACAAATACGTCACATCACACGCAACGGATTGGCTCGGCATCGATCGAATACGGAGATTTACAGATTAGTCTTCAAATATCGAAAAGGAGGACGTGTAGGAGGACACTTTTCGAGAGAGGACAGAACTTTACAAAAGAAGGACTGTCCTCCCTAAAGGAGGACGCTTGGTCACCTTACAACCACATTTGAGCCCAACATTTCTGTTGTTAAGTGGGACATTTGTTAAGTGAGTTTTGCCCCATTTTACAAGCTTTCTTGCCACAGTTGTTAAGTGAATCACTGCAGTTGATAAGTTAGTAACACGTTTTTTTTTTTTTGGTTTTGTTTTTTGCAGGAGGAATATTTTTTTAATTTATTTTTTATTTTTTTATTTTATTTTTAACCCACAAAACAAAACAAAACAAAACAAAATAAAACACACATACACACACAGTATATACTCCTTCCCCCCTTTTAACAGCGATTAATTAACGGTAATCTTCTATTATTTACATTTCCCCCCTTATTCTTCTTTAGAATATTTGTCCTTATTGCTCCGTTGTTTCTTATTTATATTTTTCTTCCTTCATATTCTACTTCTTACTAAGAATAATTCATATTATTATTATTATACATTATTATACACATATTTTCACTTTTGACCTTTCCATATTTATTCTCCTCTATTATTTCTAGTCTCCAACCAGTCATACCACTTGTTCCATGTTATATAGTACTCTGAGTAACACGGTTGTTAAGTGAATCTGGTTTCCTCCCCCCTTGACTTTGCTGATCAAAAAGTTGCAAAAGCTGATCACATGACCCCGGGACAACACAAAGGTCTTAAGTATGAACCAGTTGCCAAGCATCTGAATTTTGATCACGTGATCATGGGGATGTTGCAAAGGTCACAACTGTGAAAAGTGGTTATCTTTGCAGTGCGGTGGTAACTTTGAATGGTCACTACCACTATCTGTAGTCCTCGACTTACAACCGTTCATTTAGTGACCGTTCAAAGTTGCAACAGCACTGAAAAAAGTGACCTAAACCGGTCCTCATTCTTACATTCATTGCAGCACCCCCCAAAATCACGTGATCAAAATCTGAGCCCTTGGTCCCAGGCAATGTATATAATGGTTTTGATTTATTATAGGGGATATCGTGTTATTAAGTAGAAGATTAAATATGGTGGGAAGTAGATAACTTTTAGGAAATAGAACAAGATTATATTCAAATAGATAAAATGTGTATTTTGGATATTATAGTTTGTTATGAAGTGAGATAAGGGAAATTTTGGTTACCCAAAATCTGAAAATTATAAATATCAAAGATTAAATTGGAATATTGATAAGAAATTAAAAAATGAGTAAAATCAATAACAGGATATGGATTGTTTGTGAAGATTGAATGTAATTAAGATGTTTATAAGCTAAAAATGTATTGATAAATGTAATAATGATGTTCTTATTGAGTTGATATAATTAGACATGTACTAATCTGAATATGAGACAGTAAATGTTAAGGGAAAAAGAGAAGAATTATTTGATGTTGTAACCTGAGATTTGCACTAAAACTTTGTTACTGAACTACTGATTAACCCAGTTACCACATTGCTTTTTAAATATTCAAATGTAAAATTGGAAAATTAATAAAATATTATATAAAAAAATGGGCGCTTGGCAACTGACACAGTGTGCCGAGATTGTGTGCATGCCATTTGTCACCTTTCCCAGTCAGCTTCCAGATTCATCACAGCTTTGTTCCATACAATATTAATTTTGTGAACTCTAAAGCTTCCTCCTTCCATTATGTATTCAAGATGGACTGCTATCAATATTTATATGTTACTTATATGTAAGGGTGTAGGTCTATACATATGTTGTATATAGTATATTTTAAATGTGTGTTATGTATGTGTACACTTTGAGAGGAAGCAACTAAATTTCATTTTTCATGCGTGCTGTTGTGCCCATGGGAAAAAATGACAAGGTTATCTAATCTAGTCTTCCATCAAGCAAGTCAATGAAGGAAGCCAGATTTGTTCAATGACCATATGATTCATTTAATAACTGCAGTGATTTGCTTAACAACCATGGGAAAACAGGTTGTAAAACTGTGTGCAACTCTCTTAACAACCATCTTGCTTAACAACAGAAATTCTGGTCTCAGTTTTGGACATAAGCCGAGGACTACGTATATGGCGAAACTGGCAATTCAAGACACAGCGACGTCATGCATTGCTCTGTCAATCTGTCTACAAAGCCCTGCTTTAAAGAAAAAAGTGCAATCAAAGGATCAACTCAACAGTGTCTCCATCAGCAGGGAGTTTTCTCCCCCGAGAGAAAACTTGGCAGATTTTCACCCCATTTCTCAGGAACCCTTTTTTAAAACTATGACAGCTTCTCTTTGTTTTAGCCACCTGCTTGACTTCAAACAGCCGTGCCTTTTTTTAGCAGCACCACCTGCTAAAAATGTACGGAGCAAAAGGTAGAGAGAATTGTTTTCATGCTCCTAAAACCACTCTTTCTACTTCCGAAGGGAAAATGTGGGCATCCCAGAGTATTTGTCTTGTGGAAATGTGGAAGAGTCAAAAGGAAGCTTTGGGTGGACATTAGAGCAGGGAAGTCAACCTCGTGTCAACCGATGAACACCAAAGTACGCATGTAAGGTCATGTTTACAAATATTTATAGAAAAAGGGCTTAGGGGAGAGAAAGGGAGAGACAGAGAGAGAGACAGAGAGAAAGAGACACAGAGAGAGAGAGACAGAGAGAGAGACACACACAGAGAGACACACACACATACAGAGAGAGAGAGAGTGAGTGAGAGAGAGAGAGAGAGAGAGAGAGAAAGAGAGAGAGATCATGTGAAAATAAGATTCCCTCATCATGAGGCAGCTAGCAACAAGGAATCTTTGAAGCTTATTGCAGAACACAGATAGTCCTTGACTTATGACTGGACTGAACCCAATATTTCTGTTACTAACCAAGGGAGCTAAGTGAGTTTCACTCTATTCTATGACCTTTCTTGCCTCAGTTATAAAGTGAACCACTGCGGCTGTTAAGTTAGTCACACGGTCATTAAGCAAATCTGGCTTCCAGAATCTTTGACAAGAATTTCTGACAAACAAAGCAAAGCATTGCTTGTCAGAAGACCAGAAAAGGTGACCACATGACCCCAGGACACTTGGACAATTGCCGAGCATCTGGATTTTGATCAAGGGACCTTGGGGATGCTGCAATGATCGTGGGTGTGAAAAACAGTCATCAGTGGCTTTTTTTCAGTGTGGTTGTAACTTTGAGCAGTCATTCAATGGACTGTTGTAAAATCGAGGACTTTACAATATGTCTTTCAAATGATGTTGTCTAGAAATTCTGGAACTTCTGGCTTGTAAGCAAACAGCCAAGCTCAGAGAACACCAAGGACTTCAAAGTTCAACGTATATTATATATATTCTCTTCTGTTGGTAGTTATGGCTTGGTCAGGTTTGGGGAAAGTTGTCATCAACCACATAAATCCCTCTTTGCAGAGAATAAGCTCAACTGCCCACCTGCTACTCCTGGGGGACCAGTTTCACCTCTCTGGCCAATGCCAGGATCTCCCTTTTCTCCTTTCTCTCCTCCGTCACCTGTTGGAGAAAATGAAATACATTTTAATTACAGCATCAGACTTTCACTGTTTTGCAGAGTGCAGATATAACGCATTCTTGACCAGTCCCCATTCACTTCTTATCAATACCGATACCGATAGCCATCATTCCATTTTAATGCTATTTGCGAGACCGCCTACTACCTCATAGTTCCCTTCGTCCGGTTAGATCCCACAGGCTGGGCCTCCTTCAGGTCCCGTCGGCCAAGCAGTGCCATTTGGCGGGGCCGCGGGGGAGGGCTTTCTCTGTGATGGCGCCCACGTTTTGAAACCAGCTCCCCCCGGAGATTAGGACCGCTCCCACTCTGTTGGTTTTCCGCAAACTGCTTAAGACCTGGCTTTTCCGGCAGGCCTGGGGTTCATAAAATCTGACCCCTGGATGAATGTTACTGTATTGTTTGTCTTGTTAAGTTATATTGTATTTTTATTGTTAGCCGCCCGGAGTCCTGCGGGAGTGGGGCGGTCTATAAATTTTAATAAATAAATAAATAAATAAATAAATAAATAAATAAATAAATAAATTGCATGTGATCCGTCCTTTTCTGTTGCTAGGCTCAAATGTTAAAAGCCCCAAATCTGTTCTCCTTTCCATTTTTTATCCAGAAACAGACATTGCTGGGTTTTAATAGACTTGCAGAAAAGAAGGTTTACTGAATGAACACAAATAGAGAAATCCAGCCTCTTGCATTAACCTCATGCAGGGTTACAGAATGTGCAAAATATGGCGATTTCAAATAATAGAGCACGTTTCATTCTAAATGTGAAATCTTGGTTATTGTTCAGAATGTTTGAAAAACTAGCATGTAGAATATTTGAAAATTTCAGAATGTTTGAAAGATTAGGGGACTGGAGGCTAAACCATGTGAAGAATAATTGCCAGAACTGTCTAGAAGAGAAGGATGTGGGGGGACATGATAGCAGTGTTCCAATATCTCAGGGGTTGTCCCAAAGAAGAGGGAGTCAAGCTATTCTCCAAAGCCCCTGAAGGCAGGACAAGAAGCAATGGATGGAAACTCATCAAGGAGAAAAGCAACCTAGAATTAAGGAGAAACTTCCTGACAGTTAGAACAATTAACCAGTGGAACAACCTGCCTCCAGAAGTTTTGTTTGTTCCATCACTGGAGGCTTTTAAAGAAGACATTGGACAACCATTTATCTGAAATGGTACAAGGTTTCCTGCCTGAGTAGGGGGTTAGACTAAAACAATGCCAGGTCCCTCCAACTTGGTTATTCTGTTAAATGTAGTCTCATTCTATACATGTAAGATATTTCAAGTCCCATTTGGGTGACATTGAACAGTAAAACTATCTGGAAGCTGTACACTCCCTGAGGGAAGATAGCACTTTGCTGCTATTCATAAAAATGGCCTACATTTTTTTCAAGATCATGCAAATTTGTGAGGAGGGAGGGGAAGGCAGTTGCTTTAAGAACCAAAATAACTTGAATGGGTGAATTCTTTAAAGCAATATTTTTTAAGTCATTGCAGAAACAAAGTTGGGCTATTTTCATTAATATTAGGGAAGTGTTATACACTTGTTACACTTGTGGGAGGTCCAAAACAGTATGAATAGACTGAATGAGCATTTTCAAGAACACTTCTGAATTTGCCTGAGATTTTTCATTACATGTGAAAATTGATTATAATAGATGGATGGACATATAGACTGGTGTTTCTGTATTTAAAAGTAGAAATCTAAACACATTTGGCTCCGTCTTCTGCTATTCTACATTCTTTATCCACCTAGAGCGTTTGGGGGACGGAAAATCTGACTTTGGTTTCAGCTGTACTATAAAAACCACATGGAGAACGGGGTGGAAGTAAGTCAATAAATTAAAAGCTATCAAGCTGATATTTCCTTCTACCTCCTACAACAACAACAACCAAAACAACAACAACAACAACAACAACAACAACAACAACAACAATAATAATAATAATAATAATAATAATAGTAATAATAATAAAGTTGGAAGGGACCTTGGAGGCCATTGAATCCAACCCCCTGCTCAGGCAGGAAACCCTACACCATTTCCTTCAGACAGATGGCTGTCCAGTCTCTTCTTAAAAACTTCCAGTGTTGGAGCATTCACTGCTTCTAGAGGCAGGTTGCTCCATTGGTTAATTGTTCTAACTGTCAGGAAGTTTCTCCTTAGTTCTAGGTTGCTTCTCTCCTTGATTAGTTTCCATCCGTTGCTTCTTGTCCTGCCTTCAGGAGCTTTGGAAAATGGCGTGACTCCCTCTTCTTTGTGGCAACCCCTGAGATACTGGAACGCTGCTATCATATCCCCCCTCGTCCTTCTCTTCATTAAACTAGACATACCCAATTCCAGCAACTGTTCCTCATATGTTTTAGCCTCCAGTCCACATTCAGAAAAGTTTCGCCATAATCATTTCCATTTATTTGAGAACACCACATTTCACATTGCAAAAACTGTCCATAGTCCTTAAAAGATCTAAATTAGAAGGAAAATTTGGAGCTAAAGCTGCTTTCCAGCTAAGGAGCTACTCACCTTTTGGTCCCATAGGTCCTGATGGACCTTCTGAACCTGGTTGTCCAGGTCTACCAGGTTGTCCTGGAGGGCCGACTCTACCAGGAGGACCTTCTGCTCCAGGTGATCCAGGAGGCCCTGGTCTACCTTGGGGTGCTTTGATCTGGGAAGGCTGCAACTGACTTATGAGGTAGGGCAGTCTGGCTGCAAGGGAGGAAAAAAAACCATAGACACACAAAGAAGAGTGAGAGAAAATATTCTTAATGAATAGATATCTGATGCAGAAATAAAAGCCATGCTACAGCAGGTCACTGGCCAAATATCTTTCTGTAACGAATCATAAAATTGTAGTGTGGGAAGTGAGCCCCCCAGAGAAGGAAATATTAAAAGGGCAGAATATATTCCCCAAAAGGATTTTAAAAGCAGAAACCATCCCTGCCCCCAAGTCTCTCTGTCCCAAGCAGAAACCAGTTCTATACAAATGCAGATGTAAAGGTTGCAATTGGAACATTAAGAAGACAAAGACCCAAAATCTGCATACCTCACCCGAACTCTAAGAGTCATTAGCCCCAGCCCCAGAGAAGCAGGACATGGCCTTTGGGACATAATAGGATTATCCCACAGATGCCAAAGGGCAAAGCCAGACTCAGCTCAGAATACATGACACAGGAAATAGCCCCAAACAGGAACAGGAAGCATCTCCAAACAAAAGGCTTCAGAGGGTATAAAAACCCACTCCCTACATGTGCTCCCTCTCTTTTCTGCCAGCCATCTTCCTGTCTGGTTCTCCTTTTCAATAAACAACAACCTTCTTTCTAAAGCAGTTACCATGTTGTTTATTCCCGGCTTGGACAGAACCATGATGAAGACTTTTCCTTCAATAGTAGGTTTGGTCTTTGGGAGAGAGGGGTGGTTTCATTCCCCATTTTTTAAAACAAGACAAGTTGCAAAGTTGTGTGCAGAAGGAGCAGATGTGAAAAAGTTTTGCTTAAAAGCTCATAGGGATATTCTTAGGGGTAGTTGTGACACCCTCAGGAGAAGCCTTCAGAGCAAGTAACAGCTGGGCTCGAGGCACACAGCCTGCCTTTTTAAATGTTCAAAAGAGAACAACAACAAGAAGAAAAAAGCCCTCGCAACTATGAAGTAATAAATAACAATGCACCTTTATATTATGTGCTTCTTCTACCAAGCGAAGACATTTTTTATTTTCCCTGGGAAATTATTTTGAAAAATGCTTTAGTTTGCAGAATATTTTTAGCTGCTGCCGCATAGTGTTGTTATTTTTTTTTCCTTTCTTTCATGCATATTTTACTATTTTATGATATTTATTATTTATCACTCTATAATCTACTGAAGAAAGGGCAGCATGCAAAGCTTCTCCTTAACACTGAATTCAGAAACTATAAGAAAAGCAATGGTTGTATGCATGTTGGAAACAGCCACCCTCCAGAAACCCAAATGAATGAATTTGGCAATGTTGTAGAGAACAATTAGATTTTAAAAAAAAATGACAAGAACAAAATTAAAAGATAGTGATAGTGTCTACTATCACAGGTCCACCGGAGAAGAATTTGCTTTTCAAAAGCAAAGCAACCACTTTATTGATCAGAATAGAGCTGGAAGGAACCTTGGAGGTCTTCTAGTCCAACCCCCTGCTCAGAAAGGAGACCCAATACCATTTCAGACAAGTGGATGTCTAGTCTCTTCTTCAAAGCCTCTGATGATGAAGAACCGACAACCTCTGAGGGCAAGCAGTTCCACTGATCAATTGCTCCAAATTTCTGCTTAATTTCCAGGTTGCTTCTCTCCTTGATTAGTTTCCATCCATTGTTTCTTGTCCTACTTTCATGTGCTTTGGAGAATACTTTGACCACTCCCTTCTTTGTGGCAGACCCTCAAATACCGGAATACTGCTATCATGTCACTCCTAGTCAGTGTTGTGAATCCATGCCAGCGAGTGGACCCGGCAGCTGAATCCGGGGAATCAAAGGAGGAAGAGGGTCCTGGAGAGCCATCAGAGTCAGAGGAAGGCTCTGATGAGCTCTAGGGCATACAATCTGATGAAGAGCCTGGCCCTTCCAATCGTGCTCAAGCTGAGACTCAACTGTGCGAGGAAGCTGAGTCAAACTCTTGAGGACTCAAAGCTGGAAGACATTACAGATGCTCGCAAATGCAGACAGGCAACAAGAGCAGGAAAGAGGGAGGCAATGGGGCAACTCCAAGGGAGGAGGAGAAGGCATTGAGAAGACACGCCTTGGGTTTGCTTCATAAAAAGGAAAGGTGTGGGCAGTGCTGGTTGCTGAAGGCAACTTGCAAAGGACTCAAGTTTCATGGAATCAGATTCTGTTTGCCTTGCCTGTGAACAATTCTCCATTTGAATCGTGTTCTGTTTGTCTTGGGACAATTCTTCGTTTGAATCGTGTTCTGTTTGTCTTGGCACAATTCTTCATTTGAATCGTGTTCTGTTGCCTTTGAATAATTCTCCGTTTGCATCGTGTTTTGTTTGCCTTTGCTTTTGGGACATTTTGCAGATCTGTACCTAATTAATAAAAGGGGTTTGTTTTTCCTGCATTTCCAGCCTACTTGTTAAAAGAGGGGTTTGTCCTTGTGAATTAACAAGGACTCACGTAGGCTGGGACAGAACACTCCTTTTCTCTAGACTAGCCAAACCCAATTCCTGCAACCAAATCAAAGAGGCATGAAAGAATAGTAATGGGGAATCTTAATTACATTGATACTTGTTTGGAAACTGCTAGACAACGTTCTTCCAGCTATTCTTGCCTTGCCCTACCTTGATTACAATTTTGCCTTTCGGAGAAAAGGGCGAAGCTAAGTGTCCAATACCTTTGATTTGATTGGGAAGAAAATGAAAACCGAAGAAACACTGGGAGAGAATGACTAAGCAATTCAACATTCTGAGCTAAACCACTTACATAAAACATATGAAGAATGATTGCAGGAATTTGCCATGTCTAGTCTACAGAAAAGAAGAATGAAGGGTGACATGATAGTAGGGTTTCAATATTTGCAGGACTGCCACAAAGAAGAGGGGGGGGGGTCAACGTATTTTCCAAAGCACCAGAAAACAAGACAAGATGCAATGGATGGGAACTAATAGAGAGAAGCAACCTAAAACTAAGAAGATATTACCTAACAGTGAGAACAGAACTTGCCTTCAGAAGTTGTGGATGTCCCATCACTGGAGACTTTAAAGAAGAGACTGGACAGGTATAGGTTCTCCTGCTTGAGCAGGGGGTTGGACTAAAAAACCTCCAATGTCACTTCCAACTCTGTTATTCATAGCTTGGACTTCAGAAAGGGGGATTTTAATTAACCCAGAACAATAATTTATAGAATATCATGGCAGGTGAAGCTAGTGGGAAAAGGAGAAGAAGATAGATGCGTGTGTGTGTGTATGTTTAAAAATAGAATTAGAAAGTTCCCAAAAAATTAAAAAACAATGTAGCTGAAAAAAAAAGCTTAAGAAATTTCAAGGACAAATATAGGAGATATCTATTATCTATATATTTTCTAGATGTTGAAAGCAACATGATGACACATATCAAAAGGATTTTGTTTATTTATCAAATGCATGCACTACGTATCTCACTATTGCAGTGACATTAGGTGCTTTACAAATAAAAATATATATAAAATCCATATAAAAAGAGAGAAAGTTAGAGACAAAATTAAAAAGCATAGCACTGTTTATTTTTGTACAGTATAAAAGAGAAGCAGAAAATGCCTTCCTTCCTTCCTTCCTTCCTTCCTTCCTTCCTTCCTTCCTTCCTTCTTTCCTTCCTTCCTTCCCTCCCTCCCTCCCTCCCTCCCTCCCTCCCTCCCTCCCTCCTTCCTCTTCTGATCCTCTTTAATGTGTTGGAATCACTCACCCACTTTTGGACTTCATAATACGAATCCTTACCATCAAGTTGTTTAACTAACTCTTCTTGGATAAGTCTTCGCAATGTTTCTGTTGATGGAGGATCTCCCTACGAGACAAAGAAGATGCCTTAAGATACCAGAGCTTAAAATACGGATGCTTATGAATGTTTAATTCCTTTGTTAAGTAGCTGAAAAAGTTTATCCATTTTTTCTAAAGCTAAAATGTGTAATACAGTAGCATTTTCAAAAAAAAAAAAAAAGACTTTAGGAGGCACATTCTAGCATTTCAAAGACTTCATGGGTCTTTGGTAACAAACCTGTGAAAGAATAGGAATAACTACTGTGTAATAATTCTAAATGGTTCCAACTTTCATACAGGAAAGGGTTAGGCCTGCTGTGTTTACAAGAAGAAGATGGAAACATTCATGAAGGAAGCATGAGCTTATAATATATCCATTTGGTGATGCCGATAGTGGTTTTGAAGGCATTTTATGATTCGGAAGAAAACCTAAAACCCAAAACCCATTTCTTCCCGAAGCTATTCTTCAAATTGGTCCTTTGCAGGAATTCCAAATACTCCAGTCTTAGCAAATTCTTCCTGGGGCCCTCAACAATATGTGAAAATAACTAGGCTGCCAATAATTGATAACAATGGATAGTTCACATTGAAATGGACATGAACTATTGGGTAATGATCCAACAATAGTTTGTTTTTTTAAAAATATTCTGCTGCATTTCATAGTGGAATGAGTTTAAAAAAATAAAATACAGCAGGTAAGACGCATACAAAGGCCTCTGCAGCAAGACGTGATTTCAACAAAGGTAAAATAAGGCCAGTGTTTACATCAGTGGTTCTCAACCTTTTTAATGCTGCGACCCCCAACCGGTCGTAAGTCGAGGACTACTCAACTGGTGCAGCACCGTTTGCAGAATGGGACTTTTGGCGGGCTCAGCAGGGCAGAGACAGCCTGGACAATTCCTATTGGCTTTTGAAAGCCAATAGAATTAGACTCTATTCAAGAGAATCTATTCTAGTGGCTTTCAAAAGCCAATAGAATAAAAGGGAGTAGCACAGCTAAGGAAAAGGGGGAAAAATGGCAGACTGCATTGTTTGGCGACCCCCGTGAAATGGTCGTTTGACCCCAAATGGGGTCACGACCCACAGGTTGAGAACCACTGGTTTACATCATAACCTCACCACACGTTCCCTCATTTGGTTGCCTGCCCAGTGGCAGACATTTTGGGGTAGCCAACCCAAAGTACGTTTCCCCCTAAACTCACTCTAGGCCCAGGAAAACCAGGTTGTCCTGGAGAGCCAGGAGGACCAACTTGTCCTGACTCTCCTGATGGTCCCGGGGGACCCATTAATCCCGTGTGTCCTTTGCGGCCAGGAACTCCTGGATCACCTGGTGGTCCCTTTACTCCCGCAGGGCCTTTTTCACCTTTGCCTCCAGGATCTCCCTGATGGAGAAAAAAAGAGATAGGTTGGATTGAAATAAACAAAAAAAAAAATTATTGATTTGATTGATTGAGACCCATTTCACTTCAAATCGCTCCTCCTCCTCCTCCTCCTCCTCCTCCTCCTCCTCCTCCTCCTCTTCTTCTTCTTCTTCTTCTTCTTCTTCTTCTTCTTCTTCTTCTTCTTCTTCTTCTTCTTCCTCTTCTTCCTCCTCCTCCTCCTCCTCCTCCTCCCCCTCCTCCTCCTCCTCTTCCTCCTCTTCTTCTTCTTCTTCTTCTTCCTCCTCCTCCTCCTCCTCTTTCCCCCTAGCATTTCCCTGCAAGGGCAGGGTCCATTTTTTTTTTCAGATCAACTGAGTTTTCATCCATTGGTTGCTAAGGGATTTGGTTGCTAAGGGATTTACCAACCCGCTCCTCACCTGAGCCTGACATCCTGGGCTCAAAGAGAAGAACTGGCCCAATGTCACCAGTTGGATTTTACGCCTAAGGGGTGACTAGAGCTAACTAGGTTTCTAGCTTAGTGCCTTAATCACTAAACCAAACTGGCTCTCAAATTAAGCAAATGAAGGGTGATACCTCTTTAGCGGAGAGCCATTAAAAATGCTGGATGGATAAACCAGACCCTACTACTTTAGGTAGTATGGGGGAAAAAAAAAATCAGGTTGTAGAGTCACTCGTCTTCCATAGAACTCTAACTTGCTTCAAATGTCCTGTCTGGATGAACAGGGAGAGCTTTATCCATTACAATCAGGAAATGAGGCTATCAATTATCAGAATAATAGAATAACAGAGCTGGAAGAGACCTTGCAGGTCTTCTACTCTAACCCCTTACTCTAACAGGAGACCCTATACCAGTGATGGCGACCCTTTTAGAGACCGAGTGCCCAAACTGCAACCCAAAACCCATTTATGTATCGTTGGGTGCTGGGTGGGCATGGCCCATTGGGTGGGTGTGGCCCATTGGGTGGGCATGGCTGCAGTGGTAACGGCAGACTGGGTGGGACTAAAAAGTTCAATCAATCAATTCCAACTTTGCGAGATCTTTTTTTCCCCACAAGAAGTTGAAATTGATTAATTGATTGAACCTTTTTTTTTTTTTACACATGGCGGCGGAGGCCTAAAGCGAAAAGGTTTTATAAAATCCAGCTGAAGGCCTAGGACTGGAGTGACAGTGTGTGTGCCCACAGAGAAGGCTCTGCGTGCCACCCGTGGCACTTGTGCCATAGGTTTGCCACCATGGCCTTATACCACTGCAGACAAGTGGTTGTCCAATCTTTTCTTCAAAACCTCCAGTGACAGTCAGGGCCCTGAGAATCCTTCCAGCTCTATTCTGTTCTATAATTTCATAATTTGAAGGATTCCTTCAAATTATGAAATTATAGAACAGAATGGAGCTGGAAGGGACCTTGGAGGTCTTCTAGTCCAGCCCCCTGCTCAAGCAGGAGAATCTATTCCATTTCAGACAAGTGACAGCCTAATCTCTTCTTATAGTTGGGGTGATGAACAATCTGAATAACATTGGTTCAGAAAAAAAAAGAATTTGTTTACTTATGAACAAATACAATATGATTGCATGCCATTTTCTATTGAAGTGTCATAGAGAGCTGACCCTGATGTTTGGGTTTGGGTTTAAAATGTTGGGATATGAATGAAGCTCTCATACTTACCCTATCCCCTTTTTGTCCATGCTCTCCTGGACTTCCCGGGGTGCCCTGAAAAGACAGGAGGGCTCTAAAGACCAGTGATAAAGCCAACATTTTGTCTGCATGTGTGTCATCTCTCTTTCACTGATACATACTAATTTACAGTGTTTCTCAACCTTGACCATTTTAAGGCATGTGGACTTCAACTCCCAGAATTCCACAGCCAGCATTGCTGGCTGTGGAATTCTGGGAGTTGAAGTCCACATGCCTTAAAATGGTCAAGGTTGAGAAACACTGTACTAATGTGAAAGGGAATATGAATTATATTGCATGAATTATAAAAGTGTTTATAGTAGCAAGCAGAAAATTAAAAAAACAACAACAACAAACATCTTCAGAGGTGTTTGCAGTTTGCAGTCACTCTCAATAGCACTAATAAATCAACTTTTTGTGTGTGAGGAAGGTAACAAAATACACACCTCTTTCCCTGGGACCCCCTTTTCGCCTGCTTCTCCCTATGGAAAAGAACGATAAAGCATATTATGCAGCATGGCAAATAATCTACAACAGTGTTTCTCAGACTTTGTAGCTTTAATGTATCGGCTTCAACTCCCAGAATACATACATTTTATAGCTGCCAAGTTTAAGAAAAAACGGATCTTCAGTTTGGTTTATTAAGGGGGTCAGTTTTTCTCTCTTTTTTGTATTTTATTTTTCTATATTTGGTTATTTTTTTCTTTCATTGACATGTAGGTGTATACATACACACACACATAGGCATACACAAAAATGCATAAATATACATATGTGTGTGTGTATGTGTATGTGTGTGCTAAAACAAAATTGCTAACAAAGAGTTAAAGGGGGACTGGGATAGCTATACAGGCAAAAGATTTCTTCCTCCCATATTTGGGCCAAAAGGGTGCATCAAAAAAACACTCAAGACATATGTATGTATGTATGTATGTATGTATGCATGTATACTAAGAAATAATACTGTACAATGGAGATGTTAACTTTAAGCCATTCATTCATTCATTCATTTATATTTCACACTTCTTAACCACCCATTTTCTCTTGGAGATTGAGTTTCCTTCATTACATAGCAAGTAAATTGCAAGTCACAAATGCATTCTTTAAAAAAAAATAATCCCTTTTCCAACAGAAAAGCCATCCTTGTCTTGGGTTGGAAGCTGAGTAGGGCTAGAACTGTTTAGGAGACCATCAAGGTATCCCAAGGTAGGTGAGAAGATCCTGAAAGGTGGCAATGGTTAACTCCTTCATCGCTATTGCAAAGGAAGCTATAAAAAAAAAAATATTCTTGCAGAGTCATCTGGAGTTAAAACCAACTTGTATTCATCTTCACCTTACCTTAATGAGCACTTCCTAATTACTCTACATTCTCACTTTAACACCAGCAGGGCCATCATCAATTTGCTACTTACACGAAGTCCTCGTGGCCCAATGAAACCAGGAACGCCTGGGCTACCAGTTTCACCTTTGCTTCCCTTGGAGCCCTTGGGGTGAAAAAGAGAAGACTTGCAAAGGCTAAAGAATACTCTGATCACTATCATTCTGAAAGAATAGGATGGTTAAACTCAAGAAGCACTTTTTGCCCCAATTCCGCAAATCATAATAAACACAATGACTTGCCAGAAGCAATCAACGTGGTAATAATAATAATAGTAGTAGTAAAGTTGGAAGGGACCTTGGAGGTCATCTAGTCCAACCCCCTGCTCAGGCAGGAAACCCTACACCATTTCGGACAAGTGGCTGTCCAGTCTCTTCTTAAAAACTTCCAGTGTTGGAGCATTTACTGCTTCTGGAGGCAGGTTGTTCCACTGATTAATTGTTCTCACTGTCAGGAAGTTTCTCCTTAGTTCTAGGTTGCTTCTCTCCTTGATTAGTTTCCCCGTTGCTTCTTGTCCTGCCTTCAGGCGCTTTGGAGAATAGCTTGACTCCCTCTTCTTTGTGGCAGCCCCTGAGATATTGGAATACTGCTATCATGTCCCCCCTTGTCCTTCTCTTCGTTAAACTAGACATACCAATTCTAGCAACCGTTCCTTATATGTTTTAGCCTCCAGTCCCCTAATCATCTTTGTTGCTCTTCTCTGTATTCTTTCTAGAGTCTCAACATCTTTTTTACATCGTGGTGACCAAAACTGGATGCAGTATTCCAAGTGTGGCCTTACCAAGGCATTGTAGAGTGGTATTAATACTTCACATGATCTTGATTCTATCCCTCTCTTAATGCAGCCTAGCACTGTGTTGGCCTTTTTGGCAGCTGCAGCACACTGCTGGCTCATATTTAGGTGATTGTCTACTAGGACTCCGAGGTCCCTCTCAAAGTTACTACTATTGAGCATGGTGCCACCTATGCTGTACTTGTGCATTTGGTTTTTCTTGCCTAAATGTAGAACCTTGCTTTTTTCACCATTGAATTTCATTTTGTTAGTTAGTATTTGCACATTATCCTAATGACAGTACAACACGCTTATTATTTATTTATTAAACTTGTATGCCTTATTACCTGAATAAGAGATGCTGATGACGTCTCCCAAGCAAAACTTTTGGAAAAGAATATTAATTTGAGATACTTCTTTGAGACACCCGTGCAAAAATGTGGTGTCTCTTGGATCTGGTGACCACTTGATGTGGGCAAATCAATACATCAGACACTCTTTTCCTTTAGGGAGAACTTTAATTTAGGGAAAGGATGGATATTCTGCAAGCTTCAGACTTCCTGTGGTTTCCTTATCCACAAACTGCTCTCAAAAGTTGTGATCAAAAGTAATGGTTTTATTTTGAGATTGTATTACAGATGCATATGTCAGCTACTCCCAAATAACTCTGCCAGGCTTGCTATGATTTTCATATTAAAACCATCTAGACCACAGTATATTTATTAAAAAATTGACTTTAAAAATACATTTTGAGCCATGTCCTGGGCTGAAAGGGGGAGGGGAGCAGGTCAGACTGAACTCCACTAGCAGTTCCTTCATAGCATATGAAAAATCCACCAATTTTGCAACGATAATTGAGTGTCTATATGAGGACAGATAATTCTTGCAAATAGTTTGGGCCTTAGCATATCAAAATGAGCACTCTGATTCGGCCTTGAAAAGCAACCAGCAACTGCTATACTTATTTTCACACATCAATAAGATTAGAGACATCTTAAGAATGCTCTTTCTTGGAGTTTTGACAAGGGCAATTTGATTCCAATAAGAATCTGTACAATTTTATCACAGTGTCATGACCTATAACTTCTCATCAATCCCCAAAGCATTCTTTCTCATTTCCTGCCATGGATAAATTATTCTGGTCTATTTCCTCTCTACTTAATACTTTATTCCAGTCCTCTACTCATATCACATAAACCCTAGGATGGCTGTCAAGCTTCTGTTTGAACTGCTCTTATTTTTAAATCCATTATATATATATATATATATATATATATATATATATATATATATATATATATATATATATGCTTTCCAAAATAAGAGAATAGAAGAGGGCCATCTCCTGTGTCATCTAAGCAACATAACTTCAAGAGGTTTTCTCAATGCACAGCTAAAATCAAGGCCTGTCATTCTTAGTAGCTATTCCTACAATCTTGTTGTATACAGGATTGTACACAGGATGTCATGTATTTTATCTTTCACATGACACAAATAATGCATGGTTAACTATGCAGGTTACAAAATGACATCATGATGCATATGGCCTCATTGTAACTGCTCTGCTAAAGGTACTTTTTCAAAAGACAACTGGATTTTCTTGTTTTTCCTTGAAGACATTTTGCTTCTCATCCAAGAAGCTTCTTTAATTCAGACTGTTTAGTTCCGACAGTTCTGACTGAAGCTTCTTGGATGAGAAGTAAAATATCTTCAATGAAAAAAGAAGAAGAAGAAAGTCCAATTGCCTTTTGAAAAAGCATCTTTGGAACAACCATGACCTGGATGACTGAGAATCTCCACAGACATATAGCTGCTGTGGTTGCCTATGCTGTTGTGAATTCATACTTGTGATGGAGATGGTAAATACAGTACTTACTGGGTTACCTGCAGGACCAGATTCCCCAGTAGCACCTGGAGGTCCAGTCTTGCCCTAAAGAAAGGAAGACAACAATCAATCTCAAAGTATATGAAGAACCTCAGTGAATGGCACCAAAGTCCTATGACCATTCAAATTCATCATTTTTTATAATTTTCAATATCTACGAAAGGAAAGGAAAGGAAAGGAGAGGAGAGGAGAGGAGAGGAGAGGAGAGGAGAGGAGAGGAAGAGGAAGAGGAAGGAAAGGATGGCTCTGCCCCATGCAATCATCATTAATTAACCCCAACCAAAGCAATTTTTTTCACTTCACAACATCTTCACCATGATACAGCATAGGATCTCTAGACTATACATAAATTATCCTGAAGACTTGGAGACTGTAAGGTGTCTCCTAGAATCAGAAGGAGATGTTCATCTCAGAACAACTCATTCACTAGGCAAATTAACTCACTGCTATTCCTCGAAGTCCTCGGGGTCCTTCTGGTCCCACAGGCCCTGGATCTCCCTGGAACAGAAGAGGGCAAAAAAAAAAAATCATACATTATAGCTCATTGAAGGTTGAGAAAGTGAGAATCCAAAGATATCTTAGAACTCAACAAAACTCAAAAATGATTCCTGATTATCAGACAACCAGTGCTTATGAGGGCCACAGATTCAACCTGTTATGGAGGCAGACATTTTTAGAACATAGAATCATAGGGCTAGAAAGGACCACAGAGGTTTTCTAGGACTAGATCAGGGGTAGGCAACCTTGGCTCTTTTATGACTTGTGGACTTCAACTCCCAGAATTCCTGAGCCAGCCATGCTGAGGGGAAAGGGAGAGGTTTCCAAGCTGAGTCATGATGGCTCAGGAATTCTGGGAGTTGAAGTCCATGAGTCATAAAAGAGCCAAGGTTGCCTACCCCTGGACTAGGTCAACCAACCCCCTGCTATTTTTGAAAACCTCCAGCAGTAGAGCTCCCACAGCTCTGGGAGGCAAACTATTCCATTGGTTAATTGTTCTCACTGTCAGAAAATTTCTCCTTACTTCTAGGTTGGATGTCTCTTGAACAAGTTTCCAGCCATTACCTCTTGTCCTGCCTCTGGTGCTTTGAAGAATAAGTCAAACCCCTCTTCTCTATGACAGCCCAAGTACTGGAAAGCAGTTATCATGTCCTCCCTCATTGTTATCTTTGATATTGCTTTACTTCTTTAATCTTTACCTCTGGAGGCTATTTCAGAAACACCTCACATCTTAGCAGTGCTTGTGGTTATACTGTAATGTTAAAACAGGAGGATGAGCTATGGAGTTGATGAGAGTCAGGATATGAATTTAATAAAATAAATCAGGCTTAGAGTACAGAATGACTATCCGATGGTGGACATTTGAAGGAGAATTTTAGAAATATTGTTATTATTACTACTAGTAGTTTTAACCACTTTTGAAGTTGACATAGAGCTTTCATTGTGCTTAACACTTACGTCTTTTCCTGATTGCCCCTCCCTGCCCGGAGTTCCAGGTTGACCCGGTTCTCCCTGTAATAAAGAAAAAGGATGAAGGAAAGAAAAAATAAAATTTAGAATTATCCCCTTTAAAAATTCTTATATGCCTTGTATGGTATGGAATCCCAAGACATCTTATCCAGGTGAACAGACCACTTTATTTGCTGTATATAGCTTAAGACTGCTTCTAGGCCATTTGTTTTTCTTTTATGATCTGATTTCTGATTTTATCTCTTCTGGTCACTCCAGCATCTTTCCTCAAACATTTAATTTCTGTAGTGATTAACTTTTTTAATGTTTTATTGTTAGGGTCCATATTTGACATTGGTAACATAGGGTAGGGATGGATATGCTTTATATGAGATGCTTCTTGATAGATCAGTGGTTCTCAACCTTTCTAATGCCGCGACCCCATAATACAGTTCCCCATGTTGTGGTGACCCCCAACCACTTATACATCACTGGGTGCCAGGGGCGTGGCCAAAGAAAAGGGGGAAAAATGGCGGACAGCCTTGTTTGGCGACCCCCTTGAAATGGTCGTTCGATCCCAAATGGGGTCCCGACCCACAGGTTGAGAACCACTGTGATAGATGATAGATAGATAGATAGATAGATAGATAGATAGATAGATAGATAGATAGATAGATAGATAGATAGATCTTTATTGTCATTTTTACTGTGAGCACAATGGCACACATTAAAAATGAAATTTACATCCTTTGTGCCAGCAACATTGCAGATCAACTTTCAACAAGGAACAATTAACCCCATGGTTATTTACATGGTTTCAAGCTCTACATTTTCTTCTTCAGAAATCCAGTGGATTCCATTTTCTCCATCCTCAAAGATATAAGGGGCAACAGTGACCTCCCCCCAAAAACATTTTTGCACCCAATTATACGCGTGCATATCTATATTACTTACTCTCATGCCAGGACTTCCTGCATCTCCTCTTGGACCCTTAAAACCCTGAAACAAAGACATGGAATGGAAATCTGTAAATGTTCTCCCTCCAAAACTGAGCCCCTGAAAATGGTTCCTTAACCTCCTCCCAGCTTTTGACGCAATCTCCATTCTCATAATCCTTTTCTCTTTATACCTCTCTATCTCATTTCCTTGAGATGGTGTCTAGTTTGCTTCTAAGTTTAAAGAGAGAGCCTGACACACGTGGAATACAACAGGCACATACACAGAGACAGCAGTGAGTTTGGTGGTGAGACAATATTTGGGAAGTATTATTGGGCAACAATGGGTCCAATTCAAGGTGTGCTGGTTCTCACCTTCAAAGCTCTACATGGCTTGGGGACAGGTTAGTTGAAGGACTGTCTTTTTCCAGTCACCTCTACCTAACCCAGCCCAAGAGAGGAAGTAGGGAATGTTATGGGTTTCATCTCTTAAAGAGGCCCTTCTAGTGCGACCAAGAAGAAGGACCTTCTCTGTGGTGACTTCCTCCCTGTAGAACATCATGCCCACAGAGATAAGATTGTCCCCCACTTTAACATGCTTTCTCAAGGCCCTAAAGATGTGGTTTTGCCAATGGGCCTGGGGAACCCTGAATGGAATGGAGCCCATCAAGTGCCTCATTTGATTGTAGTTGCCAGGGAACGAGGGGGTTATTGCTTTTTTATTCTTTTTGTATTGGGCTTTTATCTTTGTAAACTGCCCAGAGTCACTGAGAGTGAACCTACATGTCACACACTCCACTGAGAGCAATCTCCCTGAAAAAAAGTCAACACATTTCCCTTGATGCTACCCCCTCCCCCAAAGGATGGAAAACCTTGAATAGCATTCACACATTACATGCCATTTGTTCAAAATTCCCTGTTTAAATGGGGAAGAGTATCCTCCCCTGAATGTGGTTCCTCACCAGACACTGGATCACAGAATGACCAGCTTCCATTTGAGAGCTTATATAGGAGGAAAAGCAGATTTGGTCCCACTAATAAATACTGTGCTTAATTAGATAAATGGCCTAGATCAGTAATGGCAAACATTTTAGACACTGAGTGCCCAAAAACCGCCCCGTCCCTGCTTGCCCTGCCTCCACCCTGCCCGCCCACAGGGCCACCTAACGCCTCCATGGCCTGCCGCAGATCACTCAGGCGGCCCTGCGGCACCATGGCGGCCAAGCCCTCTGCCAGCACCCCGCTGCATCATCTGTGCACAATTGGACATGGGGACGGAGTCTTGTCCCTGCTGCCTGCCTGCAATGTCCTTGGCTGTGCTGCTCCACGCGGGCCACGCTCAGGGGCTACTCTCCTCCAGGGGGCTACTAGTGAGGAGGGGGTCATGGGGGAATCTGGGGCTGGGGTGACAGCATGCGTGCCCACAGAGAGGGCTCTGAGTGCCGCCTCTGGCACACGTGCCATAGGTTCGCCACCACTGACTTAGATATTCGTATATAAAACTTCTTTTATCTTATGAGCTGAGGTGGCGCAGAAGTTAGAGTGTAGTATTGCAGGCCACTTTAGCTGACTGTGTTCAGCAGGTCAGCGGTTCAAATCTCACCGGCTCAAGGTTGACTCAGCCTTCCATCCTTCCGGGGTAGGTAAAATGAGGACCCAGATTGTTGGGGGCAATGTAAATATATATATACATTGCTTACTGGTGTACACCGCTTAGAGAGTGCTTGCATTTAAAGAGGTATATAAGTCTCATAAATAAATAAATAAATAAATAAATAAATAAATAAATAAATATGAACTAATGTATTTTGAAATGTAACATAACTTAATAGACAGCTTCTTGATTTTTTGTTTACATCTTACAAAACTGACCACACATCTTTGTCTCGGATGCATAATAATAATAATAATAATAATAATAATAATAATAATAATAATAATAATAATAATAATAATAATAATAATAATAGTAGTAATAGTAGTAAAGTTGGAAGGGACCTTGGAGGTCATCTAGTCCAACCCCCCGCTCGGGCAGGAAACCCTACACCATTTCGGACAAATGGCTGTCCAGTCTCTTCTTTAAAATGTCCAGGGTTGGAGCATTCACAGCTTCTGGAGGCAGGTTGTTCCACTGGTTAATTATTCTAACTGTCAGGAAATTTTTCCTTAGTTCTAGATTGCTTTTCTCATTATATCACTATGTGTTCTTTTCATAATCTTTACTGCTGCTATCCATGTGTTTCATGTTAAATATGTTAAATAAAAAAAATGTTTATTTATTCTGTCCCCGAACAGCCTGCAATGGGACTTACTGGTGGTCCTCTGGCACCTTCTTGGCCTGGTAGCCCTGGGTCTCCAGGCTTACCCTGAAAAAGTCAAAATACATTTAGAATAGATTCTTGCACTGCTAAGCCATAAATCAGATTTCCATACTGCTTTGGCATAGTTTACACCAGTGTTTCCCAAACTTGACAATTTTAAGGCATGAGGACTTCAACTCCCAGAATTCCACAGCCAGCAACGCTGGCTGTGGAATTCTGGCAGTTGAAGTCCACATGCCTTAAAATTGTCAAGTTTGGGAAACACTGGTTTACACAATGCACAATGCCCCACAAAAACAAATGCATTCTGATGGAGCTCTGGAACCTTTTGACCAATAATAATGTGGCACGGTTCTTATTTACTTATTTATATCCTGCCTTTATTGTTTTTACAAATAACTAAAGGCAGTAAACGTATCCCACTTACCTCCCTCCTCCAATTTTCTCCACAATAATAACTTTATGAGGTGGGTTGGGCTGAGGGAAAGTGACTAGCCCAAGGTCGGCCCGCTGAAAACAAACGAAGTCCAATCCACCCTAATTTTTCAGGATATATTAAATAGAAACTGATTCTAAACTGCTGAACGTAAATCCTATGATTGTGATCAAATAAACTTGTCAAGCCAAACTGAAAGAAAAATCAGGAATATTCTCCTTCTTCTTATACAGCAGACTTTAACGTAGCAAGTTAGCTTTTTTTAATCTACATTCTCAACCATCATGGATCTCACTTATTCAGAATTTTTCTTCTGAGACTAAATGCAGTTTTAGTTCCCTCACTGAGTGACATACAAATGTATGAAAGGATAGCATGAAAAGTGTCTTTCCTCACCCAAATTTACGAATGTAAGGAGAGACTGTGACATCGTAGCCAAAGAACAAAGAATAGTGACAAAGAACAGTAGGGAATTATATTAACAACAAACTATCTTCTTACTGGTTCCCCCGGTGATCCTGGTTTGCCATCTTTTCCATCATTTCCAGCTACACCCTAAAACAGAACCCAAATAGATAAACAAGATTAAAGCTGCAAAGACATTCTGCAATATTATTTTTTTTGGGGGGGAGGTGATTATGAGAATAAAAGAAAAAACTGACCAAAGATGACTATTTTAGGGAAATTAGACTATATAGTAGCAAATCTGCCAACTCCATGCTGTGGAAAATCCATAAAAAAAAACTAGGATGTTATGAAAAGGAGCAAGTCAAACCAACTAACTAGGGTTTGTTGCTTCAGTGTCCCAGCCAATGAAATGCGTAATGTACATGCACACCAAATAATATTTCTTTTATCTAAAATGATGTACCGTATTTTCCGGTGTATAAGGCGACCCGGTGTATAAGATGACCCCCAACTTCGGCACCGATTTCCATGCCTAGAAAGTCATCTTATCCACCGGAAACTACCGTAATTTCTGGCGTATAAGACGACTCGGCATATAAGACGACCCCCAACTTCAGCGCCGATTTCCGCATGTTAGAAAGTAGTCTTATACGCCGGAAAATACGGTATTCCTTTTCGTAGATAAACACCTCAAACGCATCAGGCCATGCTTCTAACAGTGGAGCAAAAAGTGGTTAATGAGTTCATTAATGATGTTTACTGCAGTTTAGTTCCATGCTAATATGATGATGGTGTTATACTTTCAGTCAGAATAACAGAACAACAGAGTTGGAAGGGATCGTGGAGGTCTTCTAGTCCAGGGCTTTTCAACTAGTGGTACAGGTACCACCTGTGGTACATTAGCACCTTGCAGGTGGTATGCAACCATCCTAGAAAAGTGGTAGCGGGAGAAGGGAATGAGCTGAACTGGTGGTAGCACCACACAAGCCTGAGCGAGAGATGGCTGGAACTGCAAGGCTGTCAGGGCTCAGCGGAAGCGCCAGGATCAGTGCTGCTTTCCAGCTGATCAGCACTTCTTTGAGACTGTCAGGGCTCAGTGGAAGCACCAGGATCAGCGCCAGGCTCCAGCTGGAGCTCGACGTTGATCCTGGTGCTTCTGCTGAGCCCTGAAGAAGCACCAATCAGCTGGAAAGCAACACTGATCCTGGTGCATCTGCTGAGCCCAGAAGAAGCGCCGATCAGCTGGAATGTTGCAGCATCTCCATGGTCTTGTGATTTATATTCAGATGCTTGGCAACTGATTCATATTTATGATGGTCATAGTGTCCTAGAGTCATGTGAAGTGACCAAAACCTGCTTCAACCATTCAGCAGATGGGAAGGAATAAAAACCAAACACCCCCACCCCACCCCCACTGCCAATCCTCAACACAAATGCTCACAACAATGAAAACCTCGGACAGGAGGAAGAGCGCCACTGGGTGGGCAGGCAGATGTCTTGCTCAGCTGTGGCTTGGGGGGCACTTTTTTCAGTGCATTGTAACTTCAAACAGTCACTAAGTGAACTGTTATAAGTCGAGGACTACCTGTACTTTATCACTTTTTTCCTTTTTTTTTTTTGGTCATCAAGTTTTTGACACCTTGCTAGGCGACTGGTGGTACTCAGATACTGCCATATCCTAAAAGTGGTACAATGGGTGAAAAGGTTGAAAAGCCCTGATCTAGTCCAACCCCCTGCTCAAGCAGGAAACACTATACCATTTCAGACAAATGGCTGTCCAATCTTTTCTTAAAAGCTTCCAGCGTTGGAGCATCCACAACTTCTGGAGGCAAGTCCTTCCACTGATTAATTGTTCTAATTGTCAGGAAATTTCTCTGCCAAATTTCTCCTCTAGGGGTCCTACACTTAGTGATTCTATGGACCAGGGGTCTCCACATCTTCTGATCTTGCACTACTTCTTTGAGTTGTTCTATGCTCTGGCTGGTGTCAACTTTGAAGGTGTTCAGCCACATGTTCTTTGGCGGCCTGGTTTCCTTTTACCGCTAAGTCTTCCAAACACAATTGCTTTCCCCAGTGAATTCCCCAGCATGAAGTGGCCAAAGAAAGTGAGATGCAGTTTTGTGATGTTGCCCCATGCTAACATAGCTTCACATATTTATTACACCTGACAAAAATTGATATTCTGTTTGACAAGAAGCTTTTTAGAATATATACTCGTCCAGTTATGATTCTACAAAGGGATCTTTTTGCCAACTCAACCTCTGAGGTTTTGCTTGCAGTCATATCCCTGTACTAAAATTCAAACCATCCCCATGTCCTATAGTTCTATTATCTTTTACCTTGCAAGGTGCGTAATTAGAAAATCCATCATTATTAGTCAAGATCCAGAGCCACAGCTAGATTTACGAGTGCAGAAGGGGTGGAGATTGAGGTTGACCTAAGTCATCACACATACTGCACTCACTTTTTTTAAAAAAAGATAATTCCACGTCTTTTTCCATTAGATGTCTAAGAATGATAATATAGTTGAGGTCCTGGTGAATATAATCTGGAGCCATTTCACACACGAGAAGGCACCACTAATCTTAAATCAGTGCGTCCCCTATATCTCCTTGATCTTAGGAAGCTCAAAAAACTAAGTTGATTAACTCTTGGTTCATTTCCTGACCATAAACACTGTAAGGCAGTTTTGTAGGGTTCCTCCAGAGTTGTTTAGCAAGGCCATTTCTCAGTGGTGGAAATGCTTGTTCCAGCTCACCTCCTGACTCCTGGAACCCCTCCTCCTTTCTGCAACCTTGACACCATGCTCCCAATCTTCCTACTCGTTCTGATGGATGGCTTTGACCCTTGAACAGCCTTGTCCCACTTTGTTGTAAAACTTGCAAACTCAGAAAAGAAGATTGAGTGTGGGAGAGGATTGCCAGAGGATTTAACATAGCAGTAGAGATATCCATGCACAGCCGTAAAACTATTTGGAGTCAAAATATGGATTCATCTTGGCCAATAATCTTGATTCTAAGTAGAACAGATCTTTGAGATGATGCGAAGCAGGGCTGTAAAAGGATCTCATAAGAGCCCTTGACAGTGGAGATTTTTACCATGGTATTGGACTACTTTGATACCTTGATAGATTTCTCTCTCCTTACCAGGAGACACTTTTATCTTTACCTTCTCTTATTTTTTTTTTCCTTCCATGAATTATCTTTCTTTTCATAGATTGTCTCACCAAGTTTGAAATAATTAAAATTAATTAAAATCTGATTGCATGCCTGCCAATTCAAATTAAGAGGGTTTTTTTAAAAAAATGTCAAGCAATATGTGCACAGCCTACTATCTTAACATGCTATGTAGCTACATGGGGGTGGGGGTGGGAAGATATTGGGCACAAAACCTGTAGACAACCATACATGCTTCTCTTTAGCTCTGATATACACGTGGCACCTCCATTCCAGCTGAATTATTTCAGGATCCAGTAAAAATACTTCTATGTTGTTGTTAGTTGTGAAGTCGTGTCCGACCCATCGCGACCCCATGGACAATGTTCCTCCAGGCCTTCCTGTCCTCTACCATCTTCTGGAGTCCATTGAAGCTCATGCCTACTACTTCAGTGACTCCATCCAGCCACCTCATTCTCTATCGTCCCCTTCTTCTATTGCCCTCAATCTTTTCCAGCATCAGGCTCTTCTCCAGTGAATCCTTCCTTCTCATTAGGTGGCCAAAGTATTTGAGTTTCAACTTCAGGATCTGGCCTTGTAAAGAGCAGTCAGGGTTGATCTCTAGGACCGACTGGTTGGGTCACCTTGCAGCCCAGGGGACTCGCAGGAGTCTTCTCCAGCACCATAGTTCAAAGGCCTCAATTCTTTGGCACTCAGCCTTTCTTATGGTCCAACTTTCACAGCCATACATTGCAACTGGGAAAACCATGGCCTTGACTATACGTACTTTTGTTGGCAGGGTGATGTCTCTGCTTTTTAGTATGCTGTCTAGATTTGCCATAGCTTTTCTCCCCAGGAGCATACTTCTATAGGGGCGTGAAATTCAGAGTAGACTCTATTTTATAAATTTTATCTTCCATCAATAGTTACAGATATTCATACTTACCATGAGTCCAGGCAATCCTGGGGGTCCCTGAGGTCCTGGGAGACCTTCTTTCCCCTGTCAAAGAGGATACTACATTAGAATCATTAATCATGACCTGAAATCAAGTCATTACTTTGTACAGTCATTATACCAGATCTTGTCTCTCTCCCAGATCTGAAGAAGTATAATAGCTTTCTGGAAAGAAATATCCCATTTATCTCCCCCCCCCCATTTTTTCCCCAAATTTATCACCATGATCAATTCAGAGAGAAAAAGGCAAAACTCTAGAACAGGGATAGTCAACCTTGGCTCTTTTATGACTCGTGGACTTCAACTCCCAGAATTCCTGAGCCAGCTGTGCTGGCTCAGGAATTCTGGGAGTTGAAGTCCACGAGTCATAAAAGAGCCAAGGTTGACTATCCCTGCTCTAGAAGTCCTAAGAAATCTCTCAGAGCCTTAGTGAAATAAACTTGAAGATATTCTTGCAGCTTTTAGATTTTCCCCTTCATGGAACCCATCACTCATAGACACCCCAAAGGTGTTTTTCTCCCTTTCTTGATTTTTGATGTGAAAATGTTCTGCTTCTCGTCTGCTTCTCTGAAGAAGAACTGAAGAAGCTTCTTGGATGAGATGTAAAACATTTTCAAAGGAAAAAAAAAAAACAAGAAACTCCAGCGGACTTTTGGAAAAAGAAGCTTTGAGATAACTTTGACCTGGATGATTGATAATCTCAGTCATTCATAGACTCAACTCTCTCAGATCTTTTCCAATGTTCTAAAAGTTTTGAGGCCCCTTTTGTGAGGATTCTCTAATATTCAGAATGAATATTAGAATATGAAGAATATCAATTTCTTCCCTCAAGATGACACTACAAGGCATTGCACACCGGAACAACTAGACATAAGGACAGTTTTTTTTCCCATGCCGTCACTCTGCTTAACAACTAATTCCTACAACACTGTCAAAATATTAGTAAAGCTGTATTACTATGAAAATCCTCATCTTTCCTATTCCTTATCCTTATCTTCTTATGACTATAACTTGCTGCTTGTATCTTACAATTTACATTTTTGTACTCTAGTATGATTTATGTTGTTTTCTTAGCTAGTACTCTAAGACTATCACTAAGTGTTGCATCTTATGATTTATGATGAAATGCTGTATTTCACAATTTATGATGAATGTATTTTCATGTTGTATATAATCATGATTGCCACTATTACTTGTATGTATACTGAGACTTTACACACCGGAAACAAATTCCTTGTGTGTCCAACCACACTTGGCCAATAAAGTATTCTATTCTATTCTATTCTATTCTATTCTATTCTATTCTATTCTATTCTATTCCATTCCATTCCATTCCATTCTATTCCATTCCATTCCATTCCATTCCATTCTATTCTATTCTATTCTATTCTACTCTATTCTATTCTACTCTATTCTATATTCCATTCCATTCCATTCTATTCCATTCCATTCCATTCCATTCCATTCCATTCCATTCCATTCTATTCTATTCTATTCTATTCCATTCTATTCCATTCTATTCTATTCTATTCTAATTCTATTCTACTCTATTCTATTCTACTCTATTCTATATTCCATTCTATTCTATTCTATTCTATTCTATTCTATTCTATTCTATTCTATTCTATTCTATTCTATTCTATTCCATTCCATTCCATTCTATTCTATTCTAATTCTATTCTACTCTATTCTATTCTACTCTATTCTATATTCCATTCCATTCCATTCCATTCTATTCTATTCTATTCTATTCTATTCTATTCTATTCTATTCTAATTCTATTCTACTCTATTCTATTCTACTCTATTCTATATTCCATTCCATTCCATTCCATTCCATTCCATTCCATTCCATTCTATTCTATTCTATTCTATTCTATTCTATTCTACTCTATTCTATGAACAGCAACTTACCATTTCTCCTGGAGGTCCTGGAGAGCCTACAGGCCCCGGGGAGCCCTCTGCTCCCTAAACAACAATGAAAAAAGGTGTTTAATGTAGCAAATCTTTATCCTAGATATGATGGCCTTGAAGTTTTCATTTACTATCATGCCCCACCCTGCAAAAAACATACATGATAATTGATAGTTGATGCAGAATTTGTATCTCTGGTGAAACCTTTCTCATATGGCTTGGAGATAATTTTTGCACATTAGTGCTGAAACTCTCTATATTTGCTGTAGCAAATATTGTACCATGATAGTGTGGAAGGAAAAGTCTTCATCAGGGTCCAGTCCAAGCCAGGAATAAACAACATGGTGACTGCTTTAGAAAGAAGGTTGTAGTTTATTGAAAGGGAGAGCCAGACAGAAAGGTGGCTCTGGAAGAAAAGAGAGAGAGCACATGTAGGGAGTGGGTTTTTATACCATTTGGGACTCTTGAAGTTGTTTCTTATTCCTGTTTGAGGCTTTGTATTTCCTGTGTCATGTACTTTGACCATCTGTGGGTTAACCCTATTATGTCCTGTCTTAGAGTTTGGGTGGGGTATGTAGATTTTAGGTGTCTTTGTCTTCCTAAGCTTCTATCTGGAGGGCTCCAACCTTCCTGAATGGATTATCACACCTGCATTTCTACAGAACTGGTTTCTGCTTGTGGGAGGGAGACTTGAAGCTATTAAGAAAAACTGGGCATGCTTTTCTGCCTCTTTAAGATCCTTTGAGGAAATATAATATTCTGCCCTTTTAATATTTCCTTTTCTGGGGGAGGTGACTTCCCACAATAGATGGAGAAATTTTAATAAGATGAGCACCTATAAAGGACAGTCCATCTATCATGGTACAATATTTGCTACAGCTCTGAGATCTAGACTGTAGAAGTCTATATAATGCTCCAAGGTACAAATTATTGAATTATCATCAATGACAACCTCATAAAATTATTATTGACATCATCATCAATAACTGAATAATCATCAATAACATCAAGATTATTGAATTATCATTAACAATAATCAAAATTATTGAATCATCATCACCATCATCTCAAATAGATTTACAATAACAATTTGCCTTATATTCTAGTAGATGAAGGTTAAAAATTAACATGCAAATGAAAATCTTACAGCTGGGCCTGGATTCCCAGGGGGACCCATGAAGCCAGGCATCCCAGGATGACCCTACAGACAAGAACAATAATTATTACACATGTTATTATTTGTACTGTATAGTTCATGTTCTTCTTAAGCGTTACAAGCAAACAACTTACCACCCTACATGTGTATCAAGCACTGCATATACCACCTAATTCTTGAAGAACAGCTACAGTAACATGCATTAATTTCAAGGTGGAAGCATGGTGGCTCATGTGGTTAGAATACTGGGTTGACAATTTGCAAGTCCACATTTGAGACCTGAATGCTGCTGTATAATGGGGCGAGTTCCTGGCATTCGCTCTAAGGGATCTTCAAACTTGGCCCTTTTATGACTTGTGAACTTCAACTCCCAGAATTCCTCAGCCAGGCACGCCGGCTGAGGAATTCTGGGAGTTGAAGTCCACAAGTCATAAAAGGGCCAAGTTTAAAGACCCCTGCTCTAGCTCCTGCTCAGTTCAAAAGTGTGCAAACTTGTGTAGATAGATGGGTACCACTTTGGTGGACACATTGAAAGGAGCCCCCATTGGCATCCCCTGGGCAACGGTGATGTCACTGGTTAATCCTTTCAACCAAGAAGCATCTGGGTGCTTCCAACACAAACGGGACAGGATTTCCAAGATGGTCCGTTGATAGGGATTTTAGGTTGCACTGAACAGTGAGATCCTGCTTTGAGTAAGATTGAGCTATGATTGGACCTCTGACATACGAACCATAATATGCCCAAAGTGATGGGACTTGTCTTTATCATCAGGATGGAAAGTTTCATCGAACATGGGTATGACTAAGGCACATCACCATGTCTAAACCACACTTTCCATGTTCTACACTACGTTAAAAGTTAGCAAGTCTATAACATGTTAAAAAACATTGTGATTTCCCCCCTCCCAAACAATGCCATAAGTGTATGATGAAACTTAAAAAAAATGTGGATGTGGTTTACTACTGGAGTTATTGCAAGATTTTCATAGGTGCATAAAGGTTGCACTTATGCTTGACACCTAAAACACCCTGCTATTTTTTCCTCTACGCCAAGGGAAATATAGCAAGAGTGAATTAAAAAAAAAAAAAAACCAGCCAAGGTGTCTTGCAGAATTATAATTCACAAGACACAAGAGATGAGCCGAGGTGGCGCAGCAGTTAGAGTGCAGTACTGCAGGCCACTTTAGCTGACTGTGTTCAGCAGGTCAGCGGTTCAAATCTCACCGGCTCAAGGTTGACTCAGCCTTCCATCCTTCCGAGGTAGGTAAAAAATGAGGACCCAGATTGTTGGGGGCAATGTAAATATATATATACATTGCTTACTGGTGTACACCGCTTAGAGAGTGCTCGCACTTAAAGCGGTATATAAGTCTCATAAATAAATAAATAAATAAATAAATGATGGCGAGTCACATTTGAGTGCAATGCAGCTTTGTGGAAGTTAGATTTTTCTCTTCAGAAGACTTTTGAGGAAAGCATGAAAGAGAGACTGTTTTTGAATTAGTGAAAGCTTGGGATAACAATGAATGCTAACTAATTCTAGATCTGTTGTAAAAATAGGGCTGAAGATTGGTTGCTGAACATAATGAATGAAGCATATGTGGAAGTGAAATTTGAATGAGAATAAATGCAGTGTTTAATTGATGTTTGGACACTGTGCAACTAGTAAATTAAGGAGGTATATAATGTCCTCTTGGTTTTTTGGTGTATTGATGTTCAAATATATAACGAATACATGTGTGAACACTCAATAGGTACATTGGTGAATCCATAAATGCATGCATATGCAGAGAGGTCTGTATTTAACACTCTGACTAATTTATAATGAATGTTAGATAGATGGCTGTTTTGTCATGCAGAGGTTATGGATGAGAATTAAATTACAAAATAAATATATAAAGGCAAAGTGAACTGGACAAAAATAAGGAGAAGACTAAAAAAGATATAGCTGAAGGGAGTGCATGACATCTTCATGAAATGAAATGAGTTGTGTCATTTTAAAAAAATAGCAATGTAGGAAGCAGTCTCTGGGCATGGTGTAAGCAAGGATGGTTTATTAGAAGAGAAAGATAAGAAAAAAGTCTTGGTGTAAATTGGTTTGGGTATATTTTCTTTTCTTATTAAAATCCAATGTCTTTAATTGCTTTGGCTATTTTTTCATGCTTTCTGCACTCTGCATTATTCTACTTATGCCAAAAGGGAATATTATATAAAGGCTTTGTGTACATTTCTGTATGCACACAATCTACCAGCCAAAATGTTTGGGTTCCAGACTATAAACCAATTTCTTGGCCCTATCACTATTTTAAGAAAAGTATGAATGACAAAATATCTCATCTACATTCAACCTTAGTTGTGTTTATTATTTTCCCTAGGAATATGGTTTCAACATAATACAGCGTGTTATTTTTCCCCTGAGAACATAGCAAGCACAGTTTCTGAATAAATAAATACTCTTCTCTCTGTGTATCTGTATCAGAAATGCACATAAATAAAAATAAGCATCTGCAATACATCTGAATTATACTAGGGGTTTTTCCCCTTATTTTTTGTTGTGTGTGAAGAACAAAAGTTTGAGGAATGACAAGGTGTTACTGAGACCTCCCTGGGGATTTCACATAGCTGGTTCAACTTAAGCAGTAATTTCAACTTCGCAGGATCAAAGTCTTGCAACTTTAATCTTTCTGTATGAAAAACAACTTGAGCAAAAGAATATGGGAGCTATCAGAACGAGAAAAACCCTCCCTTTGCTATTTTTCCCTCTCCTAATCATAGCACAAAGCCAATGTTCATAGCATCTATTTAAGTATCATCCATGGCTAAATCTGGACGTCATGTGTAGGGTAAACATGGATGTTCATGACTCCAACAACACAATACCATTTGTTCACAGTGAGTCTGATGACTAAATATGGTGACTTATGTGCTAGGGAAATTTTCCTGGCACTGCTTCCGAAGAAAATATTTTTTGGGGAGGGGGGAAGAAGAGAAATAATTGGTCATATTTTCCTGCCCCCAGTCTTGGAGGGTGTCAAAATACCAAAGAGATGATACCATGGAGGGACAAATATCTTTCTTGTATTGTTCCTCCTCTGAAGCATGATGGTATTCTGTTTCTAATAGCTGGCTTTCCAGGTTTTCCAAGTATCTTGGAGACTAGATATCATGCAGAATCCAACCGAGTTGGTAACTGGGGCCAGAGATTTAGTCTCTCAAGCTTTTAGACTCATGCTGGAGCCCATCTTCTCTCTCTATATGTGCTCTGGATTGTTCTGTGCATAGTATTTATGTTGTGTCTGCATTGTGTCTGTGGTTGGTTGTGTTGTTTTTAGTTGTTAATTGGTGTGTCGGTGGCCGGCTATTAAGTTGTTGGTTGTTTCCTAGTGCTGCTGTGCCCTCGGCTCCTAAGTACCTGGTACGCTGGTGGTAAATTAGCCCTCCTATTGACTAACAAGTGGCTGGCTTCCCAGGCTTCGGTCCTTTCCTGGCTATTTTTGTACTGCTCAGCCAACAATCTTAGTAGCTGTGAAATTGAATGTGTGTCGTTATCAACTATAGAAAACTCCATTTCTGCCTTCCCTGGATTCTGCCATATGGTGAAGGGAAGGGGGTGAACAAAGGGGTTTTATGGCCCTCACTTCCTTCAGTACACTTCAAAGAAACTGAATGTGGATATCGCCAAAAGGACTAACCATAAGAATGGGGCTATTACCTTTCATGTAGTTCTCTCTGAAGTCTCCATCCAACTGGCAGTAAGGAAAAGGGGGTGTGAGCATAATGCCTGAGACTGTCGCTGGAAGAAGGGGGTGATTGGGTGGGGCTACTGGGGAACCCCTTAAAACCTTGAATGGGAGAGTTTAGACCCCAAGTCCTGTCTAGAACACCTGCAACAATTTTCTCTTAATAAAGGATGCCTGTTGGAAGAATTATTCCAAGAGTTCTGTCTTCTTAAGATGCAAAGTGGGGTGGGTCCTTACAGTCCTTGTTCATTGCAATGTGAAGCTACCAATGAATTTGGGTCTCCTCATCTAAACACCTGCTCATGTTCTTGCCATCCGGTAGTTAGATTCCTCCCCATCTATCCCAACTGGTAAATTACGCTAGACGTTCCTCATACCTCCAAGCGATCTTTGCAATGAGTGGTTACATTGCTAGATATCATTCGACTGAGTTGCTTAAGGTTGATTTGAAATTCTACAGCAATGTTTCTCAACCTCACCAGGTGTAAGAGGTGTTCATTTCAACTGGCTGGAAAAACTCTGGGAGTTGAAGTTCACACATCTTAAAGTTGTTGAGATTGAGAAACATGCTCTAGACCAGTGGTTCTCAACCTTTTTAATGCCGCGACCCCCAACTGGTCATAAGTCGAGGACTACTCAACTGGTCGTAAGTCGAGGACTACTCAACTGGTGCAGCACCGTTTGCAGAATGGGACTTTTGGCAGGCTCAGCAGGGCAGAGACAGCCTGGACAATTGCTATTGGCTTTTGAAAGCCAATAGAATTAGACTCTATTCAAGAAAGTCTATTCTATTGGCTTTCAAAAGCCAATAGAATAAAAGGGAGTAGCACAGCTAAGGAAAAGGGGAAAAAATGGCGGACTGCGTTGTTTGGTGACCCCTGTGAAATGGTCACTCGACCCCAAATGGGGTCCCGACCCACAGGTTGAGAACCACTGCTCTAGGCCAAACTCCCTGCTTAAAAACAGCAACTCTAAGCTCCAGAGAAGTGTCGAATCTTCCTCTCTCTTGTGTGCTCCCCCTGTGTAAACCTGTGTGCAGCAGCTGCATTTGCTATATGTGCTGTTGTGATGCATCTTAAGTGTTTTCTCTACTGCAGTCTGCAGCAGAGATTGATAAACAGCATACTTAAATGAGATGGCAGCTGCTGGGATCAAAGCTCTCTGGTGGCAGACCAAGCAAAGCAGATGTCTAGATCTTGAGGGTAATAGAAGCTCAGTAAAGAGATAGAACAAAATTTCCTTTCATTTCTGGCTTGCTAATACTCTCAGGAGAAATATCAAACAGCTATTCCATCACCATTTTTTCATATCAACATCAGGATTTATCTTCGCAGATAAATTGTGCTGCTTAATAACTCAATTCAAAAAAGTCAAATGTCACGGAGTAATCTCTCTCTCTCTCTCTCTCTCTCTCTCTCTCTCTCTCTCTCTCTCTCTCTCACACACACACACACACACACACACACACACTCCAAATAATATGCTAACTTCAAAGGAAATTATTATTTTTTAAATGTTTTCAATTTTCCTTTCACGCTTTTATTACTTATGCCAGTGGTTCTCAACCGGTGGGTCGGGACCCCATTTGGGGTTGAACGACCATTTCATGGGGGTCGCCAAACAACGCAGTCTGCCATTTTTTCCCCTTTTCCTTAGCTGTGCTACTCCCTTTTATTCTATTGGCTTTTGAAAGCCAACAGAATAGACTCTCTTGAATAGAGTCTAATTCTATTGGCTTTCAAAAGCCAATAGGAATTGTCCAGGCTGTCTCTGCCCTGCTGAGCCCACCAAAAGTCCCATTCTGCAAATGGTGCTGCACCAGTTGAGTAGTCCTCGACTTACGACCGGTTGAGTAGTCCTTGACTTACGACCGGTTGGGGGTCGCAGCATTAAAAAGGTTGAGAATCACTGACTTATGCAAACTAGATGCCGTCTTAATGGCCAAGTCTACGTGTCTATCGTACAACCTATGACTTTCACGATGACTAAAGACTAAAGGCATATGAATATTTTGGCACAATAACTCAAAAGCAGGGCACAGAGCTTTCTTTGGGAAGTGAAGAAGAGTCAAGTTAGAGATTTTGTTGTTACCGAGTGGTTTTAAAAAAAAATCATGCTCATTCCTTATTTTCTCTCACCTGTTCACCCTTCAGTCCAGCTTCACCAGATGCCCCATCCTCTCCTTTAGAACCCTAATTTAAAAAAAAAAAGTCCAATAAGATGACTTGGTTTAATGGAAGAGATTAAGAGCATACCCTCCCTTCTGGACCAGTGGGCTGGGCAAAATCAATGGGTGATAGGCTGTTCTTGTGCCATCTAAGGTTGATAGGTGGTAACCATCAATGTGAAGCAGACTCAGAAACTTTCTAGAATCCAGCATGGTTCATAGAACAGTGTTGTTATATGAGCACATCAAGAGATGCCCCAAACTGCCCACATTTTTGCATTCTGGACCAGCTGTAGCTTCTGCACCAGCAGGAACGTCTGAATGATCTTCAAAGGTAGCCTCACATACTGTGTGAGGTATCTTAAGGCATGAGATCTCCCAGTCCAGAATGGAAGCATTTCTGCCCAAGATGAACCTGTGAAAAAGCCGCTCTAGCCATCGCTGCCAACTGCTCCTTGAGCAGAAGCCATGAATCCAAGAAGACCCTCAAATTGCACAATCTTAATTGGGAAGTGCTGATTTCTGGGACTTGTGAGGAGTCAATACAATTGGAGGGCATCGTATTAGGGTTAGGATTCTGTGCATCAATGCTCTAATTGATGCATTGTTAGGGCTTATTCTTAGTTTTATGCAGTAGAGTTGTAGCTCAGTAAACTCCTTCTTAAAGATATAAGAGCTACTTGAAACAGGTGTTCCATGGAAGCTTATTCCACTGATGTTCCACTCATCTTATTTTCCTCCAGCTTTGGAGGAACAAGTGTTTTGGAAAGTCAATTCTCTTCAGACAAGGAGTGGTCTTTCATGCTAACTTGAGCGTGCCTATGAGGTTAAATTCCTGCAACTGTTCCATGTATAACAGCCTCGATCCCTTTTCTTTAAAAAGGAATAGGAGACACAAACATATTCAGACTGTTAAATGCTAGAATAAATAAGTATTTTTTGTAGGAAGCAGGATTTGATGGACCTTGAAATTGGAATGCTTTTCCCTTTGAATACTTCTTTTCTATTAGTACAAGGAGTCTTCTCTGCCTATGCTGGTTGTTTTCAAATGCATATTTTTGAGGAGAAGCAAGAGTTATATAAGATAGAATGTACATCTTACCTTGGGACCTTCCCCTCCTGGAGGTCCAGGGGGACCTCTCAGTCCAGGTTCTCCCTGAAAGAAACACAGTTTACAAACAGATGTTTTCTAGCTCAATTGTTCATTCTTGTAGTATCCTGGCAACATCTGGTATCATAAAATGGTCTATGCCTATGGGAGGACAGAGGGCACAGGATGAAGCAATGGGAAAGCATATGCCACTGTTTCAACCTGTGTCCTCTTCCTCTTATACAGATAAATGGGGTGACCCTGTCCTCCCATAGGAACAGACCATTTGATGATACCATATGGTTTCCACTCAGAGCTTTCTACAGGTTTCCCAGTGCCTTGGCTATAGTTGCCAACAAATTGTTGTGTTTTTTTAAACATAGAAGAAGGAGGTAATATTTACACAAAATGGAGCACAATCACATTAGAAGATGAGTGATTAATTAACGATACTTTTGAATCTGACTCAATATAGCTTGGTAAAAAAGGATCTATCACAGATTCATCATGCCATTTGTTGGTACAGATGAGACCCCCCCTCTTCCTGTTGGGTTTATTGCATGAGATCCTTTGATATTTATATTAATTAGATTTGTTTATTACATTAATGAATAATTTATTATTTGTATAAATAACATATTTAATCATCCTCCCTCCTTCTTGGATGGAGTCACTGAAGCAGTAGGTGTGAACTTAAATGGACTCCAGAAGATGGTAGAGGACAGGAAGACCTGGAGGAACGTTGTCCATGGGGTCGCGATGGGTCGGACACGACTTCGCAATTAACAACAACAACAACAACAACCCTCCTTCTATTGTCCCCACAACAACATCCTTGTGAGGTGTGTTGGGTTGAGAGAGAAGACTGGCCCAAAGTCACTTAATTGGCTTCTTTGACTAAGGCAGGTCTAGAACTCATAGTCTCTTGGTGATTGGCCCAAAGTCACCCAACTGGCTTTTTAAGTCCTTCAAAACATCCTAATCAAGAATAAAAAACAGGAGTCATCTACAGCATATACTGTAAGAACTTCAACAACCAGTATGTAGGACAAACAAGCAGAAAACTGGCAGAATGCATCCATGAAGGCAGTCAAAAGGCATGACGAAAACTATATAGATAGATTTAATCATAGCTTCAATTGGGAAAAGGTGACAACCCTAGACCAGGCCAAATCCAAAACTGCCAGGGAAGCCTGGCACTCTGACAAATCAGCATCAATAAACACATAGGCATTAATGTAACATCTATAGACAATGCAAAAGAGACAATTAACTAGACCACAAGAGAAAAAGACTCCATCATCTCTCCACCAATAATCAGCACCCTGATCAGCATAGATTAATTCCAAGGTTAACATCAGACCAAGCAATACCCCAGTCAAGAAACTGCCAAAGATCCATTAGTAAACAGCTGCCAAAAATAATCCCTAAGACCATCTTCACCCACCCACACAGCCAAGACACCTGAATATAAACTGACAGCATACAGCACTCTTTACTAGCATTGATGATGTTACCTAGTTAGGTAATGACATGTCTACAGGAAAACAAGCAAGCTCAGAGAGCAGCAAGGACCCCTCAATAAATAAATCTGAACAAAACCAAGTTAATAGAATAATAAAAAAACAATAATAACAGAAACAAGTAATAGCAATAGTAATAGATGCCTTAGGTGCAATCCCAATATTACTTGAGCACCACTTGAACACTATTGGCGTTGACAAATTGATCATCAGTCAATTGCAAAAGGCAGCTTTACTTGAAACAGCTTACATCCTGAGATAATATGTGTAACATCATCAAACTTCCACATCTGCATATCCCAGGTCTTTGGGAAGGACTCAATAGGTGGGAAAAAATGCCAGGTCTGAACATCTGGCTGATTATACAACACACATAACAGAAACAGCAAAAGCCAATTGATACATCTCTCATTCAGGGTCTTATCCTGTATATGGGCTTACCCCATAAACTGGCCCAATGTTTGGAGGAAAGAGCCTGAACTTTAAGGCCTTGTAGAAGAACCAGTTTGACCATTTTGCCATTGATCTTGATAGCAACTAAACAGAATCAGGCAGGACTTCTAGCCTAAGTGATTTATAGCATCTCCTAGACATTGCTTGGGGATACATCAGAAATGCATGCAGGTCACAGAGGTAGCCCAATAAATCACTAATGTGTTCAAAGAATGATTATTATTAATGCAAGCGCATTCTGTCAAATATCCTAGCAGAGGTAATCTCTTTCTCCCTCTAGCCCAGGGGTAGGCAACCATGGCTCTTTTATGACTCGTGGACTTCAACTCCGAGAATTCCTGAGTCAGCATAGCTCACGCAAGAATTCTGGGAGTTGAAGTCCACAAGTCATAAAAGAGCCAAGGTTGCCTATCCCTGCTCTAGTCTGTAGGAGTACATCTACAAGGAAGTACAGCAAACTCTGCAAATAAGCCTATTCTAATCTAGAGAAGGACGACTAGAGATGACATGATAGCAATATTTGAAGGGCTGCCACAAAGAAGAGGGGGTCAACCTATTCTTCAAAGCACCAGAGGGCAGGACAAGAAGGAAGGATGGAAACCAATCAGGGAGAAAACCAACTTGGAAATAAAGAGAAATCTCCTAACAGTTAGAACAGTTAAATCAGTGGAACAGCCTACTTTCAGAAGTTGTGGTGCTCCATCACTGGAGGTTTATAAGAAGAAATTGAACAGCCATTGTCTGAAATGGTATAGGGTCTCCTGCTTGAGCAGAGGTTGCAGTAGAAGACCTCCAATGTCTCTTTCAACTCTGTTATTCTGTCTCTCATACTTTAAGTCTTTCTTACCCTTTTTCCAACGGGTCCATCATTCCCAGGTGAGCCTCGAAGGCCTTTATCACCCTTCTGTCCTGGCATTCCAGGGAGACCAGAGGGCCCAGGGGGACAATCAGTGCAAATATCCTAAAGAGGAGAATCATAGTGTTATTGAAGCAGCAGACCATTCTTCTCAAATGCAAGTCTACCTTGACTTTGTTGTATTGAATTATTTATTTGTTTATTTATTTATTTATTTATTAAAATTTATAAGCCGCCCCACTCCCGGAGGACTCTGGGCAGATAACAATAAAAAACACATAAAACATAACAAACAACAATACAAAAACAATCATCCAGGGGTAAGGTTTTATAAACTCCAGGCCTGCCGGAAAAGCCAGGTCTTAAGTAGCTTACGGAAGACCAACAGGGTGGGAGCGGTCCTAATCTCCGGGGGGAGCTGGTTCCAAAGCGTGGGCGCCATCACAGAGAAGGCCCTCCTCCACGGCCCCACCAAATGGCACTGCTTGGCCGACGGGACCTGAAGGAGGCCCAGCCTGTGGGATCTAACCGGACGTAGGGAACTATGAGGTAGTAGGCGGTCTCGCAAATAGCCTGGCCCTGAGCCATATAGGGCTTTAAAGGTAATGACCAACACCTTGAATTGGAGACCAATAGGCAACCAGTGCAGCTCACAGAGGATAGGTGTAACGTGGGTGTATCGAGGAGCACCCACTATCACTCGCGCGGCTGCATTATGGGCCAACTGTAGTCTCCGAATACTTTTCAAGGGTAGACCCATGTAGAGCGTGTTGCAGTAGTCCATTATGAATTGAATGTAAATTAAAGAAGCCTTTGTTTCTGTCTATGGGTCTGTGGCACTACTCATTATAGCCACGCTTTACTATTTTATTCATCTTACAGTTTGGAAAGGTCTTCTGGTGTCTTCCTCATAGCTGAGTTAATGCTTTACTGGCCCCAGTAAAGATGGTCCTTCCAAATGTAGAATGGAAAATTAGTAGTGACTAGCAGGACTATGCACTAGATTGGGAAGCTGGGAAAAAAGAGTCCCACAAGAAGACAATGACAAATGATTTTTATATTGCTACCCCCTCATGACAGAGAGAGAGAGAGAGAGAGAGAGAGAGAGAGAGAGAGAGGGGGAGAGGGAGGGAGGGAGAGAGAGATGTGCTCATGATGTTTACCAAAAGTTAATCTTGACTTGAAGAAGACTACTTAAGAGGAGAAAAAAAGAGAAGTAAATAAATGTACTTCCTTTGTTTTCATGAACATCCTTTGCACATCTACATTTTGTCTTGAGCCTCTCCTTCTTATAATATGCATGCATAATACGTTTTACAAGCATTTTTAGACTTTGATGGTTTACATTAATGTTCCCCAAGTAGTAGGTCTTTGGACACCTGGGGAAAGAACTTACCTTAACGAACAGTCTGATGTCATCAGGGGTAAGGATAGGAGGGGAACCCTAGGAGAAGAAACATAAAAACACCTATATCATTTATGGAGATCATTTCAGAAAATCTGGTTTCAAAGGTAGAACGTAAAAGATCATCTACCCATGGATCAAACGTCTTTTTTTTCCCACACTCAGCCCTTGTTTATTGCATTCAATAATGCTAAGCAAAGATACAGAATACAGTAACTTGTCTGGTCCTGGGAATTGGCAACTTTGCCTCTTTACAGAAGTATCTAAAAAGTCAATCTTATTTTAATTAAGTCTGTCAAGGTCATATCTCTTTCAGCCTTAAAACTGTCTTGAAGAATAGCCTTAAAGAGAAGACTTCTTTCCTTAAATCAAATAATGAAGTCTTGTTCTCATCAAGAAAGACTTTCTTTGGAAAATTCCCTGGGTTTTTTTGTTTGTTTGTTTGTTTTTACACATTTTATTAAATGTACATTTTAAAAACAAAAATGGACATGATTCAACTTCCCTGGCTTCAACAGTGCTATTAGTATTACCTTATGTTACAGAAAGAAAAACAGAAACTTAAAATACATTCTATAACAGGACAGAGTATAGCAAACTGTGCATAGAACATCTGTAAATTTTTTGATAAACCATCTTTCAATTGTCAACATTGTATTTACATATCTTTCAGTTGTATCCTAATATAGGTACTAATAAGAAGTCCTTATGATATCAACTAGTCAATCGATAATCATCTCAGCGATCCTCCTTAACTCTAACCCAGTGGTTCTCAACATTTTAATGCCGCGACCCCCAACCGGTCATAAGTCAAGGACTACTCAACCGGTCGTAAGTCGAGGACTACTCAACTGGTGCAGCACCGTTTGCAGAATGGGACTTTTGGCGGGCTCAGCAGGGCAGAGACAGCCTGGACAATTCCTATTGGCTTTTGAAAGCCAATAGAATGAGACTCTATTCAAGAGAGTCCATTCTATTGGCTTTCAAAAGCCAATAGAAAAAAAGGGAGTAGCACAGCTAAGGAAAAGGGGGGAAAAATGGTGGACTACATTGTTTGACGACCCCCGTGAAATGGTCGTTCGACCCCAAATGGGGTCCCGACCCACAGCTTGAGAACCACTGCTCTAACCAATCGTACAATTTTTTCCAAATTTTATAATACTCTGGATCAAATGTCTTTTTGAAGGACCACATTACTGAAGCAGTTCTCACAAAGGAGAAGGAGCTCCACTACCACTGATGTAAGAGAGTGATAGAGATGTCTACAACATCAGGGGTGGGCAACTATGGCCCTTTTATAACCTGTGGCATTCAATTTCCTGGCTCAGGAAATCTGGGTGTTGAAGTCCACAGGTTGTAGAGGAGCCATAGTTGCCCACCCTTGTACAACATAGTATGGTTTTCTTCTCAGGTATTCACGTACTGTACTGCAGTACAAATATTTGCTTGGAACAAAGTTGTTGATTTCTTAATGAAACGTGCCAATGAAAAGAAAGAGAAGAGAAAGAGAGAAAGGTTATGCAGTGACCTACTGGTTTTCCTGGTGGTCCTCTTTCTCCTGGATTTCCAGGTAAACCCTATAGAAAGAAAGGGGAAAAAAGAATAATAGGGTCCTTGGTGCTCTTTGAACTTGGTGGTTTTCTTGTAGATGTTTCATTACCAAACTACATAACATTATCACTTCAAGGATCTCACAGATGAACCTGAACTTCAAATATTCTCTTCTCTTGGTACCAAATATGGGTATCAAAAAAGAATAGTGTTGTTCATTCATACAATGCAATTACACTCAGGTGTACATAGATGCCAAGTTTCTTTTTTCTCTTTAGCTACAATGTGTTCCATTAGTAAAAATAATTTTCACAATAGTCATATTCATCTAAGTAGCAAGATTCAGGAAGTTATGAGAGCTTCAAATTTCATAGAATAAAGGATTCTTGTGGTCAATACAGGAATTGGATATGTTTAATTTAATGAAAAGAAAGACTAGGGTGACATGATAGCAGTGTTCCAATGTTTGCAACAAAGAAGATGGGGTCAACCTATTCTCCAAAACATCTGAAGGCAGGACAAGAGGCAACAGATGGAAATTAATCAAGGAGAGAAGCAACCTAGAACTAAGGAGAAACTTCCTGACAGTTAGAACAATTAATCATTGGAACAACTTGCCTCCAGAAGTTGTCAATACTCCAACACTTGGACAACCATTTGTTTGAAATGTTACAGGGCTCCCTGCCTGAGCAGGGGGTTGGACTAGAAGACCTCTTCCAACTCTATTATTCTGTACTGTTCATGTCTTTGTATGTTCAGTTTTCATGTAAGATGTTTCTATATCCTATGCTGATGTTCAGGGGTCTCTGCTGAATTCTGGTGACATGATCCTGATGTAATCTGGGGAAATATTTTTTTTAAAAAAAAGACTTTGGAAGTCACCTGGGGGCAATTTGTTGACCATTTCTTTTCTCATTAAAAAGAAAACAGTCCATCGTAACTTGAAATCTTTCCATCTAGGTCTTTGAAAAAGAGAAGAGATTGTATTTAGAGTTTTTCAGTTAATTCATCAATGTCATTTTGCGTAAAAGTAGATTTTGGGAGAATCAATTCTGTCCCCTATTTCTATCTGTCTACATTTTCACTTTCTTTCTTTCTTTCTTTCTTTCTTTCTTTCTTTCTTTCTTTCTTTCTTTCTTTCTTTCTTTCTTCTTTCCTTCCTTCCTTCCTTCCTTTCTTCCTTTTTCTTTCCTTCCTTTCTTCCTTCCTTCCTTCCTTCCTTCCTTCCTTCCTTCCTTCCTTCTTTCTTTCCCTTCCTTCCTTCCTTCCTTCCTTTCTTTTTCCTTCCTTCCTTCCTTCCTTCCTTCCTTCCTTCCTTCTTTCTTTTTTCTTTCTTTCTTTCCTTCCTTCCTTCCTTCCTCCCTCCCTCCCTCCCTCCCTCCCTCCCTCCCTCCCTCTCTTTCTTTCTTTCTTTCTTTCTTTCTTTCTTTCTTTCTATCTAACTGCTGGCTGATTACTGCAATTATCTGTTTCTACTTTGCTGAGCTCAGCTAGAACATGAGACACGTGGGAAGAGAAACCAAGAAGAAATTCACTGATTATTTCCTTCCTGCAAGTTTGCATCATTCTGTGCATTCATCTCCCTTATAAATAGAAAAGGAAAGATTTCTAGAAAGCAATTACTGCTGATTGAAGTCCTACAAAGATGAGCTATGGATAATAAGTTATTCTTTGAATTGCACATCCTTGGGCATTATGAAACAGACCCAATATTATTAAAAGAATGGATTTTTAGTGGCTAATCACATATTTTAAGGCAGGGTTGCTAGAGTCCTGAATTTTTTTTTCCCTGTTGCTCAAAAGTTCCTCTTCCTTTAAGACAGGGAGTTCATTCTATTTATTGATTATATGGGTTGCTTCATCAATATTGCGTTATTGAAATGATTACATCTTATGTTGTAGCCTTCTTTACTTTGTACACTGCTGAGGGATTACTTCACCAACAAGCTATTATTTCACTAACAAGGTAAAAAAAAAAACTGCATTGTCTGTGTGGGTTTTTTTTTTAGTTTTGAAGGGATAAGGAAAACTATGCTTCCTCTGGTCTCATAATTTTTGCTCAACAATCCATTGTATTTCATAAATTAATAAACCATCAGTCTTTTCACTTACATCCTGACCAGTCAGTCCAGGGGGACCTTGGATGCCTGGTAAACCCCGAGAACCCTGGTGAAACAGAAAGAAGGAATTTGATGCATTATTTCTAAGCTTACATACTATATTTTTCTATGTCATGGATGGAGAAACTTATTTGAGGCAAGAATTATCCTTGGTCTTCAACAGCATTCTAAATAGTTATGGTAGAGATCAGAAGGAAGGAAAAAAAACCTCAATAATGTATGCTTCTATAAGCATTAATTACTAATTAATCCAATAATCTCTGGTCATGTGTTTAGTGATTTATCCTCTTAGGTTAAAATTACAGTTTGCCAACAGTTTTGAATGTCACTCTCACATGTGGTTCTGAGTCCTCCTGTATACCATTGATTTAAGGAGAAAATAACTAATGGTCAAAGTATAAGTGATACATAGTAGAATCAATAACCTGCTAAGTTTTATCCATACACTAAACACACCTAGAATTTTATCAGCTTTGCTTATCTAAATTACCCAGACATCATCTACAGAGGTTGTGCTGCTCTGTTTTCTTTGTTATGTTTTCATCACAACAACCCTTGGTATTGCAGTTTTCAACAATGCTTCTATAGAAATTTCATACTTCACCCTTTCAAGTGAATAGAAATTGAAATAAACCAAATAATGAGTAATTCGATAAATTAATAAAGTAAATTATATGTGAAAGCTTTCTTATATAAAATGTCCTGATAGGCAACCATGTCAAAGGGAAGCTTGTCCTTGACAAGCTTGTCTTCTACATATAGGAAGTTTTTCTAAATGTGATAAACTATGCATAATGCTCTGATTTCTAGCATCTGAAAATGCCTTCTATCTAAGGAGGAACCATCATATGGCAGCAAATGAACAGAGTATGGAAACAGAGATGATCAGCACAATTATCCTTTCATGAATCCCATAATAATCCAGCCCTTGAGTATTCTGCTCAAAATGCTCAGAAGTTGTGGAAGGCATTAGGTCCTGGATATCTGTAGATCCTAAGCAATATCATACGGCAGGACATTTGGGAATGTAGAATCAAGTCAATATGAATTGATACTACTAATACTATATGCACCTGGATTTACTTCTATCATTGGCAAACCAAAAGGTGATATAATACAATAATCTTTCCATCCTGTTTCCTACCACATACTACATATAATTAGAAAGACCTACTGTACCGGTGGCCCTTTCTCTCCAGGAGGTCCCACAGGTCCCTGAAAAATATTGACAGTAATCATTCATTTTATTCATTCATTCATTCATTCAATTTTTGTAGCCACCTATCTCAGTCAATGCTTTAATGTGGATAATGAATAACATCGACAAAGCTGGGCACTTAAATAGCAAATGAATGTTACAACAGGGACAAATTCTGAAATTATATGTTCCCTAAATTTCTGGCTAATTCTTTTGAAAATTATACAATTTTACAAACATTCAGGTTTGATACAGAATTGAATTTGAAGACAATGTGATTAAGAACTGAACTGACTTTCCCAATAAAATCCAGAAGAAAATAAATCATAAACTCGACTATTTCCAAACTTTTTTGGATGTCTCTGCACATGGGCAGAATCAGGAATGACTGATTTAAATGAGATTGATTTTGCAAATCTAATCAATGATTTGATTCAGAATATTTGATTCACCAAGGGATTACGTTTGGCCTGTTTTTATTTTATCTGTGGTGAATTTTCTACACAACAATTTTAATGTTAGAATTAATTATGCCACTTGCTTTATTTTTCAACATGAATATACTACTAGTAATAATAGAAGCTACCCAGAAAGTATTAAAGATGCAGGACAAAAAGGGAATTGTTATGACAGATCCTTTATTGGTCAAATAATCAGCATTTTTTTATTTTTATTTTTGCTCCTGGCAGAGATGCAGGCAATTCAGTCTATGTGATGGGAGTGTTGATATAATAATAATAATAATAATAATAATAATAATAATAATAATAATAATAATAATAATAATAATAATAATAATAATAGTAAAGTTGGAAGGGACCTTGGAGGTCATCTAGTCCAACCCCCTGCTCGGGCAGGAAACCCTCCACCATTTCGGACAAATGGCTGTCCAGTCTCTTCTTAAAAACTTCCAGTGTTGGAGCATTTACTGCTTCTGGAGGCAAGCTGTTCCACTGATTAATTGTTCTCACTGTCAGGAAGTTTCTCCTTAGTTCTAGGTTGCGTCTCTCCTTGATTAGTTTCCACCCGTTGCTTCGTGTCCTGCCTTCAGGTGCTTTGGAAAATAGCTTAATTCCCTCTTCTTTATGGCAGCCCCTGAGATATTGGAATACTGCTATCATGTCCCCCCTTGTCCTTCTCTTCGTTAAACTAGACATACCCAATTCTCGCAACTGTTCCTTATATGTTTTAGCCTCCAGTCCCCTCATCATCTTTGTTGCTCTTCTCTGTACTCTTTCTAGAGTCTCAACATCTTTTTTACATCGTGGTGACCAAAACTGGATGCAGTATTCCAAGTGTGGCCTTACCAAGGCATTGAAGAGTGGTATTAATACTTCGCGTGATCTTGATTCTATCCCTCTGTTAATGCAGCCTAGTACTGTGTTGGCCTTTTTGGCAGCTGCCACACACTGCTGGCTCATATTTAACTGATTGTCTACTAGGACTCCGAGGTCCTTCTCACAGTTACTACTATTGAGCATGGTGCCACCTATGCTGTACTTGTGCATTTGGTTTTTCTTGCCTAAATGTAGAACCTTGCTTTTTTCACCATTGAATTTCATTTTGTTAGTTAGTGCCCAGTGTTCAAGTCTGTCCAGATCCTTCTGTATCTTAAGCCTGTCTTCTGTAGTGTTGGCTATTCCTGCCAGCTTGGTGTCGTCTGCAAATTTGATGAGTTCCCCATCTATCCCTTCATCCAAATCGTTGATGAAGATGTTGAAGAGTACTGGGCCCAGAACAGAGCCCTGGGGCACCCCACTACACACTTCCCTCCATATAGATGCAGTTCCATTGAGGACCACTCGCTGAGTACGGCCGGTCAGCCAGCTACGGATCCATCTGGTGGTGGTTCTATCTACCCTACATTTTTCTATCTTGTCAAGTAGTAGGTTGTGATCTACTTTATCAAATGCCTTACTGAAGTCCAAGTAAATTATGTCCACAGCATTCCTCTGATTCACTAATTTTGTCACTTGGTCAAAGAATGCAATAAGATTTGTCTGGCATGATCTATTTTTGACAAACCCATGTTGGCTTTTAGTAATGACTTTGTTTGCCTCTAGGTGTTCGTTGATTCGTTGTTTGATTATCTTTTCCAGGATCTTCCCAGGTATTGAGGTCAGGCTGATAGGTCTGTAATTTCCTGGATCCATTTTTTTTCCTTTTTTGAGGATGGGAACTACATCAGCTCTTTTCCAGTCCTCTGGTAGTTCCCCTGTGTTCCAGGATCTTTGAAAAATATAGTTCAGTGGCTCCGATATCACATCTGCCAGTTCCTTGAGAACTCTGGGGTGTAATCCATCTGGTCCTGGCGATTTGAACTCATCTAGGCTGGACAGGTGCTCCTAACCATTTTCTTGCCTATCTTAACTTGTGTTTCTGTTTTGTTTTTTATGGCACTATTTTTGATAGGTTGGTCTGTTTTTTCCCTTTGTGTAAAGACAGATGCAAAAAATGAGTTAAATAGTTCTGCTTTCTCCCTGTTGCTTGTCACCTTCTTGCCACTTCCACCCACTAATGGACCAATCATTTCCTTCACTTTTTTCTTGTTTTTTACATGTTGAAAGAAGCTTTTTTTGTTATTTTTGACTTTGGTCGCAAGCCTTAGTTCATTTTGAGCCTTGGCTTTCTTCACTTCATCTTTGCAGGCTCGGGCTATTTGCTGATATTCTGACTTAGTTATGTTCCCCTCTTTCCACTTTCTATACTTGTCCTTTTTATCTTTCAATTTGTCAGAGAGTTCTTTATGCAGCCATGCTGGTTTCTTTTGAGAGCTGTTGTTTTTCCTCTTTGTTGGTATTGTGCTAGACTGTGCTTTTATTATCTCATTTTTCAAAATTTCCCAAGCTTCTTGAGTTGTTTTCCCCTTGAGGATTCTCATCCATGGAATCCTTCCCAAGCCCTCTCTAAGTTTATTGAAATTAGCTCTCTTGAAGTCCAAGACTCTAGTTTGACTGTGTTCTATTGGTTGTGCTTCTATAATGTTGAATTCTAATATTGCATGATCACTTCCTCCCAGGGTTCCTATGGCTTCAACACCGTCTATCATTTCATCTCTGTTAGTGAGAATTAGATCCAAAATGGCTAATCCCCTAGTTCCCTTCTCTACTTTTTGGGAGACAAAGTTGTCTGCTAGGTTTGCCAGGAACCTGTTTGATCTTCCACTTGGTGCGGAGTTTGTCTCCCAGTTGATGTCAGGGTAGTTAAAGTCCCCCATTACTATTGTGGTGTGCTTCCTACATACCTTAGTTAGCTGACTAGCAAAAAGTTCATCTATTTCCTCTGTTTGGTTGGGTGGTCTGTAGTATACACCTATGGCAATGTCATTTCCCCCCCCCTTTTATATTGACCCAAATGCATTCAAGAGAGTTTTTATCATTGTTGTACTCTATTTCTGTGGAGATGTAGTTATTTCTTATATAGAGAGCAACTCCACCTCCTCTTTTATTTGGTCTGTTTCTTTTAAATAATTTAAATCCCTCTAGCTGTGTGTTCCATGTGTGAGTTTCATCCCACCATGTTTCCGTAATGGCAACAATATCGTATCTGCCCTCGTTAACCTGAATTTCTAGTTCACCCTGTTTGCTGTTCATACTCTGTGCATTGGTGTATAAACATTTGAGTCCTTTGTGGGTGGCCCTGTGTTTCCTTTCTACATAACCTGTGTGGTGCCTGAGTTCCCCTATTGTCTTACCACCTATTTGGTTAGTGCACTTTATGTGGCACTCGCTATTAGAGGCTTCATTTTGATTGGTAGCAAGGTTGGTATTCTTGTCCACACACACATCTATGCTACATGCACTGATAGCCCTATAGTTTTTAAATTGCCGGGGACAGGGTTGTTCCGTATCAATTAACTCCCTGTCCCCGCTGTTTAGTTTAAATTTCCCTCCAGAAAATCTGTGAATTTATAGCCGAGTAACTCAGTCCCTTTTTTTGATGGATGCAAACCATCTCTTTTGTACATCTTTTGATTGGACCAGCTACTGACATCGTGACTAATATATCCGAAGCCTTCCCCTTTACACCACTCCTTTAGCCACATATTGAATTGTGCTATGCGCTGGCCTTTTCCGTTTTGCTCCTTATACACTGGTAAAACCTCTGAGAAAGTAAGCCTACAGCCTATTCTGCTAAGTTCCTTCCCCAAGCTCTGGAAATCATTCTGCACAGAGAGTACATCTTTTTGGGACAGATCATTAGTGCCAAGATGTACAATAGCCTCCACATCACAGTCCTTGCTGCCATTCTTGATTATTTTAGAAATACGCTTCTTGTCCCTACTGGCAGTAGCACCTGGAAGACACCTGACCTCTTTCAAAGCCTCTGTGTCCTTTCCTAAATTTACATCCCTTATAGTTGAATCACCTACCAGAAGGTAGCTTCTCTTTTTGGGAGCCTTTCTATTCTTGCATGACTGATGTGCAGTACCTGATTCACACTTCTCCCTGTCAAAATCTAGTTCTTCATCTCGGACCACAATCCCCTGCTTATTTGAGTTATCTTCACAAATACCTTTAATATCATTCATGCCCCCAGGGTAGATGACATGGACCACAATTTCAAACATGATTCACCTTTGAAAGACTCATTGAGGTTCATCACAAATTGTGAGTAATATGTTCGATACTTACTAGTGGCCCTGAAAGTCCAACACCTGGGGTTCCTCTATCTCCTGGTTGACCTGGAACACCTGGAGCACCTCGATCTCCCTGACAAGGACAAGTTAAATCGTGCATATATCAATACATTTATTTTCCAGACCTATTATAATAACTATGTTATATCCATCTTACATTAGAAAAGGAGAGAGGGGGGGAGGGGGGAGGGAGAGGGAGGGAGAGAGGGAGAGAGGGAGGGAGGGAGAGGGAGGGAGGGAGGGAGAGAGAGAGAGGGGGGGAGAGAGAAAGGGAGGGAGGGAGGGAGGAAGGGGGAGGGAGGGAGAGAGAGAAGGAAGGAGAGGGAGGGAGGGAGAGAGAGAGAGAGAGGGAGAGGGAGAGGGAGAGAGAGAGAGAGAGAAACAGAAGTAGGGATGGCTAGATTTGATTAAGGTGACTTTTACTGTGCTTCGGCTTTCCAATTTTAAAGTAATTCCATCTTATTCCTATATTTTTATTTTTTTTACAAAGAGTTGTACAAATATAAACGGTGATACATTCATGCGTTTTACATGAATGTCTCTTTAAACTTACATTTTTGCAAATAATTTCCTTACTGGGCAGAAAAGATAGAATTTATCATTAGTATTATTTGCTTCTTTCTTTTTTAATTGCTAAACTACATGTTGGAATTGAAAATTTATCACAAAGACGATTCACATTATTCTTTTTAATATTGTATATGTTATTTCTCAAGATTTAAACACTTAAAATTGAGTGGAATCCAAACTAAAACATTCAGACAAAGTTCAAATTTGTGCAAAATTTACCTTCAACCCTGTAATGGAACCATTCACTTTTAAATCAATATTTGCATTGACAAACTTCTTTTCTGAAATGGCTTTCTATCTTGCAATTAAAAATAAGTCCCGGGTTAAAAAGAGAAAACTGCCCTTTCATTATCAGCCCCCATTGTTGTATAGCTGTTAAGCTTAATGCTGTCCCCTGCTACAAAATTAGAGCTTTTGTGTGTTGCATCTATCAGTTGTTTCTCATGCACTTGCAAATGGTTACAAATGAAGCTGGTTTAAAAATCCTTTTCCAGATTTCAACCCCTTCCTCTAGTTCACTACAAAGATGGGCAGCTATTTCATACCACTATTATCAAAGTCCCTGATTGGTGGATTCCCTTGCCTCCCTCACACACAACTGTGCCAGGAAATAAAGATCCAATTGTCTTCCCTTCTGTGGGAAGAACTTCTGAAAACTTGTGGGGAAAAAGGACGAGTTTCATAGCATTCCTATTGCTTGGATTAGAAAGGCAAATGGGAGGAAGGAAGGAAGGAAGGAAGGAAGGAAGGAAGGAAGGAAGGAAGGAAGGAAGGAAGGAAGGAAGGAAGGAAGGAAGGAAGGAAGGAAGGAAGGGTTATGTTCCTCTGTTGAACCTAACACAAGAGTCCACTTTTCATGGCCAGAAGCCCAGCAGTGACCAAAGATGGACTGAACAGCATTCTTTGTACCAACAGAGGTGGGAAAGTACTACATCTGATTGAGAGACCTTGGGTAGAGATCATATCTGACCAGGGTAGGGGCAATAGATGGCATCCTTCACTCTAGTCCTGCTGAAATAACATCTGGCCAGACCTATTCCTCTGCAAACATGAAATGCACCTCCATCCTTAGTTTATCATAGAATGGCAAAGCAGATATTCACCTTCTGCCCAAAGGGTCCAGGTAAACCTGGTGGACCTCTTTCACCCTAGAAAGACACACAAATATAAAAGAAGTTAATATGATCCTCCCAACTGGAAAAGCAAATACATCCATTTATTAGACCTCTGAAAATGAACATAAATTCTAGCCCTGCTCACTCTCAAGAACAGACATGTGGGGAAATCATTTACAAAGAACAAATAATAATCCCTAACCAGTAGTGGGATTCAGCCAGTTCACACCACTTTGGCAGAACCTGTAGCTAATTTTTTTGTTGCCCAGGCCCAGAATAGATTTCCAGAAGCAGCATCCAATCAGAGAACCGGTTGTTCACATATCTGAATCACACCACTGCCCCTTGGGTGATGAATATGTTACAATGAAACCCTCAATTTAATAGACTTTGGATGGAATGGAAAATATTTTTGTTTGAAATTCTATTCTGAAATAATGGATAAGTTATTCAAAGTAGTCCTGGTGGTCCATTTATATTTACATTAAATTTGGCTATAGCAAAATATTATAAATTAATGCAATCCACATCCTTTCAAATTCAACAGACATTTGGAAGTACCATATAGCATTCTCAAATGGTCCACTACATTGAGGTTCAGTATATTACTATGTTCAGAAAACATGGCACAGTATTTCCCAAAAAATTGGTGCTTTAGTTGCTTAATTCGATGGTCCAGTTCATATAGCTTACAAAGACAATGGCCTACAAACCCACAAACCACTCAAGCCATGTTCACCAACCAACATTTATGTTATCTCAACCAAGCCATGATGTGGCTTGGACAAGAAGTCAATAATCTTGAAGCTGTTTGACACTCTGTTATTCTTAAGAAACCAATCAGGAAACATTTCTTTCGAATCAAGGAAATTATTTTAATTGTATCACTGATAGGGTGAAAATAGTAGTGGGATTCAAATATGTGAACAACCAGTTCTCTGTGTGGATGTCACTTCCGGAAGTCCATTCTGGGCAACAAAAAATTAGCTATCGGTTCTGCTGAAGTGGTGTGAACTGCTGAATCCCACCACTGGATGAAAATGTTTGAATAGATCACAACTGGGATGGGATTTTCTCCTCTTTTCTGACATTTGGAGTGAGCTGATAAAATTTTGTATACCAAGTAATCAGATATTCTTTCTTTTTTGAACTAAACAGAATGTAATAGGGCCTTTTAAATATGAGGAAGCAATTTACATGTCTTCTTTGGGATGGAGACTAATTGAAAGTACTTTCACTTCCTATGTGTCACTCAATCAAATTCCTTTAATGTCCTCCCAAATCCCCCTTTTAGAGTGAGATGGGTGGCATATACATTAAATAAATGAGTAACTATTGTTTGCTTCCTAAAAGCCTCGTTAATATTTAGTCTGCAGTCTTCTAATAATTAGCTTCTCTTTGGAGTCTATTGTACAAGGTGCTTAAGAAATTTTCTTCTTCCAAATTTATACATAAGCTCTGTTTGTACACATCTCACTTAGTTTTAACATTATCTAGGGGTTTGTGTACATCTGTGTGTAGGTGTGGCATAATACTTCTACAAGCCCAGCTTATTGGGTTAGATGATGATTCAGTGTAGTTCATGAACCTAGAAAAGCAGCTATGCCAATCACTAAATCACTGGCAAACACAGTCATTGAATTACAGACAAGATTGACTAATTGCAAAAGCTCACAAGTTTTTGTACTTTCATCTTTAATTTCACAATTTGTTCAACCTATTGTTCTTCCAATTTCAGTTTCTTTGCTCTAATGGTTGCCAGGATGCAGAGGGATACATGCAACCCAATCAAATTAAAACTTGACAGGAATGAATAATAGTAGCAGCATTTCTGACATAGCCTTTTTAATATGCTTTTTCCTGATATTGTGTTTCTGGGCAAATTCACAGTTTATAAGAGAAGGGATGACAGCTGAAAATACAAATTAAAAAAAAATGTTGTTCAGGTAAACCAATGACAAAGTAGAGAACGCTGTGGAATAGAATTATAACTCATAAAATGAGTAAATTGGATCAATCAGCTCATTCTCAAAGTGACAAGTATCTGCTTTTGTTGATCAGTTACTAAGTTACCGACTCTTTGCAACCCCACGGACCACAGTGTGACAGACCCCTCCCCATTCTCCAGTGTCTCCTGGAATCTACCTAAATTCATGTTCATTTTGTTGATGACACTATCTAACCATCTCATCCTCTGTTGTTCTCATTTTGTCTTCCATCTTTCTCAACTTCAGGTTCTTTTTCAATGAGCCCTCTCTTCTCATTAGGTGGCCAAAGTATTTGAGCCTCATCTTCATCTTCAGCCCTTCCAAAGAATAGACAGGGTTGATTTCTCTTAGATTGACTGATTTGATCTTCTTGCAATCCAAGGGAGTCTCCAGTATCTGCTTATACAACTAGTTCAGGAATTAAATTTACCCTTTCTCCATCTCGACCCTTTCCAGGTAATCCAGGTCCTCCAACAGCTCCTGGTTCACCTGTAGGTCCAGGTGGACCTAGTTTTCCTTCCTTACCAGGTTCTCCCTGCAGAAAAAAGCAATGGGAATAGATTGGCAATTAAGATAGGCTATGAGGCACGTAGTACCTTCTACGTATTTCATTAATCAACATCAAATGTTTTCATTCAGACTGGGAAGGACTCTGGATGGCTCACTACTTCTTTCTCCTAAATAGAGAAGCCAAGAAAAAAAACCCTAGAACTTTCTTCTAAAAACCTTGTGGAAATCAATATAAGCACTTCAGTATTTGGATTGGAAATACTTCTTTAGATCACATGGAGTTTTAATAGCCTCATTGTACCAGCTTTCCTTCGAGCATGGAATTTATTCAGTTTATCCATCCATTAACAACTTGTATGACAAAGAAATAATGAAACTAAAGCAACCACCAATGAGGAGAATGTAGGATGTGGGAAACACATCCTTAAGTTATCTTTAACAAGCTTTTATTTTGTGTTATATTATAATCTCCCTTCCCCCCCCCTAGGTCTGAAATATCTCATTGGTATAAAATCACAAAACTGACCTGGAAGATTTGGATATATCCTAACTGTTCACTACTCTCTATGAGCCTTTGAGCATAATGACACAGAAGTAATACAAAAATACTGGCCCAAACCAGTGATTTTGCCATGACGACCATATGTAATGGTGATGTCATCCCAAATGGAGCAATTATATAATCAGATTGTAATGTCTGACACAAGTATGCAGGTTGTGCCATTTGCATGATGAGACCTTCAGACATACATCATCATTTGTCTTCCTTTGTCATCCCTGCATGGTTGGGAGGACCCAATATCATAACACCACCCAATTGCAGACATTTGGAACGTCCACGTAAAGGCTAGCAAAAGGAAGTATGTATCATACATTTCTCTAATTCTGAAGCTGAAGAGGCAGATTCTCAGCCTATAGTTAGGTAGCAAATATGCTATTTGCTTCCCAGGAATGATGACTGAGACCTAATCATTGAAGATGTTGACTACCAATTTGGAGAATAAGGAGCTGAATCTCCAACTTGGGAAGTTGGAGGCTCAAAACCACATTGCTAGCTAAGCAGCCAACATTGAAATGGCTCCTCTAGAGGACAAGGCATTAAATCCTCTAACATTATACAAAGGTTCAAACTCCTTTCCTCTAGTTCAGTGATGGCAAACCTTTTAGAGACTGAGTGCCCCAAAACTGGCCCCGCCCCTGCTCCACCCCTTGCCCTGCCCCTGCTCTGCCCCCCCCTGTCCCACCTGCCCACAGGGCCACTCACTGCCTCCAGGGCTCACTGCAGATCACCCAGGCAGCCCAGCAATGCTATGGCGGTCATGCCCTCTGCCCATGCCCTGCAGCATCAACTGTGCATGATGGGGTGTGAGGGCAGTCTTGTCTACACTGCCTGGCTGCCATGTCCTTGACTGCGCTGCTCCACGTGGGCCATGCTCAGGGGTGACTCTCCTTCAGGGGGCTGTTGGAGAGGAGGGGATCATGGGGGGAGGCGAGGCTGGGTCAATGGCACATGTGCCAACAGAGAGGGCTCTGAGTGCCGCCTCTGGCACCCATGCCATAGGTTCACCACCACTGCTCTAGTTGCAATGTTAGAACTGCATTCCTCTGGCTTCGTATTCTTGATTTCTCCTGATTTCTTGTCCTACCAGCAGTTGTTTGGATTACAGCCTCCAGCCTGGATATGGTAGACTTCTTTGACCTTAGACTATCAGACATTCTCTTCTTGGTTGTGTTTAAGCCACCGCTACAAACTACAAGAAGAGGTGACTTCCCTGCAGAGCTTTCTCTGTGTAATTTACGGCCGATAGCTCTAGCATTAACTGCCATGGCTGAGCTAATAAAACTGAAGAGTGCTAATTGCTATCCTGCTTACTGCTGTTCAGCTAGTACAGGACAATATTTGACATGCACAACATCAGATCAAGGAGATAAAAGACTGTACAGGTAACTACTTTAATTCATGCATAATAAGATTTGCATATTATTTAAGCCAGGGGCCCCAACCCCTGGTCCATGGACTAGTACCAAGCCACGGCATGTGAGCAACCGGTCAGCACAAACAAGCAAAGCTCCATTTGCAGGATTCAGGCAGCACACAAAACCACACATTCTCCTGTCTGTGGAAAAACCTTTCTCCACGGAACTGGCCCCTGGTGCCCCAAAGGTTGGGGACCTCTGATTTAAGCAGTATCTACAGCAAGCCAAATTGATGACCCATACATGGTAATTTTGTCAGGCCAACGCCACTGTAACGTGCTAGCATCACAATGTTTGATGCCAATTATAAGATATGGCATTTCATGTCATTATACAGGCAATCCTTCTCTTGCACCCATTTCATTTAATGACTATTCCTAGTTATGAAAGCACTGAAAAGACTGACTCCTCACACTTACAACCACTCTAGTATCCCCTGGTCAAAATTTGGGGATGTGACAACTGTTGTGTATTTATAATGGTTGCAGCACCCCAGAAACATGTTATAACCATTTGCAACCTTCCCAAGGGTCTTCCAATAGCAAAACCAATGGTAGAAGACAGATTTGCCTAATGACGTCATGATTTGTTTAACGACCACAGTGATTTCCTTAATGACCATGCCAAAAAGATCATAAAATCAGACACCACTCATTTTAATGACTTAGTGATGGAAGTTCCAACTGTGGTCATTAAGTCAAGGACTACATGTAATTCTTTTAATGTTTAGCCCTCCTGCAAATAACCATTACACTTTAGCTGTGGATAATATCTTTTCACCTTTTCTCCTTTTTGTCCATCAGTTCCTGGTTGACCAGTAGCTCCTGGTATACCCTGTAAAGAAAATAATATGCAACAAATCAAATTTTGGAACAGGTTGATTGGGAATTATATGAGCTTGATTCAGGTATGTGAAAAATTAAAGAGATTATTTGCAATAATAAACATGAAGAGCCAGTTTGGTCTAATGCTTAAGGCACCAGGCTAGAAAGCAAGAGACTGTGAGTTATAATTTCACCTTAGGTCTGAAAGCTGGCTGGGTGACTTTGGACCAATCACCAAGATTGTGAGTTCTAGTCCCGCTTTAGGCGTGAAAGCTGGCTGGGTGACTTTGGGCCAATCAACAGGAGATTGAAAGTTCTAGTCCTGCCTTAGGTATGAAAGCTGACTGGGTGACTTTGGGACAATCACCAAGAGATTGAGAGTTCTAGTCCCGCCTTAGGTCTGAAAGTCAACTGGGTGACTTTGGACCAATCAGTTAGGAGATAGTGATTTCTAGCCCTGCCTTAGTTTGGAAAGCAAGCTGGGTGACATGGGGCCAGTCACTATATCTCAGCCCAGCTCATTTCACAGGGTTGGGAGGAGGAAGGTATGTGGAATATGTTAACTACATTGAGTTATTTGTAAAATAATAATAATAATAATAATAAAGGCAGGATGCAAATAAATAAATGAACAAATAAATAAATTAATGGAAATTGTAATGATCACTTTAATTACTTCTCATGAATATTTTGTCAGGGTATTTTTATTAAATATTCCACATTTATTCCTTTATGATGTTTGTACATCATTTCCCATTAAAAACACCTCAAAACTGTTCATCATAAATATTTGTATGCTATATTGTGCAGCAAGTGCTGTACTTTTTCATCCAAGAGCAATTAAAGCCATCCTTGCAGCTGCATGTTGAAGTAAAATATTGCTTTGTGTCTTGCAACGGACTTCAATTATTTTTCAAAGAATGTGACTGAAGTCCCATTGCTCTTTTGAAGCAGAGAGAAAAAGGATAAGAAAACAGCAAGGGCCATTTTTTGCACTCAGAGTTCCTTTCCTTTTATTGGGAAGATGACTTGTTCCCACAAAATGAACCCCACATTGAAACAGCCAGATAAATACCATATATTCCGGTGTATAGGGCAACCCAGCGTATAAGATGACCCCCTAGTTCAACATCGGGTTGCAAGACGATCGATGCTGAGTCGCAAGACCATCGATGCTGAGTCGCATGCCTAGAAAGTCGTCTTATACGCAGGAAACTACCTTATTTCCAGTGTATAAGACGACTCGGCATATAAGACGACCCCCGAGTTCAGAGGCTGTTTCGACACTCTCAAAAGTCGTCTTATATGCCAGAATATATGGTACTCCAGAGCCCTTTAGAAAACCTGCTTCTTGCAGTTACATTACAGGGAGATAGATTCCAAGTTCATGTTGGGAAAAAAAAAATCTTGACTCATAAGAACAGTTCAACAGACTACAAGAAAGGTGTTGAACCCATTTTCCCAGGATGAGTTGAAGCAAAAAAAAAAAAAAAAAAAAAAACCTACATAGTACCCATCATGGATCCTTTCACTGGCATTTCAACACAGAATCTGGGATTGGATCCAATGGCCTTAGTGACTCCTTTTGAATCCAAAAAAAATATGACTCTGTAAATTCTAATAAAGCTAACAACATTTCTCCAAATGTTCGGCCATTTCCATGGAGAGATCCCAGCTTGTTGTAGCATTTTCAAATGCAATACAAGTAAATCCTCAACTTACAACCTCAGTTTTGCCTGGAATTTTGGTTGCAAATCATTGGAGTCATAGGTTGAGTTACCATATGACTGGATTCAATTTTATGACAGTTTTATGACAGTTAATAAATGAGTCATGTGTTCATTAAGCAAATTACATGATTGTAAGTCCAAATCTAGCTTATCCAATGGGAGCTTTTTGCTGGAAAATAGTTGCAAAACACAGTCACATGATAATAAGATGCTGCAACCCATTACGAATGTGAGCTGGTGGCCAAGCAGTCAAAATACCCCTCACGTGACTGTAGGGCATAAGTGGCAGTCATAACTTTGAGGATGGACATAAGTAACTTTTTTTTCATCGTAAGTGACCAGTTGTAACTTTCTGTACTTCCAATGCATTGCAACCTTATTCCTCTATTTAACTAATAAAATGGGATTCCGTACTGTGCAAGACATATACAGAAAGAGGAGATGGCCAAAGATACGAGGCAGACCGAGAAGAAGATGGAGAGACAACATTATCAAATAATAGCATCAAATAACAATGGCTGGGAATGCTAGAAGAGCAAGAATCAGAACTTTGTATCTCCCTGGACACCCACAGCAATAAAACAGGAAGTAAACAAGAAGAGAAGAAGATGTGGATAGCAGGTGTCAAGGAAGAAGTCATGCAAGTTGTGGGAGCAGTTGATAGAGATAAAATTCCATCCCCTTCAAAGGTGATGAATCTGTGTCACCAGGACAATCAGTGTGGATTTAGCTGGTGAACAAAGGCACAACTGCTCCTCTTCCAAATAACTGGCTTTTCCTTGCCATTGTATACGCACCACATTCCCAGGCAAACCACGTGGGCCAGGTGGTCCTGCAGGTCCAGGGACACCCTGTTAAAATAAATCATAACCACAGGTTTGAAGAATATATTGGTGCTCATAAATGACATTTATGCAAATTTGGTCTCAGTGTTATTTATTTCTTCCTTTAAATCTAGTGGCCGCCCAATGCCTGTGGACTCTCTCTATAAATAAGGGAAATGAGTGGACTTTTAACACAGAATCGCCTTCGTGTTTTGTCTGCTAGCAATATTTATTCACTAGATTTATTCTCAATATCAACACTGCAATGACACTGTTTCAGATATGGAAAGGCTCTTAAAATATCCCAGTGTTTGTTAAACCTTTATCTACCTGGAAAAAATATTCTTGAGGCAGTTACTTACCATTTCTCCTGGAGGTCCAGGATGACCTACTTCCCCTTCTTGTCCTTTCAGACCCTAAGAAAAGAAAGAAGGATTCAGTCTAGTAGGCAGAAGAGTCAAAGATGCAGAAGCTCAGGAAGTCAATAAAGCATGTTGACCCCGTGCCAAGATAGCGGTTGAAGGAACTTTGATAACTGAGGGAAAATAATGCTGCTCCTTGGTTTCATTCACTAAAAGTTAATAACACCTGAACATCAAGCTGAGATACCCAGTCCCTATCATATTATTTTAAAGGATACTATTTGTTCAAAAGGAACAGAAGCAAAAGGAAAGGAGAAGTGTTGAGGGTATTCATTCCTACTCAGCAATCTACATAAATCGGGGTCTTCATACTTGGTCCTTTTATGACTTGTGGACTTCAACTCCCAGAATTCCTCAGGCAGAATGCCTGGCTGAGGAATTCTGGGAGTTGAAGTTCACAAGTCATGAAGGGACCATAGTTCTCCCATGCTGGCTCAGGAATTCTGGGAGTTGAAGTCCCTGAGTCATGAAGGAGCCATAGTTTCCCCATACTGGCTCAGGAATTCTGGGAGTTGAAGTCCCCGAGTCATGAAGGGGCCATAGTTCCCCCATGCTGGCTCAGGAATTCTGGGAGTTGAAGTCCATAAGTCATAAAAGGGCCATGTTTGAAGACCCCTGACATAAATGAACTTGGAGATGTGATAACAATAAGATGAACAACAAATAAAAGTTATAATGTTATTGGTCACAACAACCTGGCCAACCAAGGAGAAGACACAGATGATACTTTCAAACACCAATGGCAGATCTTTTGAAAAATGAGTAAGAAATAAAGTTGTATTTACGGAAGATTTTAACTACTCTGATATGTTCATAGTGATCATAACAATTATATTGCAGTTTCTATGACCAGCAATTAATTATACTGGAAAAACACGAAGTCTGTCACATGATCAACAACAGCTGTTCCTGGAATCTTAAATTAAATTAGAGTGAGCAACAAATTAGAACATTTGCTTATTCTATATTCAAGTACACATGGTTAAAGTCAATATAGAAATTGTTATATTTATTCCTACTAAAAATTAAAAAAACTGAAAAATTGAATTGCTGATTAGAATTATTTGGGATTATGGAAATAATATCGACAAATTTAATCTTAAAGTATGAGTTTGGTGATAATAATAATAATAATAATAATAATAATAATAATAATAATAATAATAATAATAATAATAATAATAAAGTTGGAAGAGACTTTGGAGGTCATCTAGTCCTTGTATTTTTACTTGTACCTATAAACAATGGATGTTTGTTTTTATATTATTTTTGAACCCATTCCATTCCAAAGCTCATTCCTAATAATAATAATAATAATAACAACAACAACAACAACAATAATAAAGTTGAAAGGGACCTTGGCAGTCATCTAGTCCAACCCCCTGCTCAGGCAGGAAACCCTCTATCATTTTAGACAAATGGCTGTCCAAACTCTTCTTAAAAGCCTCCAATGTTGGAGCATTCACTGCTTCTGGAGGCAGGTTGTTCCACTGGTTAATTGTTCTAACTGTCGGGAAGTTTCTCCTTAGTTCTAGGTTGCTTCTCTCCTTGGTTAGTTTTGTCCAACCATTCTGATTTCACCCCACAGATGGAAAGAGAGATAGATGGATGAATATTAATGTGTAAACCTCTTAAAAATCAATTCTACTTGTTTATCATCTGACTTTCAAGGATACCACTGAAGTGACCAGGTCCTCTTGAAGCATTGGGATGGCCATCTCCTCATATGGTCTAAGCATGTAAATCAATACATAAAAGACAGCTTAGTTGGGATTGCCAATTCAGACAGTACAAGAGGACTATATCAATGTCTTAATCATATGAACAGTTTTCATCACCCTATCATATATATCAATATATGAGGTAGTTTAGTGGTTTCATTTTAGCTTAACTTACCTCTGACCCCACAGGTCCGATTGGACCCTGTTTTCCTGGAACACCTCGTTCTCCCTATAGAAAGGAAGAGGCAGAAAAAGAAACACACATAAATGATCTCAGTTTTAGGTGATTTTTTTTCCCCAATGTAGTGAATCTGAGTATCTTAATCTAAGAAAGAGATGTTCTTTTAGCATCAGAAAAGGTTCATTATTAAGAGCCAAATGAGGGTATTTGATCCTAGACAGATCAGAGATAACGATTGGGGTGATCTGTGTTAGAGAAGAAACAGTTGTAGATTTTCTACGAGTAAATTGCAATAACAGATTGTTAACAGAGGGTCTTGAACTTCAACTTTGCTGTTGTTTAACCTGTTAACATATTTTCTTCATATATTCAATGGATGACAGGTCAATCAGGTTGCAAATAGATGTAGAAGTTTATAAATTTTGGACCTGCTTTGCATAGGGGGGAAGCTATTATTGTTGCAATAGATTGGTCAGTGTTCAACTAGTGAGAATAATATATCTTTTTGTTTTTTATTCTTTTTAATTCACATTTTAATGTTATTGTCTAGATTTGTTTTGTCTTTGTTAAAAAAAATTTCCTTTGGATTTTGTGTCTCAATCTTTGGAATAAAATAAAAAATTGGTTTAGAGCCACAGACTCTAAACCAATGGTGGCAGAGTCACAACTGGCAGCACCAGTAACCACAAGAACCCAAGCTAAAGTAAAATCACAACTGGATAGCCAAACTGGAATTGAATTCCGGAAAAGTTTGGAAACAGATGAATGGTTCCAGAAAAACAAAAATGTGTGCACAATGAGAGACGGGTTGCCTTGGGTAGGGGAAAAGTTATATATACCAACAACCCAAAGAGTCACATTCATGCAGCTTTGCCATGATACAAAATCAGCAGGGCATTTTGGATTTGTAAAAACTTTACACTTAATTAAACGGCAATTTTGGTGGCCATCCATAAAAAAGGACATAGAAAGCTACGTGGCCAGCTGCCCAAAATGTGCAACTGCAAAGAGGTTGCAAGGGAAATCGCCAGGACTATTACAAACAGTGGCAAATCCCTCAGCCCCCTGGAGGGAAATAGCCATGGATTTTACAGTGAAATTGCCAGAAAGCAATGAGAATACTGTTGTCTGGACGGTCACGGACTTGTTTTCCAAACAGGTGCACTTTATCCCTTGCCAAAAGATTCCCACCGCAAAAGCCTTAGCAAAACTTTTCGTCCAGCACATTTATAGATTGCACGGGGCACCCCAACACATCATCTCTGATATGGGAGTGCAATTTACAACTGCATTTTGGAAGGAATACCTTCTCCTGCACCATAACTATTTTAAAACCTAGACAATGGGAATATCTGAGGGACTGTCTCTTTCCAGTTATATCAGACTGCCCTATTAGATCTGGCAGAGAAGATATGCTATGAGTTGTCCCATTCCGTGCTAAGGTCTACGACAACTGACTGCTGCCAACTGGCCACGGCCAACTTACCACAGCCAACTTGCTGTGGCCAACTCACCATGGGATAAGAGTTTCACTAATATCGAAGAAATAGTGGAATAGAATCATTAAAGAAAGGATGCCAAAGGAGGGACAAAAAATGAAATGTGAATGGCAAAAATTAAAATATTTTTAAAATTATTTTAAATAATTAAATTGAATTGTTGAATTGTCCCACAGTGAGTTGTCCCATGGCAAGTTGGGCATGGTTAGTTGGCCATGGTGAATTGGCTGTGGTGAGTTGACCAGGGCAAGTTGGCTGTACCAAGTTGTCCCATTCCGTGCTATGAATACCATCAGCTGTAGATCTAGATTTAATGGCTTCCAGGAGATATGCTTCTCTGTCATGGTGTCTACTTTATGGAACATTTTTCCCTCCAAAATCAGATTAGCTCCATCCCTTCTAATATTTTGGAATTCCCTCAAGACCTGGTTATATGACCAAGGCAGAAGTTCACAGGTAACAGAAGATATGCTCAGATAGTTCCATTGCTAAATACCCATTGTCATCCTCCCTTTGACTTGGGTTGGTATATTTCTTTTTATAATGTTCATTTTCATCTGGCTTTTATGTTTTTATATTTATTATTCAATTCTTATATGGCATCCAGAATCACGTTTTGTGGGATGGGCAGCTATATAAATAAATAAAATTCCAGTCCATAACATAAGACCAACATGGTTGTAACATAAGACCAACAATTCACTCTGTTTATTTTCCTAAAATTATCCATCTTAGTTTATTAATGTAAATTATTATTTTTCAAAATCAATATTTAGAAATAGTAGATGTAATATGTCTATCCACTTATATGCTATAGATGTATTATCCATGATATATGATACATAAATAATGTTTAAGTAGATACTATACATAGATAGTTGGATCAGATCTATTATCTGTTTATCTTCTACCATTTTTCTCTACAATTTATTTTTTAAAATCACCATGCTGCCTATAATTTTAACTTTCTACTCATTTGAAATGGTTTATCTGAAAAGAAAGAGTATAATAATCTGCTTACGGGTTCACCTCTTTCTCCACGATCACCTTTTTCACCTTTTGGACCTTGTTCTCCCTTGAGTAAAACAGAAAAAGAAAATAATTGTATGTTGGTTTCGATAAAGAGTGATAGAACTGCTAAACACGACAGCCTCCATTACAGCAGAATGATCTGGCTCCTATCTGTGAAGAGATAGAAATTCATTAGCAAGTCCATTCCAACTGAGGAATTGAGTCTTCTGTTCCGAAGGTGACACTCCTATTAATTAAATGGCCACAGGCAACTTTGCAGGAGCATGGTCTGATTCCATATTTTATGAGAGTGGTTAAAAATAAAGTCTCTCTCGAGTCAAGCTTGACTTGTAATGACTTCATAGACTAGGATGGAATGTGTAACTAAAGGAGAAGAAGAGAGGAGGAAAAGTCAGCAGTAGCCAGGATATATTTGTTAGATGAGAAGATTATAGCTTTAGTCTGGCAAGATTCTATCTATTAGCTATAAACAAAGAACTGGCCTTAAAATATTCAAGAGCTGATTTTATTGGATACATGGGAGACAATTTGGGTTAGAAATGTAAAATTTACTCAAGCACAAAATTTAAGAGAACATTTTTATAAAATGTTTTATAGATGGCATTTGGATCCCCAAAAGTTGTCCCGCATGTATCCGAATTTACAGTCCAAATGTTGGAGATGTGGAAGTTTAGATGCAACCTATTTTCATATTTGGTGGACCTGTAGAGATATAAAAGCTTTTTGGATTAAGATTTGGTGGAATATTTCAAAAGATTTTTAAGAGAAAGATAAAGTTTACTGCACAGTTATTTTTGTTGGGTATTATTGTTGATTTTGATGTTAAAGAAATCAATTTGATGTTGAATCTTATAACAGCTGCAAGATTATTAGTGGGACAATATTGGAAGAAAAACTCTCTGCCTACTATGGAAGAATGGATACTTAAGGTATCTAATTTAGCAGAAATGGCAAAAATCTCCGCCTATTTAAAGGACCATTCACAAGAAAAATATATTATGGTTTGGTGAAGATGGATTGATTACATTCAAAAGAGATATGAAACTGAAAAGTATTATCTTGCATATGAGTAGATTTTAGATAATTATTAATAGTTTTAATTATATCATTATTTTAGTTTATAATTTGTTAACACTTGTTTTGAAAAGGAGTTAAAGTGTGTTATGGTTTTGATTGATAGTATAGTTGGTTAATGTTAGTTAGATTATGTTTGTTTATTTGTTACACTGTAATCAGATCTTGGAAGTGGTGGAGGGGGGAAGGGGTGGGAGGGGTTTATATTGTATTAAATTTGTAAAACTTTTAATAAAAAAACAAAAACAAAACAAAGAACTGGCCTTTAGTACAGGGGTCCTCAATCCCTGGTCCGTGGACCAGTAATGGGCCATGGCATGCCAGCAACTGGTCTGCACAAACAAGCAAAGCACCATCCACAGGATGTAGGCAGCACACAAAACCACACAATCTCCGGTCCATGGAAAAACCTCTTTCCACAGAACCAGTCCCTGGTGCCCAAAAGGTTGGGGACCTCTGATTTAGTAGATCTCAATGTATCATCTCTGGGACTTGGGCCTAACATGGACAACTTCATGTAGTTTTCTTAACAACACTATAGAAGTGGCTCGGCATTGTCATTTTTCAGAGTACAGCTGATAAAGTTTTATTAAATTCCCAAATTAAGCATCATCAAGTTCTGGAAAACTTCCATCTCTAACTCTCAAAAAGTCCATGAATATTGTGCAATTTTTTTCCTATTGGAAAAATACTACAAAATACAAGTTCTATAGAGGAAAATATGCTGTTGCAGAAATCTACCCCTCAGAAAGAGGGTGGATGAACAGGGAATACTTATTCTATTGTTTTAAGGGGTTTTGCAAAATTTAAATATCTTTGTAAAATACAGGTAGTCAGTCCTCAACTTACAACAGTTCATTTAGTGAGTATTCAAAGTTACAGCGACGCTGAAAAAAGTGGTTTATGACCATTTTCAGGCTTACGACCATTGCAGCATTCCCATGATCACATGATCAAACTTCTGACGCTTGACAATTGACTTATATTTATGACAGTGGCAGTGTCCCGGGTTCATGTGATCCCTTTTGTGACCTTCTGACAAGCAAAGTCAATAGGGAAGCCATATTCACTTAACAACCATATTAGTAACTGGAGACTAAAGCATAGTAAGGAATGGTTGCTGGAATTGGGTATGTCTAGTTTAATGAAGAGAAGGACGAGGGGGGACATGATAGCAGTGTTCCAATATCTCAGTGGCTATTCTCCAAAGCACCTGAAGGCAGGACAAGAAGCAATGGGTGGAAACTAATCAAGGAGAGAAGCAATCTAGAACTAAGGAGAAACTTCCTGACAGTTAGAACAATTAACCAGTGGAACAACCTGCCTCCAGAAGCAGTAAATGCTCCAACACTGGAAGTTTTTAAGAAGAGACTGGACAGCCATTTGTCCGAAACGGTATAGGGTTTCCTGCCTGAGCAGGGGGTTGGACCAGATGACCTCCAAGGTCCCTTCCAACTCTATTATTATTATTATTATTATTATTATTATTATTATTATTATTATTATTATTATTATTATCATCATCATCATCATCAACCACCACAACAACAACTATTGCAAGAAAGGTCGTAAATGGGCAAAGCTCTTAGCAACATAAGTGTGGTTATAAGTTGAGGACTACTTGTAACATGACTGCATCAATTCAATTAATTTTCAGTTTATTGCTGTCATAAACTAATACAGATAATAAACAAGATAAACTTTAAGACAGAGTTAAATGAGATTATTTTTTTATGAAGAACATCTGCTGTCCTCTTCTGGTCTAGAGGAACATGACAGGGAAAAGTGAACTAACTAAATTAAGGCAAACTATTTGAACTGTCTTTGATTTACTAACAGTTTTTCTGATTGCTCACTTGGGAAAATATTAACAACACTTTTGCAAGTTTATAATCCCTTCTTTAACCACAAAGTTGCCTAAAGCGCAATATTTTGTCATAATTAGATTAAGGAAAAGGATTATACTAAGTAAGGATAAAAGGAAGGTCTTACTGTTGTAGAAACTAAGATAGGAAGTTCATCTTGGGAAGCAGCCTGATATTCCCTGCCTTCAATTGTTTTTTTTTTTTTTTCTTGTTCTGAAATATTTTAAGACAGATCGAAAAGAAGATTGGAAAAGGATGGATATTCCACCTGTTAAAATTGAGGGATCAAGAAATAACTGGATTTGCTAACCCAGACAAAATTTCCTTTCTTATATCGTACAGAATGATGAGGATGTATCAAAAGAATAAATCCTTCTTTGTAGGTCAACTTGCTTTCAGAAAATGACCTAAAATTACAGAGGGAAAATCACACTCAAGCTCTGGATTTCAATTCAGATCTATCATGGGCAATATGAAATCTTGCTCCCATAGGCCAACTGATAATAGAATAGAATAGAATAGAATAGAATAGAATAGAATAGAATAGAATAGAATAGAATAGAATGAGACCTTAAGGTCTTCTAGTCCAGCCCGCTGCTCAAGCAGGAGAGCCTATACTATTTCAAACAAGTGATTGTCTAGTCTCTTCTTAAAAACCTCCAGTGATGGAGCACCCACAATTTTTGGAGGTAACTTCTGTCGCACTGGTTAATTGTCCTCACTGTTAGGAAGTGTCTCCTTGATTCCAGGTTGCTTCTCCCTCTGGTCAGTTTCCAACTATTGTTTCTTGTCCTGCCCTCTGGTGCTTTGGAGAATAGTTTGACCCCCTCTTCTTTGTGGCAGCCCCTCAAATACTGGAATACTGCTATCATGTTACCTCTATTTCTTCTTTTCTTTAGACTAGCCAACCCAAGTCCTGCAGCCATTCTCCATATGTTTTAGCCTCCAGGCCTTTGATCATTTTAGTTGCTTTTCTCTGAACTTTTTCCAAGGTCTCAACATCTTTTTTTGTAGTATGGTAACCAAAATTGGTTACGGTATTCCAGGTGTGGTCTTACTAAGGTGTTATAAAGTGGTACTAATACTTTGTGTAATCTTGATTCTATGCCTCTGTTTATGCAACCCAGGATTGTATTAGCTTTTTGGGCTACTGCTGCACACTGCTGGCTCATAGTCAAGTGATCGTCCACTAGGACTCCAAGGTCCCTCTCACAGTTACTGTTTTTGAGCTAAGTCTTGCCTAATGCTAAAATAGAGATGGAACCTGGAGATTTTATTCTGATGTCCAAGTTAGGTGGATATCCATACCATCTCTGGCCATTCCAGAGATTCATTTTATCCAGTTGAAGAGTTGATGTTGTAAGATCCCAGATTCCCATGAGTTTTTGGCTTTGCTGGATCTTCCTTCCCATTGTAAGTAGGAACTGCAGGATTCTCATCAGCCTCTGTTCTTTATGTATATTTTTTTGAAAAGTATATGAAATTCCATGGCTTAATGTTTAATACAGTTTCCCTTTTAGGCACGTTAAATATAAGTATAAACATAGGATATCAAAGAATTAAAAATTACTTACTGGAATACTAGGCCTTGGTGTAAATGAGGTAACCTAGAGTGCAAACAATGAAAATAAGAGATTTCAGTATCAACTTCATAAAATAATGACAGCAGCAACATAAGGGTAATTGCATTATGATGATAAATACATGGTAATGCTCCTTTTTTATTATTACTTCAAAATAGTTCAAAAACATAACATATCCCAAAGGCAATGGAAACTCATCATACTAACACACTAAGTGTGGGTCTCCAAATGTGTTGATTCTCAATGTTCAGCATCGCTTGCTATTGATGGGCAATAAAACTTGTGATTCAGTAACTCCATGGAGGGCTACACAAAAGCTTGCAATACAAAGCAAAATTTTTGTAGGAGCATTTTTTTTTTTTTGCAGGCCTTTAGGCCACACAAAACAAGTAATGCAGTTGACTGACTGAAGTACATCTTCACCTTATATAACAGAAGAAACTTTGATTTTCAGAAACATTGGTTTACTTTTTCCATCCATATGTCCTCATTCCATTTATAATCCTTACAGTTTTTTTTCTTAAGGTAAAGACACTTCAAGTTTTACTTGTAGTGAGTTCATGGACTGTGGTGGAATGACTTCAAGACATACTGAACATACGGACAGACACGGTGTATAGTCTATAGTAGTGGAATTACCCCACCAGGAAATAGGATCTAATCTCGCTTAGCTTATTGAAATTAGCCAAGTTTAACTAGGTGTCCTTATAGCTTTTTAAATGCAGTTGTCATGGTTCCGACAGATGAAACTCTTCAAAGAACTTCGAGGCATTGTTTACCTTAAAGAATCTTTATTCGAGCAGCATAGCTTCAGCACCTATATAGTCAAAGCCAAAATCTGGATTCCCCTCCCCTTAGCACACAGTATCAAACACAATTCCCTCCTCTAATTAACAGTCATAAATCACATTCTCCAATTAGTTTGAAATGCAGGCTTTCCCTCCTATTCTCCAATCCGCCATTCCTTATCATCTCTTATTTCAAAAGACCTGAATTCACACACTATTACAATATTATTATGTCTAACTAACTCCCATCACGTTCCTCCTCCTCCCCCAGTATCATCTAATTCTAAGAGTAAAGCATAAGAAAGACAAAGGCTGCATCTCCATATGTTGTCAAACAAGAACATCCAATGTTAGCAGCGTTGACATCAGTTCTACTTACTTTTCCAGGTGGACCTGGGAGACCAGGAGCACCAATTTCACCCTAGGAAGGAAGGAGGGAGAAAGATATAGAGAAGGAAGAGAGGAAGGATTAAAGAAAGAAATGGAGACCCAGTTTTGTATCTGAATTTATTAAAATGTAAACCATGGTATACAAATTCATCTTCCAATAAGAAGAGGCTCTGCCATAAATCTAATAAATATTCATCACATATTTATATTGCTACATTCCATAAGTATTCATTTAATTGATGGTATGCAATTAAAATAGGCATGATAAAAGATTTTTTTTTTTTTTTTTGGCAATTGTAGACAATGATTTCTCCTTGAATAGGAAGTTTTAATTAGATCAGTGCTGGGCAAAACTAAGGTGTCTTTCTGTCAACATCATGACCTTCACTCTAAATATCACTCAAAATCTTATTCCTTTTAACCTCCCCAAAAGTGACTCTGGCCTAGTTGTATTGATTTAGCAATCAGATGAAAAAGAATGTAGACTTGAGCTTGGGGATTAAGGAAGGAACAAACAGTCCACTAAGGTGGGGGGGGGACTTAAAGAGAAAACTACTCATCCTGAGAAAGAGCAAAATGTGATAAAGAAACCCTAAATAATCCCACTTTAATTCTGTGTAGTGTGTGTTTGGACAGAGATAAGCCTACTGTAGTTAAGCTTTCAAGATTATTTTATTCTACCTTAAAGCACTTCTTCCAGTTCAGCCCGTTTCTTGACTTGGCTGACACCAACCTAGGTCATGACTTCAATTTTAGATGGTTTCAAGATAGCTGTTAGCCTTTTGAGGTAATCTGTGAGTGCTATCACTACCCTTATTGTAAGGTTGCATTAACAGAATCTTGCAAGTGTGAAACCACATCCCTCCCACCTCACCTTTGCTTTCTAGGGAACTAGGGAGGATCCCTTCTGGGATAGAATAGAATAACAGAGTTAAAGGGACCTTGTAGATCATCTAGTCCAGTGGTTCTCAACCTGTGGGTCGGGACCCCATTTGGGGTCGAATGACCATTTCACGGGGGTCGCCAAATCACGCTGTCCGCCATTTTTTTCCCTTTTCCCCAGCTGTCCTATTCCCTTTTATTGGTGGACACACCCACTTGGGGGGTCACCACAACATGGGGAACTGTATTATGGGGTCACGGCATTAGAAAGGTTGAGAACCACTGATCTAGTCCAATCCCCTGCCCAAGCAGGAGTCCCTACACCATTTCTGACAGATGGCAGTCCAGTCTCTTCTTGAAGGTCTCCAGTGATGAAGCACCAACAACATCCAAAGGCAGTATGTTCCATTGGTTGATTGTTCTCACTGTCAGGAAATTTCTCCTTATTTCCAAATTGAGTCTCTCCTTGATCAGTTTCCATCCGTTATTTCTTGTCTGGCCTTCGGGTGCTTTGGAAAATAGGTTGACCCTCCTCCTTTCTGTGACAGCCCCTCAAATATTGGAACACTGCTATCATGTCTCCCTGGTCCTTCTCTTCACTAGACCAGCCATGCTCAGTTCCTGCAATCATTCTTCATGTGTTTTAGCCTCCAGTCCCCTGATCATCCTTGTTGCTCTTCTCTGCACTCTCCAGAGTCTCAAAATTGATTGCAGTATTCCAGGTGTGGTCTTACTAAGGCTTTATAGAGAGGTATTAGTACCTCATGTGATTTTGACTGAATCCCTCTGTTAATGAAACTTTCCATGGTCCAATTCCTTTTACAAGCTGAGATGTCTCTTATCTCTCCATTGCCCCGGTGGAAGCTCTTCTTCCTTCTGTCTCCCACTGATATTCTTACATTACAATAACTCAAGAATGCCCAAGGAAGCCTCCATGGAGGAGTCCAAAAGATGGCAGTTATAAGATGCACAATGGGAGTCTTGCATGTGTCTACCATAGTAGTAGTAATAGTAGTATTTTGCATGTATCTACCATAGTAGTAGTAATAGTAGTAGTATTGTAGTAGTAGTAGTAGTAATAGTAGTAGTAGTAGTAGTAGTAGTAATAATAATAATAATAATAATAATAATAATAATAATAATAATAATAAAGTTGGAAGGGACCTTGGAGGTCTTCTATTCCAACCCCCTGCTCAGGCAAGAAACCCTATACCATTTCGGACAAATGTCTGTCCAGTCTCTTCTTAAAAACTTCCAGTGTTGGAGCATTCACTGCTTCTGGAGGCAGGTTGTTCCACTGGTTAATTGTTCTAACTGTCAGGAAGTTTCTCCTCATATTCTAGATTGCTTCTCTCCTTGATTAGTTTCCATCCGTTGCTTTTTGTCCTGCTTTCAGGCTCTTTGGAGAACAGCTTGACTCCCTCTTTTTTGGGGCAGCCCCTGAGATATTGGAAGACTGCTATCATGTCCCCCCTCGTCCTTCTCTTCATTAAACTAGACATACCCAATTCCAGCAGCCATTCCTTATATGTTTTAGCCTCCAGTCCCCTAATCATCTTTGTTGTTTGAATTTGACCCCCGTCTTGTGTGCATCATTCTCACATTCAGCTCTGTTTTTCCAAGATAGTATCTGGGACAGATCATAAGGAATATTCTCAAATTTTGAAGGCAGGCAAGCACTGACTGAAGCCACAACAAGCCTTTCAGTAGTAGTAGTAGTAGTAGTAGTAGTAGTAGTAGTAGTAGTAGTAGTAGAAAAAGAGACATGCCGCTCAATCTTTCTCCTCTTTCTCCTATGCTCTGATTGTTATTATTATTTCCACTTCAAGGATGTAGGATCTTCAGAGAGCAATACACTTGACTCAGCTGGATATTTGATCATTTTGCTTTAGCTGATTGACACCCTCCATGCTCTGTTGAACAGCCTCCTTTTTCTGATTTTTCCCTACTTCAAAATTGTAACTGAAATAATCAGGGGTCTCGTTTCAGAAGGAAATATGCTTCATTTTATATATACAGAAATGCAGACATCTGTGCATACTATGTGCCTCTGCACATGTAGGTTTCTTTCTTTCTTTCTTTCTTTCTTTCTTTCTTTCTTTCTTTCTTTTTTCTTTCTTTCTTTCTTTCTTTCTTTCTTTCTTTCTTTCTTTCTCCAAATGTGTACACTGCACATCTCATTATCCACATGATTCTGTGTGGTTTGCAAGTAAAAACCCATGAAATCCTTACAAAAAATCCTTGGTTTTTAATCAGATTAATTTCATTAATTTGAACTTTAAAATGGGAGGAAAATACTCTTCCTTATCTTTCTTTGATTGACAGGTCTAATGTCCAATCACAGCATACATTTGGGGATGTCTATCTTATTGTCTATCTAGTGTGCTCAATGCAGCTTATAATCCTATAAAAGCATATATGGTCTGGTGTAGGTCATACAGACACAATGATGTGACCTACAAAACAAATGAATTTATCAGTGTGCACATCAACCATAGAAATTCATCAGCTATCTGGTAACTTACCTTTTCTCCTCTCTCACCTTTGAAGCCAGTGAGCCCAGCTCTTCCTTTTTCACCCTGTAAAGACAAATAACCCAAGAGCTGGTATGATGATCCTTGGTGACAAAAATAGATCCAAAATATCGTTTGCTGCAATTTCTGCCTTCCCTAAGAATCTGTTGCACAAGTCCATTTGAGGACTAAAAAAGAACCAAAGGAGAAGCTGTACAGACTTATAAAACAGATTCAAAGTCTCATGTCTGATCATGATGCCATAGAAGTGATCAGGGTTAGAATTTCTGGACTTTGAAGTTTGGATGGGTTAGGACAGTGGTGGCGAACCTATGGCACAGGTGCCAGAGGCGGCACTCAGAGCCCTCTCTGTGGGCACGCATGCCATCATCCCAGCCCTGCCATCCCCCATGGCCCTCTCCTCACCAGCAGCCCCCCCGGAGGAGAGTTGCCCTGGGTGTAGCCTGTGCAGAGCAGCGCAGCCAAGGACATGGCAGCCGGGCAGCGGGGATAAGACTCCGCCTTCGCACCTCATTGCATACAGATGATGCTGTGGGGCGTGGACAGAGAGTGTGGCCACCATGACAGTGCTGGGCCACCTGGGCGATCTGCTGTGGCAGGCCCTGGAGGTGGTGGGTGGCCCTGTGGGCAATAGAGATGGGGGCGGGGGAGGGGCGAGGCAGTTTTTGGGCACTTGGTCTCTAAAAGGTTCGCCATCACTGGGTTAGGAGTTGAGTTTGGGAGCATTAAGTCTGACGAAAACTTGGCTGACTTGTCTCCTCTGCTGTTTGCCTTTCAAAACTTATAATCACAACACAGTCTGCAAGGAGATTTGAAAGCTGTAGAGACCCCTCCATTTTGCATTCCTGAGGTAAATGGTGCTGTGCTTCTCAGACCTTCTCACGAAATCAGGATGGACTTTGACAAGGCCTTTGAATAATGTCCTTGCCCCAAGGAAAAAAGTCAATTATTTCCAGGCAGTAATGAAAAAGCGAAATAACAAACATTTGCCCATCATTAGTTATTTACCAATACATGTTTGCAATTTATATTTATTTTATTTCATATGTATATATATAATTATTGCATTCATGGATAGCCTTATTTATTTATTTATTTAAAAGGTTTTTATTGAATTTTATGGGGTTAGGGAAGGGATACGACCAGGATAGGGATTAAGGTTCAGGGTGGGGTTAAGACCGGGGTTGGGGTTGGGACAGGATTGGGAACAATATTGGGGTTGCCCCCCAATAACATTTTCAAGCTTTAGGAAACAGACTATTGTCCAGGTACATATGCTCAGTTAACACTAATTAATACAATAGTAAATAGCTGTAGTGAATATGATAAACAATAATCATTCTTCTTGCTAATATATATTCAAAATAACATATCACATTCATTTCTCACTAGTTCGTTTTCCTAACCATTGGTAAAATTTATCCCACGTTTTAAAATAAACTCAATCTTCTTTCTCTTTAATTTATTTATTTATTTCATTGGCTTCTAGGCCACTCCAATCATCAATAGAGTGTGAGTAGCTTATAGTCCTACCATGCACACAAAAAAAGAATACAATTTTTAAAAATCACCAAGGAAGAAATAATATTACATAATGAAATTTCCCTATGCTAAAATCCACATAACTGTATATTCCTACAGTAATGGCAATAGCACTTAGACTTACAGACCACTCCTTAGTGCTTTACCACACTCTCTGGGCAGTTTGCAAGGTCAGCATTATTTGCATATTGCCCCCAACAATCTGGGTCCTCATTTTAACAGCCTCAGAAGGATGGAAGGCAGAGTCAACCTTGAGCCGTGAACTTCAGGCTGTGGGTAGAGTTTGTTGCAGTCCTGTACTATATCCTAACTGTTGCATCTCTACAGTGGAGGAATCCTTCTCACATTATTCCCCTTGCCACCCGTGGCAAGCTGAATTAACAAGATTACACTACCTTTCTAAATTCAAATTATGTTAAGGCATGCAAAACCTCGGGGACAATGCTGTTCCAGGGACAGAGCACAGGGATCCAAAAAGTTCTGTAGATGATATTCTTTAAGAAAGGGAACTCTGTCTTTCTCACCAAGTTGGGTGAGCAGAAATGCCCCCCCCCAAAAAAAAAGTTCCTGTAGATTCTCAGACCCTGAACCATGAAAGGTTTGAAAATGACAACCACCATCTTAAATCAGCACCTCATCCCCTATGATGTATCTCTCAAACACAGGGTTAAAAAAAAAGAACATGTAAAAAGCAACAAATTGCAGTAAAATAGAGATTAACAAGAGACAAATCACTTCCTTGTGGGAAACTAGAACAGACGTAGCATTTTATAGTCCACAGGCCACATCTGCCTGCAGTGTAGATGGTGGCCAGGTATGGGATAGCAGAATAGTGGGGGGTGGGTTGGTGATGGAGGCCCTCCACAACAGCCCCCATTTCTCATGTGGCTCCATGAGAAAATTAATTGCCCACCCCTGGTCTAGAAGGCTGACAGATCCAAACTGTTCTTCAAGTAGACATTTCCATTCCTTTATGACTCAAACATACCTGGTTTCCTTTTTCTCCTCTTGGACCAGGCAAACCAGATTGGCCTGGAAGACCAGCTTCACCCTAAAAAAGAATATACTATTCTTAGAGTTGTAGAAAATTCAGCTGCAAGGAATTTGATTTGAAATTTCAGTTTCATTGCCCCTCCTGAATTGCTCCTCCTCAAGAGTTTTATTACTCAGTAGATTTAATGCAGCAAATCAGACTGGGTGCCGCTGAAACTGATTCAGCGATTTGACAAACGTCTGCCAAGGTTCTGTTTCATTTTTAGCATCTAATAGGAGTCTAATAGCATACAAAAAAGCAGAGACATCATCTTGCCAACAAAAGGCCATGGTTTTCCCAGGTGCAATGTATGGCTGTGAAAGTTGGACCATAAGAAAGGCTGAGCACCAAAGAATGGAGGCCTTTGAACTATGGTGTTGGAGAAGACTCCTGCGAGTCCCCTGGACTGCAAGGCGATCAAACCTGTGAGTCCTAGAGGAGATCAACCCTGACTGCTCTTTAGAAGGCCATATCCTGAAGTTGAAACTCAAGTACTTTGGCCACCTAATGAGAAGGAAGGACTCATTGGAGAAGGGCCTAATGCTGGGAATGATGGAGGGCAATAGAAGAAAGGGATGGCAGAGAATGAGGTGGCTGGATGGAGTCACTGAAGCAGTAGGTGTGAGCTTAAATGGACTTCAGAAGACAGTAGAGGACAAGAAGGCCTGAAGGAACGTTGTCCATGGGATCGCGATGGGTCAGACATGACTTCGCAACTAACAACAACAAGGAGTCACACAAATATTCTTTTGAGGCCCTATGCATGTATCCTCTTAATCTTTCCAACTGCGATTGCTGGTAACACTGCTGTAGATATACTGTTGACTGTTGGATGTTTTGGGAAGGATTTTTTGCTTCAATAAAATGACCACTTAGAAAACAATGCCGTAAGTGAGGAGTAGTGGTTACAGTTGTAGGACTAACACAAGGAAAATCCAGGTTGTCCACCTTGCCCCATCACAATTTCAAGGAGAACCTGGAGCCACTCACTCACTCACTGTTAGTTTATCCTTTTCCACAGATTGTGATTATATAATGAAGTGAGATTTCCATGTAAGCTACCTTCAGCATTCAGAAGCAAAGTAGTTACAATATAAATAGAACAAATAAACAACAAATTAACCTTATAGACTTAGACTACTTTGGCATGAACAATACTTACCCTCTCGCCCACTATGCCAGCTGGTCCAGGGGGGCCTGATTCACCCTGAAAAATAGCAAAATAGCAAGTTTCCCAGGGCATTTGTCTTATTTTGTAAGCTTTTATATATCTATCTCTAAAACTAATGTATGAACAAGAAAGCAGAATTCTTTTTAGTTATTTTTTTTTTTTTTGCTCCGGTGAAGGAAGAACCTATTGCAAACATTTGAATGTCTTTCAAACAAGGATTTGTGAAGAATGATATGCATGTATTTATTAAGCACATAGAAAGATATATTATATTAAGCCATTAAATGCTATTGATAGTTATTTAAGTCATTCTTGCCTGCTTGAAAATGTTTATTTTCTGGGTGACTTACAAATACAATAAAAACATAAATATAAAGCCATTAAGATTAATATGAATTAGATCTTCTTTCCTACCCTAGCAGCCAGCTCCAGTATTTATTTACTTTTAGTTATTTACCATATTTCTCATATCTTATAAGAAATGATTTTTTTTCCAACCTTGGAGCCTGCTTCACCAGCTTCTCCCTTTTCCCCTTGTTCTCCCTGTAAAAAAAAAAAAAAAGATGAAAGTTAGCCAAAAAAAGACAATATGAAATACAGTTGTTGAATAAGGGCAGAATTAAATGTTTCGAAGAACTACTTGGGGTTTATTGAAAACTGCTTTCTCAGAATTTCCATTTATCAGTTCTAATTCTTCCTTCTAAGTAAATGAAGAAACATACATTTTGATTTATTAAATTCAAGTACAAAAAAGGGTGAAAGAATGGTGGCTGACACGTGGAGGCTACTTTATTTGTGCAGGGAAATGTTGCATGCATCAATCTGTGCAAACAACTGTCACAAGAGTTCCTGGAAGACCTCTATATTTGATGTCCTTCATAGTAGCTTCCAGAAGTTTAAACACATATTATAGCTTCTGGAATTTGTTTTTCCTTTTCCAGTATGCTTAGTTTGGAATCAATAAGCCACAACATTTCAGCCACTAGCCACTGAATTTAGCCAGAAATTGATCATGAATCCTAGTACTAAGTAAAGAAGCAAGAAATGTAATGACTTTGAAATTATCAGAACATGGAATGATTAATTTAAGCCAGACATGTCAAACACAAGGCCCGGGGGCTGGATGTGGCCCGTGAAGTGATTTCATGTGGCCCGCAAAGCCATCCTGGAAACAGTGAGGGAACGGCCCTCGCTGCCTTGGCCCTGGCCCAGGCCAGCCAGGAGCCAATGTACCATTTTGTGGTGGCCATCTATGCTGAAACACATTCAGTCTTAGCGCCACAAGGCCGTCCAGAAACAGCAAGGAACCAGCCCCTGCTGCATTGCCCCCCCCGCCCCCGGGTGCATGCTGGGGAAGTGTCACCCTTTGTGAGGAATGAGAAATGGACCATGCCTTGGCGCTTGCCCCGGTCCCACCCCCTTCTGCCAGAGACCCTCAGATCTATCCCACTCCTACCCAGGCCCCCACAGGCACCCTTGCCGCAAACAATGTAGAGCTGGCCACACCCACCCAGTAGGCCACACCTACTCCATCCACACCCACCCAGTAGGCTGCACCCACCCTGGCCACACCCACCCAGCCCCCTGAGGGCAACCACAATGCTGATGGGCCCTCAATGAAATTGAGTTTGACACCCCTGATAAGCCTTTCCAGCAAAGATTTGCCACTAAGCTTACTTACCTTTGAGCCTGGAAGACCAGGTAAACCATCTTGACCAGATTTTCCAGGTAAACCCTAAAGAAAAGAAAAGAAAAACAATGCACATTAATTTCTGGTTTCAGATATGCCTGGTTTTACTTTGGGGGGGTATAATTTTCTTCAGTATAAAAAGAAATAAGGGGAAATTTCCTGACAAGTGGAATAGCTTGCCTCCAGAAATTTTGGGTGCCCATCACTGGTGGTTTTTAAGAAGAGATTGGATAGCCATTTGTCTGAATGGTATAAAACAGCGGTTCTCAACCTGGGGGTCGGGACCCCATTTGGGGTCGAGCGACTATTTCACGGCGGTCGCCAAACAATGCAGTCCGCCATTTTTTCCCCCCTTTTCCTTAGCTGTGCTACTCCCTTTTATTCTATTGGCTTCTGAAAGCCAATAGAATAGACTCTCTTGAATAGAGTCTAATTCTATTGGCTTTCAAAAGCCCATAGGAATTGTCCAGGCTGTCTCTGCCCTGCTGAGCCCGCCAAAAGTCCCATTCTGCAAACAGTGCTGCACCAGTTGAGTAGTCCTCGACTTACGACCGGTTGAGTAGTCCTCGACTTACAATCGGTTGGGGGTCGCGGCATTAAAAAGGTTGAGAACCACTGGTATAAAATCTCTTGCTTGAGCAGGGAGTTGGACTAGAAGACCTCCAAGGTCCCTTCCAACTGTGTTATTCTGTAAAGCTTCTGTTCAGATATAGGATATGGTTTTAAAATGGTTCAGTCAAGTTCCCTTTTTAAATCAGATTAGGCGAGTTAGGATAGATTTGTTAACTGACAAATTTCTGCACCTGTGAAAGCACTCTTTTTAGTGAATCAAACGGACCATTTGAACAAAAACCTTTTGCACCTAGCTGACAATTTTAATCAATCTGCGATAATTTATTGATTTCTACTAAAGCATCACCACATGGCTTTCAAATGACAGGGCAAATGATTGTGAAGCTTTCCTTCATTCCACTAATTGACTGAAAAACAAGTTGAGAGGCACACAGCTCATTTGAAGGATGACAACCTTTGCATTAGGCCAAGGTTGGGAAAGGTGAGATTCTGTCTCAGAGGTTTGCCAATGCAGTACTAGATATTTATCCCATGTTTGGAGAAAAGGAACCAAGACTAAAAATGCATTTGAGGGAAGAAACCTCAAGGAGCTCAGCAGGTTTGCTATCTGAGTAACTATGATGGTGAACATCTTTTAAAACAATTCAAGAGAGCAATCTCAGAAATCACCACAGGATGTCAGCACTGGCTAAGAAAAGGATCCCAAGGCTAGTTGGAAACTTGGAAATAGTTAAAAATAGTTACTGAAATTCAGCAACAACTATAGATATACAAGTTGCTACACCTTGATTTATTAAATAAGCCACAAAAGGCTGCATTTTTATTAGACTAAGCCAGTAATTCCCAATCTTATCGACTTTAAGATGAAGGGGCAGTGCTCTTCAACTTCTTCATAAATGATGTAAGTCAGGGGTGCTAAATTCACAACATCACATGACGTGTTGCAACGTATCACGACTTTTTTTCCATTGCTGAAAATGGGGTGGATGTGGTTTCGCCATGACACATTCAGCCTGTGGGCTGGTAGTTTGACACCCCTGATGTAGATGAAGGGATAGATGGAGAAACTCATCAAATCTGCAGATGACATCAAGCTGTGGAGAATTGCTAAACCTTGAGCATTGGGCCCTAGCCAACAAAATGCAATTCAGTGTTGAGAAAGTTAAGCTCCTGCACTTAGGCAGGAAAAACCAAATGCACAGATAGAGAATAGATGGTATCTGGCTGAAACGTAAAGGGATCCAGATATCCTAGTGGGCAACTAATTACATATGAACCAGCAATGCACCGCAGCTGCCCAAAAGGACTAGGCTGCATCAACAGAGGAATAGTATCAAGATCACATGAAGTGACAATACCATTTTATGCTGGACTAGTGAAGCCACACCTGGAATATTGCATCCAGTTTTGGTTCCAGACCCCTTATTATCTTTGCTGTACTCCTTCTAGGGCCTAGAACAGTGATGGCGAACATTTTAGAGACCGAGTGCCCAAACTGCAACCCAAAAACCCATTTATGTATCATCGGGTGCCGGCAGTTGAAATTGATTGAAACTTTTTTTTTTTTTTTGCACATGGTGGCAGAGGCCTAAAACAAAAAGGTTTTATAAAACCCAGCTGAAGGCCTAGGACTGGGGCGATGGCGCGGGTGCCCACAGAGAGGGCTCTGAGTCCCATCTCTGGTACCCGTGCCATAGGTTCGCCACCACGGGCCTAGAAGGAGTACAACAAAGATAATAAGGGGTCTGGAGCCTAATTTAATAAACAGTTAAGGGAACTAGGTACTGTCTATAGGCAATCATGGCTCTTTTATGACTCGTGGACTTCAACTCCCAGAATTTATTTATTTATTTATTTATTTCTAAAATTTATATGCCGCCCAATCCCAAGGGACTCAGGGCAGCATACAAAATTAAAACAATAATATGACAATAAAACAATAAAATAAATACATTCATACAGCGTGTCCGATCCTATCCCGCCCCCCCCCCGGGGACATCAGCCCCAGGCCTGCCGGAACAGGAGAGTTTTAATGGCCTTCTTAAAGGCCGACAGGGTGGGAGTAGTTCGAACCTCGGGGGGAAGTTGATTCCACCAGGTCGGAGCCACCACAGAAAAGGCCCTTCCCCGAGGGCCTGCCAGCCGACACTGTCTGGCCGATGGGACCTGAAGGAGGCCCAATCTGTGGGACCTCACCGTTCTCTGGGAACTATGCGGCAGTATGCGGTCTTGTAAGTAACCTGGCCCTATGCCATGAAGGGCTTTAAAGGTGATAACCAACACCTCGAATTGTGTCCGGAGACCCACAGGAAGCCAGTGCAGCTCGCGGAGGATAGGTGACACGTGGGCGTACCTTGGCACGCCCACAATCACTCTCGCGGCTGCATTCTGAACCAACTGCAGCCTCCGAACGCTCTTCAAGGGTAGCCCCATGTAGAGCGCGTTACAGTAATCCAGTCTTGAGGTGACAATTCCTGAGACAGCATGGCTCAGCTTGGAAACTCTCCCTTTCCCCTCAGCATGGCTGGCTCAGGAATTCTGGGAGTTGAAGTCCACGAGTCATAAAAGAGCCAAGGTTGCCTACCCCCGGTCCAGCCTAACAAAGAAAATAATGAGGAGTGACTTGATAACTGTCTTCCGATACTTGAGGGGTTATCACAGAGAAGAGAGGGCTGGCTTATTCTCCAGAGGTAGAAAAAGAAGTAATGGATGGAAGCTCGTTAAAGAGAGATTCGACCTGGAACTAAGGAGAAATTTCCTGAGAGTGAGAACAATCAGTGCAATTAATCAGTCATATATAAGGACTGGAGGTATATGGGCTGATGCTAGCAAATGATAATAGAACTAACTCATAGTCTTGTTACTCTTTTTAATTATCTTAATACCTTTAAAAACAACATTTTAAAGGCAAAATACATCCTGACCTAGGAGGAAACTGCTTATTTTAACTATATATCCACCCAAATGCACATGTATTAGCATTGAAGATTCTATGACATGAACTCACCGGCGGCCCTCGTTCACCATTTCTGCCAGCTTCTCCAGGTTGACCCTAGGGCAATACAAAACAAAGTAAAAACAGATTATAATATTGAGGTTTCCCTGGTGTTATCTGCCACCCCTTCCCAGCCAAGTCCACAGCAAAAGCTCCTATGGGTTCTGCTCTGCTTTGTTTTGGGTCTGCCTTCAAGTCAATCTTGGTCCTAGTCACTGCCTGGACACAAGTTCCTACAGTTTTCTTGGAAAGATTTCCAAAGTGGCTTGACATTGCCTGTTTCCTAGAGCTGAAAGTGAATGACTGGCCAAAATCACCCGGCTGGCTTTGAGTCTAAGGCAAGATTAGAACTCCTGATGTCTTGGTTTTTAGCCGGGGGCCTTACTTATTATATTAAACTGGCTGTCACTATGGTATAATGCTTATTTTTAGATTATTTACTAGAGTAAATACCAAATTCAGCCTGCATTCTCCTCTTTTCATACCTGCTTCCTGAATATAGGGAAAATATTGTTTTCATGCCTTCCTTTATCTAACTTATCTTTTGGACCTATGTTGACCATGAAGTTGAGATTGGCCAAGCAGATTGCACTGCCAGAGAAAAGGATCTCCTGCAAAGGATCACCTCTAAATCTCAGATAAAGAGTGTTATCTAACATAGCTAACTTTCCTGTTTTTATAAAAAAAATAATAATTTTTTCCTTACTGGAGATCCAGCAAGTCCAGGAGAACCAGCAAGTCCAGGAGGTCCTGGGGGACCCTGAAAAGAAATGTAGAACACAATTACATTAAATTGTAACCTGTCCAGAGTCATTGATTGAAATGGGCGGCTATAGAAATTGAATGAATGAATGAACCCATCAACAGATTTTTTTTTTTCACAAGCATTGTTTCTAATTTTCCATTTTAGCAGAGATGAATAACTGTTCTTTACACACTAGAAGTAGGATGTCTCTTCTCTGTGTACTACTTTTCCTACCATTATAGCTTTATGGTGCAATTTGTCCAGAAAACAGTTTAACCGATGGGAGAACTGAAAAGTATAAATAATAAAAAATGAGTTTTTATTGCTTTATTCAATGTAAACCCCCTTTTTTCTGCCAGTGAATGGTACTTGAGTGACACCTGTCTTTTCAGAGAAATGAAAATTGAGCTAAATAAAGTCAATACTCAATATTATTATTCTTCTGTGAATTGTTGAAGAGACAATCCACTCTGATTCACAACAAAGAAGTGATTAGCATATAGCAATATTTCTCATATTCCCCAAATCAATTTGTGCTCTTGTTCCAGAAGAAGGTATAGGGTCTCTGTCAGACTTGCCTCATCTTGAACCTACTTGAGCAGGGGTTGGACTAGAAGATCTCTGAGGTCCTTTCCAACTTTGTTATTCTGTTAAGAAATATTGTTGAACTTTTACCCTAGCTCCAATCTCCTCTAAAAAAATATATTGCTAGATATATTTGGTGTTTCCCCCCCCCCATCTCCTGCTCCTCTCTCCACAAGCAACTCAATTTATCCGAAGTTTTATAGTAATTAAAAAACCCTAGCCAGGCTAAAAGAGAAACTGAGTTAGCAAAAGGTCAATCTTAACATGGAAAAGGTAGAGTTTTTTAAGATTTGTTCTATGTTGTTTGAGTTCGTGTCACATTTCAAACTGTAATGAGAAAATGTCAAGATGGATGTTTTCATCAGCTTCTCGTTCTTGTTCTTTTTTTGGTAACTAACACAGAATGAAAATCTAATGAAAAATAAAAGTCCAAAGAGCAAGAATTTCCAGGCTCTTCTTGCACAGTGATCACAAAATAAGTCATGATTTAAAAAAAAAAAGTGAATAATTCATTTGAGTAGTTCACACTACGTAAAGTATTGTAGGTTTTGAGCCTTCTCCAAGAAAATCCAGACAGTAAATTCTCAAAGCCGGGAATTTGTGTTTTGATATTCTTTAAAGCATCACTTACACAAGGGGAATTCTGCCCTCTGTGTGTAGATCATTTGCACTTCAAAGGGCAATTCAAAGTGTGTTAAGATATTTAAATGTTGTAGTTGGAGCAATGGGGTTGTGCAATGAGGCAGAATACACAATTGTGGTTGATTGTTACCAGATTGTTATCCGTGTGAGGCAATTTGCGCTGTGATTGGTTGGTGTAGGTATGGAGGGGGAGTTTCCCTTTTTCCCCGCCTTTTTCTTCTGTTTGTCTTGTGTGCTCTGTGATTTACCTCATGATGCTCCTGTTTGCCTATCTACTTCGCTGTAGCTATTGATGTAAAATATATTTATTTATATAAAACTACAATTACTTGTCAGCGTCTATGACTTCACTTAGACACCGGCCACACAATTCCCTGACAAAAGTGTAAACAAATGGCTTTGGGAATGTTGCCTGAAGCCAAGAACCAAATGCATTTTGTATACGTAGTCATGGAGGGCCTTTCAAGTAAACCAAGTTCAGTAAATAAAACACCACAGAAGCTGACATTCAAGTTTCCACATTGGAGAAGAGCTTCCTGATCTTACACATTGCAAACATTATGTAAGCTTGATTTCTGAGCACCTTGGACAGAGATCAGACTTGTATCCCTTTCAGTCTTACTTACAGCAGGCCCAGATAATCCATCAACTCCAGGGAGACCTGCTTCTCCTTTCTTGCCCTAGAAGAGAGGATTGAAAATTATGAAGGGCATCATGAAAAGAAACAAGCTGAAGTGATTATTTGACCAATTCATCATGAGTCATAAACTAAAACTAGATTTGAAGTAAAATAAATCCTTACGTTCAAGGGATCTTCTTAATTTTACAGCACCTGCTTTACACAGAATTTATAATCCTTGATTTTGATTAGGGTTAGGGTGCTGCAACATATGTTATGGTTCTGAAAGTAGAAGCTCTTCAAAGAACTTTGAGGCATTGTTTTCCTTAAAGAATCTTTTTAATTACTACATAGCTTCGGCAGGTACATAAGGAAGCCAAAAACTGAATTCTCCTCCTCCCCAATCACCCGTAACAAAGCATAACTCATTCCTTCATTTAACAGTCATCAATCACGTTCTCCAATTAGTTTGAAGTGTGAACTTTCCCTCCCGTATCTCCTCTGGTTACAATTAACCTTGAAAAATACTGTACTGAAATATGGTTATGGCTAACTATTCCCCATGTACATCCTTTCCCCCCTCCCTTCCAACACTATCTAACTTTAACTCTAGAAGTAATACACAGGTTAAATAGGGAATGTCTGCTTCTTCATATATTGCCAAGCAAGAACATCCGATGTTAGCAGCCTTGACAACATGTTTCATGGGGAGCTTTCCTTAAAAAAAAAAAAAAAAAAAAGGTGTCCAGATATTTCAACCGGACCAAAATGCCGCAGCCATATTGGACTAGAAAACATCCAAGGTCCCTTTCAACTCTGTTATTCTGTTACTAGGAAAAATCAGTGAAACTTCATGAAGGAATTGTCGGTGCTATGTTGCAATTTAAGTAGAATTTGTCAGCCATGATTAGATTTTGGACATAACAATTGCTTTGGAATACTACCATCTGTGTGGTTTCCATACTGGGCTCAAGGCATTTTTTGTGCAAAATACAATCCAAATGAACAACACAAGTAAACGAGAAAAAATGATATTGCTTTTTGAAAGAGTCCATGTTCCTCTCATTGCAAGCAGGGCTATTAAATGGATCCTCTTTGGCTTCTGTAAAATGAAGGAGCTAAGAAAAATAAACCTGTAATTCAATACAGATTTATAGCACACAAAGGAACGTTTAATCTCATTTCTATATGAGAATGTATTATCCCAGAGTCCATTGCATTATTTTTTATGGGTTACCTAGTACAATTTTCATTACTGCAGCAGAATAGAATTATGCTAGGGGGAAAAAAATGAATTCTCATTCTACACCCAGGCAATTAAAAACAATGACCCAGAGAGAGAACCATAGGTAAAGGAATGAAAGGGAAGAAGATGGTTCATATTTAAACTCAACCAAATAAGTATTCTAACAGAGAAAACTTTAATTGAACTGGATATTTTATTCCAAGGTAATACAAAGAATTTGGGAATGAGCTTTCAAAGCCAATCCACCCCATAGATATTATCTGTTTTTGTGTCAATGTCTGTGCCACGTTTCTGTTTCATCCTAAAAGAACACATGGTGTCATTTTTTTTCTGCCTTCCTTTTTCTGCCTTCCTTAATAAAAAGATTCTTAGATCACTCTTAATTGTAACGGTGTTTAGCAAAAAGATTTCTTTCCTTGTTTCAACATTACCTAAGGATAATCTCAAAGGTGATTTTCCCAAAGAGAACTGGAGTTTCTCAGGGGTTTTTTTCCCTTTAAAATGTTTCACTTCTCATCCAAAAAGCTGCTTCAGTTCTAACTGAATGGTGAGGAATGGAATAATTTATATCCTTTGCAGTCATCTGATCATCCCAATTTGCACTCTGATTCAGGTAACTTGAGGATACAGATAAACCCCCAAGTAGCCTCAGTGACCCTCAGATGACTGCAAAGAATATAAATCCTTAGAATATAAATCCAGTTAGAACTAAAGAAGCTTCTTGGATGAAAAGTGAAATGTTTTCAAGAAAAAAAAAGAATTAAGTCTTCTTAAGACTTTTGGAAAAGCAAACCATGACCTGGATGATTGAGTAGCTATATACATATCACCTAAGGATAGTCTCCAATGTTTTATTTCTATTAAGCTTTGTCACTCATGACCTTGGTGAAAAACTAGCAACAGAATTGCATGTTTATCCACTTTTTCAGAATAGTCCCAAATAGGATCAAACATGGATCTTTAGCAATGATAAAAAAATTCTTTCTATAAAAATCTATATAAGTAAAGTACAAGGAAGAGGAAAAAAAAAACTTTTGAAGAATTTGAACACACGGTGCCTAGGATTTAAGAGCTAGTAAGCATTTGTGAAAATTACTACTCACTAGGTAGCTTAATCCTCATTAATGAATATCTCTATAACTCTTATAAAACTTGGCTGCTCTTACAGTAACTGTTCAAAAATCTATCAAGAGGAATATAATGAGATTTCCTATTAGACTATGTCCCATTACTTACTTTGTGTATTCTTAAAGTAAGTTTTATAGACAAGCGAGCAACCTGCTTGGTGTATAAACATGCTGCCCATCTCTCTGGTGATCTATAATATTCCACATCTGCCTATTGTCAATACACAGATTTATCAGCACGGCAGCACATACCTCTTTCATTTTACTACTATATCCCTAATGATGCTCACATAATGATTTGCTGTGTGGGGGTCATTCTAAAGTCTTATATCATCCACCCTCCTCTTTCTGTATTGATCAGCAAAGAGTACAGAGCCAGCCCTGAGGCAGAACATGAATACAAGAATACATTCTCAGAACTGGCAACTATCATTGGGGATTGCCTGTTACATCTCAGGAAATAAGAGGCTATTATAAATCACGGATACCAATAGGCAAGAAAAAAATGAACTCTTTCTACTGGAAACTTGGCAGTCTAAAGTAGTATCTCCGTTGCAAAGCTGTTCCACAAAGTTTTAAATTTACATTGCGGCACTATGTTAGCAGGAGAAGAAATAAGTGGTTTTTAATGTCTATAGAGATTCTTAGTCATCCAAGTCATGGTTGTCCCAAAGCTGCTTTTTCAAAGTGCAACTGGACTTTTTTTTGCTTCTCATCTAAGAAGCTTCTTTAGTTCTGACTTGAATGGTGGAGAATGGAAAGATTTATATTCCTTACAGTCGTCTGGTTGTTAGTCCTCTTTCTGAGAATCATTGAAGCCACTTGGCAGTTTATCTGTGTCCCTCTCTCTCAACAGGAGGGGAATAATACAACACCACCTATCTCCTATTTACAACACAGTCCTTTCAGCAGTTCCAAGAAGGTTCCACACCCATTTGCACTATTCAGGTGACCCTGAGGGCACAGATAAACCTCCAAGTGGTCTCAATAACTCCCAGAAAGAGTCTTAACAACCAGATGACTGCAAGAAACATAAATCCTTTCATCCTCCACCATTCTGTCAGAACTGAAGAAGTTTCTTGGATGAGAAGCGAAACCTCTTCAAGGAAAAACAAAGTCCAATTGCCTTTTGAAAAGGGACATTTGGGACAAGTGATTTTTTTAAAAATAATTTTCTAAGCTCAAAGCAAGAAAAGGGGAAAAAAGATTGGTAGCATTTTTTCTTCTGAAATAAAGTAGAGAACTCTGTTAGGAAGGAGAGGTTTTTAGATGGAAGCATCTGAAAAAGAAGAATGATTGCTCACCCGTAGACCTTGTAGACCTGGAGATCCCATCTTGCCTTCTGGTCCAGGTGGTCCCTGAAAACAAGGTATTTTTTTTTCCTTTACATTGCATACAGGCCCATTGATATTAAATTATTTCTATTTTGGGGGGATGTCATGGGAAAAAATAGCTATCCTCTATAACATGGACCAAAGCAATGGGATCCAAAACAACCCCTCTTAAATAGTGATATCCAAATGAGAACTCTGCTAACAGAGTGACAAAGATTTACACAGGAGATAGAAAAGGTGCATCAAGAGTGATGGATAATTATTTTAGTTTATTTTATTTATTAGATTTGTGTGCCGCCCTTCTCATGTAGAGGTGAACTCTGGGCAGCTTACAAACATTAAAAATTGGTAAATATTAAAACGATAACAATAATAATAATTTACAGTTAAAAGATTGGGGGATTACACAGAGGAGGGGAGGTCTTCTCTTAATCCGATAGGCACCTCCAGAATGGTGCTTCCCCCCATTGGTACCCCAGGCCATCTTTGTAATGAAATTATAAAGACAAGTAAAGCAATACAATTAAATATGTACCTACCTTCTTTCCACTAAGTTATACTGTTGATCTGATAAACCAGCATTGTGTACTACAGTGATTCTCCTAGATCTTTAACAGAACTATTTCTCCAACCTGGTTTCTCAAATCACCACTGCAATATTTCCTGACTTCAAAATGAAATTTAGTCGAGCTTCAGGTGATGTTTAGTGTATTCTATTATTGTATACAGTAGTGTAGGAGATGAGATTGTCTGAGCCTGAGGGAGGGGTCAAGCGTGCCATCAGTTTGGAATCCCCTCACGCCCACAAAAGATCTAAGTTCAGCCCTCCTGGCAGGTAGGTTATTCAGATTACAAATAATTCATTCAGAAATAAAATTACTTACTGAAACACCAGGATTTCCCGGAGGCCCCATGGGTCCCCGTGGGCCAGGAGCTCCCTATAAACAAATTTCAAAGTTAAAAAAGGCACGGTGAAGTTTTGCTTTGCATTTAAACTCTCCTGATGGGATGAATTCTGGGGTCTGAGTTTTATAATATTTACTTTTCATCATTCTCTAAGTGGAAGAATTTTTATTTTACACCTCAAGTTAAAACAACAAAAATAGCATGGAAGATAAGTGTAGCATTATATTATCTGAGATGACTAGCATTTTTGTATCAAGTTTTTTAACATACTGACAAGATCCATGTAAAGTGCACAAGAATGAATCAAGGCTTTTGTTTCAGATACTTGGTTGATCTGTTCCTTTTTACATCTATTAAGAGTTAATTGTTTTGTGGTGATTTTCTGGGATGGGCCTTATCAAATGGTCTTCATTATGTCTGGTACCCCTTTTTATTTTAATTAGATGCAGTTGTTTTATATAGTGGAAAGGTATGCAGAACCCAGCTTTTAAGTAGTGCACTGTATTTTTTTGGGGGGGGGTCAGTTTTCCGTGACTTAAAAAATTAAGAGATAGAAATATCATGTCTGATCACAGAGAGAATGAGTTTAAGTAACCTTGAAAATATTCTACCTGTACATGTATCACCTGTACTAAAGAATTTAGGAACACTTACTTGGTCTCCTTTCAAGCCTTCAATCTGAAACAAACAAACAAACCAAAGATTATCTATAAAAAATGAAGGGAAAAAGAAGTCTGGCATTTTGGTAGCCAAGAGATAGACTTTAGGGTTATATAGCAATTATATCTGAGGTCCATATAGGTGGGTGGGGGGGATGCGTGGAGGGAAGACAATGAAAGACATTTACAGCATACAAATGTAAACCAAACATATTATTGAAACACTAGTGATTAATTGTCTCAACAATTGTGTGAAATTACATTTGAGAAACTATTTCTATCTGACTTGGCACCAGCACTAATGACCACTGTTAGTAGCAAACTTACATACTATACATTGCTTCCAAACTGAATTGGAAGCAAGTACCGTAATTTCCGGGGTATAAGACGACTTGGCATATAAGACGACCCCCGACTTCGGCGCTGATTTGAATGCTTTAGAAAGTCGTCTTATACACCGGAAAATACGGTAACTTATTTGCTATAAGTCAGCTACACTGTTTTATAAAACTACAGATTGGCCTGCATGGGGAATCTTCATAAGTGATGCAACCCAGCTTAAAAACTGGCAAGAGGTTAACCTATGAAATCTGTTTCACTAATCTGACCAAAAAAATAAATGGCTGTGAAAAATAAGACCATTTTGCTTTGAATTGTTATGTGAAATGGTCCCTTCAGCCTGTGGCATTTTATACATACTGAAATAACAATATCAATAATGAGATCTTAATAGAATTTGTAGGACAACTTCAGAACCCATTGCAAAATGAACACATGGTAACAGCCGTTAGAGTAGTTCAAAATGTTATTCAACATATATTTTTTAAAAGTGGCCTATGTCCCATGTATAGTCAAATCATTATGACCATCAATGATATATTAGGCTGTTTGATATCCATGTGTACAACATAATTGATTTGCCTGTCAATTTCTAACCTGTTTCAGGCTTGTAAGCTTAATCATAATCTTGATTAATGATCCTTAATCATTAAGGACCATGTGTCAGGAATTCGCCTCCACTTCATTATTCCCACATTATTCCTACAAGCTCTCCTCAAAATTTCTTCCTCTTGATCCCCAACCTGCAAAACATGACCAGTTGGACACATTCCAATTTCAGACTTTTTTTTTTTAGCCTTAATCCATGGACATGAATATGGCTTCCTTTTATCAAAGATAGGAGATGTTCGCAAGAGTTACAAATTCCACATCAATTCCAGAGAATTATTATTATTATTATTATTTTGCTATCCCACGCAAAAGCTGCGCATAAAATAATTCTTACTGCTGAGCCTGGTTTTCCAGGAGATCCAATTTCACCCTATATTTAAAAAGAAACCAGAGACAAATAATTACATGGATGACCTGAAAGAGTCTCCTACAGCCTCTTTAGCATTTATACCAATGTTTCTCAACCTTTGCAACTATAGGATGCGAGGGCAGAAATTGTCAGAATTCCTCAACCAGCATGGCTGTGAGAGCTGAAGTCCTCATCTCTGAAAGTTGTCAATGCTGAGAAACACTGATTTATATAAAAATTGTTTGGGAAGAATTGAAAAAGGGGTGAGCACCCCCCCCCAATCTTCCTAGATCTCCCTAGATGCCAAAAACAGTGATTTGTCTCTACATACACCCCATTGATGTATCTTACCACTAGATCACAAGAATCTTCATAAATTTCCAGTGTGGAATAAACAACAACAACAACAAAATGTGTAAGGAAAAGGGAAAAGCTACACCAATGACTTATCCCTGCAGATTGCAGTTACTGAAATATGCAAAAATTATGATCATTAAAAATATGATTACTGTATTGGTGGCATAATGAAAATTATTTAAACGATATGGATTATGTGCCATCAAGCCAGTAAGAAACTCTTACGGACTAAATAGATTTTGTTCCTGATGATAAATGAAACCAAATGAATAAACTGAATACAAGCAGGTTATAAATATACCTATAGCCGGATACTTGCAGCATTTGTATAGAAGTTACTGTACAAAAATGAAGTAGAAAAGGTTTGGAGGGACTGCAAGCATAGGAACTGTTTAAAGCAGCAACATCTATTTTCAAACCTGAAAATAGAAAATTTTCAGGCAAAGATGCAGGTTTTTTTAAAGAGGTTATTTATTTATTTATGGTAACTGTATCTTCAATGCAATTTAAAAAAAAAAGATGCATCTGCTTTTAAGCTTGCTGTCTCCTACACTCCAATTATTTTAAAAATAATTTTCAAAGCATGAAAACACATACATCATTCCTTTATATAATTCTCATTTTACCTTTTCTCCTTGTGGTCCTACAGGTCCAGGTTGACCTGGACTTCCTTTGGCACCCTGAAATTAAAAATAACCAGATATCAAAAGGTGTTCAAGATAGTAATAAGCTTTAAAATAAAGACAAGGATCAGAAGAGATGACCATTGGGTTTTCTTAAGAGTCCCAGAAAAGTGAAGTTATATTACAACATAATGGAATATTTTCAGTTCGAAATAAATATTCCAATTTCAAATCAAAGCCATGCTGTACTGTAAAATTGCCTCTAACGTTGAAAAAGAATTGTTGTTTCTTATGAAAAAAAGATGTAAACCTGCCTGCTTTAAAGTTGAGTAATAATATGTGGGAGAAGTTTTTTGATGGAACAAGTTTGTTTTGGCAGCAGCTTTTAGATGAAAGAATTTTGTTCTTTTAGTTTGTTTTTGGAACATACAGGCAAATAAATCAAAACTGTACAACTCACTTTTGAAACCCTATTGTACTGAGACTACTAATTCATCAAGCTTACACTAGTAAACATACCAGACTTTCCACCCATCTAACAATATAAGAACTGCGTTGATTAGACTAATGATTCAATTAATCAATCATTCTGTATTCTTTAGTGGCCAGCTGGTTCTTTCAGTAAACTCCCAAGCATGAAATATTAATGCCAGAAGCATAAACCTATATGAACGCAAAGAAGTAGTTATGGATAAATAATCCTGATAAAATGTTATCCATTAGATCTTGAAGAGTCAGAAGCAAATAAGCAAGCTAATCTGTTCTGCATGAATACAGAGTTGGAAGGGACCTTGGAGGTCTTCTAGTCCAGCCCCCTGCTCAAGCAGGAGACTCTATATCATTCCAGAAAAATGGCTATATAGTCTCTTCTTGAAAACCTCCAGTGATGGAGCATCCACAACTTCTAAAGTCAAGCCGTTCCACTGATTAACTGTTCTCACTAACAGGAAGTTTCTCCTCAATTTGAGGTTGCTTCTCTCGTTGATAACCTTCCATCCATTCCTTCTTGTCCTGCCCTCAGGTGCTTTGGAGAATAGGTTGACCTCCTCTTCTCTATGGCAGCTCTTCAAATATTGGAAGACTGCTTTGACATCACCCCAACTCCTTCTCTTTGTAGAAAAAAGCACAAATCTTATTTGGCCTGTTTGATTATTGGAACTTGGATCCAAATGATTAATTTGTCCCCACAAAGAACATAGCCAACATGTTTGTCCTGCAGGATAGTCTCATGTAGACCAGTCTGAAAAATGTTTTCAGAATCTTGTTGGAAAACATTGGGTGTGATAGATAGAGGGAAAAACATTCCTCCAGTCAGCAGTGGTCATCAACTAAAACAAAAAGTTGTGTTCTGTGAGATGGAGGACCTGAAATGAATCAGGTTGTTCATGTAAACCATTTTGTAGAGGCCACAATACTTTTCTGTCACCCCATTAGGCCACTTGAGGAGTCACCATTTAAAATATAGAGTAGGGGTCTTCAAACTTGGCCCTTTTATGACTTGTGGACTTCAACTCCCAGAATTCCTCAGCCAGGCACGCTGGCTGAGGAATTCTGGGAGTTGAAGTCCACAAGTCATAAAAGGGCCAAGTTTGAAGACCCCTGATGTAGAGGATGTTTGGTAGAACTTGGTCTTAGTTTTATGCAAGGCCTTCATTGCAGAAGTTGATTACCAGTCCTAAGTGTTTGTATTGCATATACTCAACTAGTTCTAAAAAGGATTCTATTTTTTTTTTTAATTTAAAAATTAACCACATACCTGTTTTCCATCCAAGCCAGGCTTCCCAGGAAAACCGTCAAGGCCACGTTCTCCCTGAGCAAACAAACATAAAAGCTCTGTTGGAGATCTCATTCCATGAGGTAATCTTGGAAAAGCTGCATTATCATGAACACATTTGCCTGGGATTAAATATGGAAGTAGATTTGAATTGCTAGCTTTTAAAAAAAATATATTTCTTGTTTGATTTCCTGTCATGGATTCTAAACTCCAACCTGCACTGAATTGTGTACCTGGTTTTGTCTGTTTTCTTCTCATTTGCCCAGCATGACACCCAATTACCATCCCACTTTTGGACAATATCTCCAATCCATTCCCTACATAGTGTTTCCAAAATTAAACCCAGAAAACCCCATATTTGTTTGCTTCAGTGCTGAGATTGAAAATGTTTGAAAGGCAATGAGTTAATTATTTGATAAATTTGATAAATTCAAATAATGAACTGATATCTTTATGCAGACCATGTTTGGTCAATGTTTGGGGTGAAGATTCCTGGTCATGTTACATGTATGTAGCCAGCATAGAATATATTATATATAACATGAGTTATAAAATGATCTAACTCAAGTGGCTTCCAGAGAAATGTATTGTCTCAAGTATAACATATTTGACATGGAATGTCTTTCATGAGCCAATTTCTGTTCCAAACCTGTACTCATATTCATGGGATATTATTTGATAAATTATTTGCACCTTGTCACCACGGGGTCCTTTTTCTCCCCTTTCCCCTTGCAAACCCTAAAAAAAGAAAGAAAAAGAAAGTAGGAAATTACAGGAATCATATTGACACCAACACCTCTGAGAATAACTAGATGGGTTATGAACAGGCTAGGAATGTTCTCAGAGTGGCTTAATCAATGTTGAGTGCTGTTAAAGAAAGAAGTTATTTTAGACTCAATTTATTAAGTACCATTCTTGAATAAAACTGATCGAGGTTATTTGTAGCTCAGGATTGAAATGAGTTTGAGCTTCGTTGTCTTCTTGCCAACATTTCAAAACCAAACTAGGTAACATCATCAGTGCTAGCAGTTTGGTAATGAAAAATCTGCCCCCCCCCAAAAAAAAACAGAACTCCCCCAGAAAAACCCAGCCAAGCTCAGAGAGCAGCAAGGACCCCACATAGAATAAAACTATACAGTAATTTTCAAAACATCTGTGCTAATTGGTCTTGGAGCATTGATCAACAAACTCAATATTTTGACTTTAAGCTATTTAAAAAAATTAAAAGTAACCTGTTTTGCCTCCAGCTAAAGGAAGCTAGTGAAAACTGTGTAACCTTCTCCAACAAACAACATGATGAACAGGGATGAACAGGAACATTATTTGACAAGTGAATAATGGAGGTTAAATAGGTCAGATAAGTAGAAATAGTTTTATTGTATATAATATTGATGTTGTAATTTGGAGAGAGGAATTGCTCGGGCATTTTCCCTGGACTGCCTCCGGAGTGGGATGAGAAGGTAGGAGGAAGGGGAGAAGCAAGTAGGAAGGTGGAGGAGAAAGAGGAGAGGAGGAGAGTGGTGAGGAAGAAGAGAGAGGAAGAGGGAAGTAAGGGAGGAAATGAGAGGGAGGATGCGGTTTGGGGGGAAATGAATGAGCAACACTGAAAGTTGTGTGTATAAATTTATTTTACTCTTTATCTGAAGTATTTTGTATGAGTGTAATGAAAAATGGAAAATAAAAACTTTAAAAAAAAAGAAAGAAAAAAAGAAAGGCAGCATAGCCCTGCCTTTGACCTTATTGAATGGGATTGTTCTACCTTCCTCAACTTTGATAACCCCACCAAATATCTATGTATAATATGCAATTCTCTGGTTCTGGTTTGAGAATCACGTATCTTCTTGCCAGACAATTTTATAAATTATATTGTTTCCGTGTAGAATATTAAATTAACAACAACAACAAATCCTGACTTACAGGTGCTCCAACATAACCTTGACGACCTGGGGGACCTAGACGCCCTTCTTCTCCCTAAGCAAAAATGAAAGGAAAGCAAGGTCTGAGGACACAATCAAAATCTATGGTAGTTTGTTTACATGAACAAGTGTAAATCCTCTTTAAAAAGTAATTCTACAATATTGTAAACATCTTGTTAGCTTTTCTGAAAAGCAAACTACTGGAGTGCTAAAACCAGGTGGCTATTTGTGTCTGTTGTTGTTGTTAGTTGGGAAGTCGTGTCCAACCCATCATGACCCCATGGACAATGTTCCTCCAGGCCTTCCTGTCCTCTACCATCTATTTGTGTCTAATCAACAGCATATTATTTTTCCTTGAGACCGAACAATTGTGGATAACCTGACATAAAGATGAAAAGTCATGGCATTGTCCATTTGTTGCACCAGATGATAAAGGCCACTTTATCAGCTACTTATTCCATCACAGGATTAAGCCATCACGTGCATGTCACACACATGGAGTAATGTATGGATTCACTGGATTAAGCCGACAACAAATTTAGGAGGGGCTGCATGTGTTTGACTCAACTAAGAGAAAACATTTAGCTGATCTTCACTGAAGTCACAAGCTTCAGATAATGTAAGAGCTAAGGCTTAGACTGGGAAATTTTTAAAAAAGCTATGCATATTTATATGTATGTATATATGTATGTATTTGTTTTATGAGGTTTTTGCGGGTGTTTGTATATAGGTCTTTGATTATTTGGGTTTTCTCCCGCATCAAATTGGAAGTGTCTTGGCGATGTTTCAACGAAGTCCCATTCGTCATCTTCAGGCTGGTGTTTTCGGCTTCGTGCTTCTAGGAGCAAGAAGCCGAAAACACCAGCCTGAAGATGACGAATGAGACTTCGTCGAAACGTCTCCAAGACACTTCCAATTTGACGCGGGAGAAAACCCGAATAACCAAAGACCTATATGCATGTATGTACATACATATTCATTCATTCATTCATTCATTCATTCATTCAAATTTATTAGCTGCCCAAATCCAGACAATGTCTCAGAAAGTTACCCTGAAGAAAACAATACTAATGGCCAACATCAATTACATGATGTATCCATGACATCACCAGGCTTTTAGCCTTATACATGGTTTTACACGGAAGGAAGGAATGTGGAAAATATAAATTTGTAAATCCAAGGAAGTTGAGGTATGAAGGAGCAAAAGGTTGGCATCAAAGTGGACTAATGTATCAGGACCCCAAACTAATCTATTGCCCAACTGTGTTACTTTTTCCCTAAGAATTTCCAAATTAGTTGCCCTTTATGATAAATCAGTGTCCCGGTCTTGCATTTTTCACTGTAGGGGAGACACTGAAAGTGTGTCTTGGTTTGGAGGTTATGAATAATGGTCCATAGCTCCCTGAGACAAAATTTAATAAGAAACAATATAGAGTTGAATTGACTTTTTTTAGGTTGCAAAAACATTAATGCAAATGCTGGTCGATATTTTGCTGAAACTGTAAAAAACACACCAGAAACTTAAATACAAAGGAGATTATAAATCAAAATTAGTATCTCTATTAATCTTTGATGACTCAAATAGGTTTTCAACCAGGCAAGCTATTATTACTGTATTTTAGAAATCAAACACAACATTCTCAGTATAGTCATGTATTGGTACATTAATAAATGAGCCATTACCTAATGTTAGTTAGATTATGATTATTATATTTGTTACCCTGTACTCAGCTCTGGGAAGTGGGGGAGGGAGAGGGTTTTTTTTAGGGTGGATGGGTTTTGGGGTGTATTTTGTAACTTTTGTAAAACTTTTCAATAAAAAATAAATAAATAAAAAATAAATGAGCTATTACATTAGCGTAAAAAGCTGACTAAGGAAATAAGGGAATAAGGGAAAAAATATGCTGACAACTTTACAGAATTATATTGCAGTAGTACTATTTTATTAGAGTGGAAATAAGTAAATATTACTTTGCAGCTACTTGAAAAAAAAATAATAGTATTTAAGGGGACAAAGGGACTGTCAAAAAACCTCTATACATGGTCATTCAATATATAAGTGAATCAGATTTTAGACAAACTATTATGTAGGAACAGGAGTTAGGTGTCTCTTCTGATCAGGAACTTGGTGCATCTGAGCCCCCTGACATAATTTAAGATGGAAATCACAAATAGTAAATCTTTCCTGAAACTCCTATGAATCTCATTCATGACATTGTTTTTTTTTTTTTTTTTTTTTAATAACAATAATAGAGTTGGAAGGGACCTTTTGGGTCTTTTAGTCCAATCTCCTGCTAAGGTAGGAAACCCTATACCATTTCAGACAAACGGTTCTCCAATCTCTTCTTAAAAATTTCCAGTGTTGGAGCATTCACAACTTCTGAAGCCAAGCTGTTTCACTGGTTAATTGTTCTAACTGTCAGGAAGTTTCTCCTTAGTTCTAGGCTGCTTCTTTCCTTGATTAGTTTCCATCTGTTGCTTCTTGTCCTGCCTTCAGGTGCTTTGGAAAATAGCTTAATTCCCTCTTCTTTATGGCAGCCGCTGAGATATTGGAAGACTGCTATCATGACCCCCCCTCGTCCTTCTCTTCATTAAACTAGACATACCCAATTCCAGCAACCGTTCTACATACGTTTTAGCCTCCAGTCCCCTGATCATCTTTGTTGCTCTTCTCTGTACTCTTTCTAGAATCACAACATCTTTTTAAAATCTTTTTTAAATAGATTCATATATGGTCACCTTTGGGCCAGATGGTCCAGGAAGGCCAGATGCTCCAGGAAGACCAGGTTCTCCCTAAAAAAAGAAGGCAAAATAATATTTATTGCAAAGACTTGCTTTTTATGGACCAGGGTATACTGAAAAACCATAAAGTAGCGGATCTATGAAACCAAAAGAGATGCTTATTTTGAGAGAAATGGAAAGTTTTTCACATGATTACTCCAGGTTTTCTGGGAGAACTTCACCAGTGTTGTCTATGGAGATTCTCAGTCATCAGGGTATGGTGGAAAATGTTTTGCTTCTTATCCAAGAAGTTTCTTCAGCTCTGAAGAACTTTCTTGAATGAGAAGGAAAACGCCTTCAAAGAAAAAATGAAGTCCAGTCGCCTTTTGAAAAAGGACCCTTAGGTTCACCAGATTTGCTGTATAGTGTAATATCCTCCAACTGAAGATTCAAGGGGAAGAAAATCAGATCTTCTGCACTGGAAGTCCCACCCTTCCATTTAGTTATGTCTGTGGGGAAAAAAAAATTATGTCTTCACATTGAAGAAAAATGAACATTTTTTAATGACCCACTGGTTACTCAGTCCTGTTATGCACATTTTAAAGATATGCTTTAATCAACGGGTCAAAACGTGATTTCAAGATATGCACTTTAAAATCAACCCTTCCTAATATCCTTTATTATAAATTTGCTGAATTTTTAAATTTATCTCCCAGCTCAAAAATAAATAAATAGATAGATAGATAAATCCAAAGGTTCAACAAGATCTTCAAGAACCTATATGATGCAACAGTAAGATGTTTGGACAGGTTCATGCCCATGGAAACTGTTCACAACTGTGGGAAGAAGAGCTATCACCAAAAAAGTCCACCAATGGTGTCTATCAACGTTTAGCTGGCCCAGATAGCTAAACTGCCATTCTTCCCCACTGATAGAACCTGGCTCCATATATTATCTAAGGGGAAAGTCATATTTTAAGGAAAAGCAGAGTACACATGTGATAAGGACATACAACTGAATGACATACACATGTAATCTATGTAGGAATGACCTTCGGAAGCAGAATGAAGACCCACAACCTAGCCTGAAAGCTTCCGTTAATGTCACCTTACAATAAAGTAGAATTAATTTACTTTGGGTGTCTTTCTTGTCTGGACTACCTTGCAAGGCTGACATCAATCTTGTAAGACTGAAAATAATTCTTGCCTTCTCTGTTTTTCGTCTCTAGGAAATTAGACAGGGTCTCTCTAATTTTCCCCCACCCCCATCTATGGACTGAGATGTCCTTTATTAGTCCATTGCCTAGGCAGTCCATCCTGCCTCCCAAGTTTGTTCTTGGTTGGACCAGATGACCTCCAACTTCATTATTATTATGGATCATCGCACAGTCAGCCAGATGTTCAGACTGGATTTGGCTTTTTGTCTACCTATCGAGTCCTTACCCAGGACCTGGGATAGGCAGATGTGGATGCTTGATGGTATTACAGATATCGTTGCAGGATGGAAGCAGTTCCTAGTAAGGCCGCCTTTTAATTCTGACCAGCTCAAGGTTGACTCAACCTTCCATCCTTCCATCCAGGTTTTTGGGGGCAATATGATGATTCTGTAAACCACTTAGAGAGGGCTTTAAGCACTATGAAGTGATATATAAGTCTAAGTACTATTGCTATTGCTAAGATGCTATAGTTGTTGACTGGAAGGTTGGCAATTTGAGACTCTAGCATCATGCAATGGTGTGAGCTCCCATTACTTGCCTCAGTTGCTGCCCATCTAGCAGTTCAAAAGCATGCAAATGTGAGTAGATAAATAGGTACCACTTCAGTAGGAATATAATAGTGTTCCATGCCCCTTGATGTTTTGTCATGCTGATCACATGACCGTGGAAGCATCTTGGCTAGGAAACAGAGATAGTGTCCTAGAGTTGGACACTATTGGACAGGGTAAACATTTACCTTAAAAAAATGTGTACTATTGCTGAAAAAGATTGCTTGCACCCTCGTAGGCATAGAAATGGATAATAATTGTTTTCAGATTCTGCCAGAGTTCTCGTGTTTCCACCTATTGAATTTCAGCTGGCATACTTTTGTTTTCAAAGAAATAAATAGCTGTGTTTTGCTGAACTGTTTTGCTCAACTGCTTCTGTGAACTCTCTAGTCACAGTGTAGCATTTTAATGGAGCTTCCCAGAACCAATAATCTATAAGAAGTCTGTTTACTCCCTTGGCCCAACAATAGGATTGTTTAGGTTAATAACCTGCTTTTTTTTTCTTACATTTGGAACCACAATATTAATCCCCTTGACATGTTCCATTCAATAATGATTGATCCAAACACCTGGTTTACATTGCAAGGAAAAGAGGATTTTTTAAAAAAAAAGAGAAGAAAAAAGCTTACAGTTTCTCCTTTGGCTCCATCGTTTCCTGGGATGCCGGATGCACCAATGGAACCCTAAAAGAATACAGATTATGACGACAAAATTAATGGGAAATCATAGTGATATTTTAAAATAGCATTGGCTAAAGGCAGGAGGACCTGAATAATAAAGAAGACAAATCTAGGCACACTCACCTCGAGCCACTTTAATTTGTGATCTCCTAGCTGATATATCATCACTTCCAAAATACAGGGATTAAGCAGTGAATTCATTATTTGATAAATGCTGCTGGAGTGATGTACCCTAAAGTCAATTTCCAAACTCAAAAGGTTCAGCAGATAGTTTTATAAATAACTAATTGCATTTTTTTTCCTTAATGAAGAGATCATACGGTTTTTCAAAAATGGGGACAAAGTCCACCTGAATGTATTTTGGGATTCTTCATGCTCTCTGAGCTTGATTGTTTGCTTGCAGACATTTCATTACTCAGCTAAGTAGCTTGCCTTTCCAGTTTTGATGGTATAATAATAACAGAGTTGGAAGGGACCTTGGAGGTCTTCTAGTCCAACCCCCTGCTCAGGCAGGTAACCTTATACCATTTCGGACAAATGGCTGTCCAGTCTCTTCTTAAAAACTTCCAGTGTTGGCGCATTCACCACTGGCGCAGGTTGTTCCACTGGTTAATTGTTCTGACTGTCAGGAAGTTTCTCCTTAGTTCCAGGTTGCTTCTCTCCTTGATTAGTTTCCATCCATTGTTCCTTTTCCTGCCTTCTGGTGGTTTGACCCCCTCCTCCTTGTGGCAGCCTCTCAGATATTGGAACACTGCAATATCATGTGGTGTAGATACCTTCTTTCTCCTCTTTTCCAGACCTCCACCAAAATTGACCGGGCGTGTATGTGGGTGTGCGCGCGCACACAAACACACAAGCATAAACAAGCAGTAAACCTCACACTGATTATGTTCAAACATCTGCAAACAACCAAGCTCAGGAGACATCAAGGACTCCACGGTTGAACCCTGAGCTAAAATATTCTCTTCCAGTAAATGTTCTTCGACATACATTGGTTGTAAATTTATTTTATTTTACTATTTTATTTTCTTATTTTATTTTACTGTTTTATTTCATTTTATTTATCATTTTATATTTTATTTTATTAGTGTGTAGATACTTACCCGTTCTCCTCTCTCACCCATTAGACCAGGTAAACCTTGGGGTCCCTTTTCACCCTAAAAGAGCGGAATGGAAAATATTTGCATAAAATATATCATCCTCCTAAAATAGGTAAAAGGAATACAGGCACTACAATCCACAAGGAGTCCTGCTGATATTTTTGAAAAGGAAATTAATCACAGGGTTTGCTAGCAAGGCAAATTTCTCAGTTTCTCGAGATTTGTATGCCCATTTTTGCTCAAATGTTTCCTGCAAGGGAAAATTTTCACCTTATCAACACATCCAGTAGATGTCAGGGCATTACCATGAAAGGCCATTTGCTTTCCAGGGAAGGATGAAAAATCAGAATAAAATGTTGCGGGGCCCTTCTAACGCCAAGAAAAACCAAATAAACTTGCAAGCCCATCTGCCCTCCCTGAAATCTCTGTGGTGGCTGAGAAATCAGCTGCTTAGACAAGCAATTACAGGATCTCAAAGCAATTATATGCTCAGTATTCTGGGTTCCAAAGGGAAAAGAAAAAAAACAAAAAACAAGACACAACCAACACAATACAACAACAACAAAAATCTTAGTTTTCTTATCTGGCCATGAAGGGACATGAAAGCTGACATTCTGAACCCTTTGAAAGACAGATCTTCTTCACAGTATGAAGTAGCATAAGGTGAAGTTTTCTGCCTGTCACTTCTTTGAATCAAAATGTAATATGAAATAAGGGGGGAGGGGGGAAAGGGGAAAAATGCAGCAATGGTGTACACATGTTCTTTGCCTTCTTAGTGAAACAGGGAGCAAAATCGATCAGAATCAAAGCTGAATGGTGCCGAATTTAGGAGACAACTAGGCCATGAAGACTTCAGGTAGCATCTTTTTACTCCTGACATGACAGACAGAGAGACAGACAGACCAACATCCTGACAGGGAAGGGAGAAGTTGTGACCTTCAAGACATTACATCAAGCATCATGACCCAAGCCCCATTCCTTTTTTCCCCTATATATGTCTCTGACACACATGCAGACAAGGTAGGCCTTGGACTGTGATGTTGCACTTTTCATCTAGCAGATTTTAATCCATGGATGGACAGGTAGATGGGTAGAAGAGTAGATAGGTAGATAGTTGGGCAGGTAGATGGCAAATGGATGGATGGATGGATGGATGGATGGATGGAGAGACAGAGGGTCAATGCCTGGGGGGACAATGAGGTCTTAAAGGTCATTCCAAAGGCCAAGAGGTTAAGGGCCTTCTGGATAACTTGTGAACACAATTCTATAGGGCAGGTACTACTACTGAAAAAGCCCACATCCCGGATCCTGTCATCATTTATTAGAGGGCACCTAGAAAGCGCCCAAATTATCCAATTTGATGGGATTGTCAGATATCCTATGGGAGTGACGATCCACTAATTATATCTGGCCTCATGCCAAGTGGAATTTTGAAGGTGCTAACCAGGATTTTGAATTTGCACCTGGAATGAAACTGGGAGACACATGAAATTAACACAAACTTAGACCATACTCTCAAGATGCTCTTGAACTTATATTTCAATTATACCTTTTGTCCTTTTTCTCCTCGTCCAAATGTTTCCCCACCCTGAAAAGAGAAATTAATAAATCCAGGATCCACAGATGCAAGGATAAAGATAAGCAAGGTCAGAAATAACGCACAATGATAACAGCTATATCAAGTTATGAAATAGCACATTGATTAATTGAACACATCCGATTAACAAACCATTGTATCTTCTGCTAGCATCAAGGTTGTAAAGCATGAATCAGATTGTGTGGAAGATTCTAACCAAGATGTCAAGGAAAAGTCTCTACTATTACGACCTTAACTAGATTCAAGAGGAACTTCCATCAAAAGGTGCTGTCCAAGTATTTTGGACTTCAGCTTCCATAATCCCTAGCTAATATAGATAATTGTAGGGGGATCCTTCTTTGATACAACTAGATAACAACCAAATTGACAGGGTGGTGTAGAACTTAACATTTGAAAACCTCACCTTTATTAGCTCTACCATTTAATTTCTTTGAAACTGGGAAGGATCAAAACACTATTTTATATTTCACAATAATAAGAGGTCTTTGAAAGATAGCTGAATAAAACTTTGGGTATATGTTCTGGTAAATGAGATCTGAAAAATTCTAATTAGAATTTTTCCTGCAAGAAAGGAGGTGGATTCAAGGACAATCTCTCTAATTTTGTAAAAGTCAATATTATCTCTGCTTCCATTTGTTTTAAGTTCTTTAGATACCTTCAGAAATAATTCATGACAAAACTTTGACTTTAGTGAGATGTTGAATCAGGGAAAACACACATATATGAACACATTGATTTATGTCTCTTCCAACCAAGATTTCTACATATGGATGGGCAAAAATCTAAATGAGGGGTGTCCAATCTTAACAACATTAAGACCAGTGAACTTCAATTCTCAGAATGGCTGGCTGGGGTATTCTGGGAGTTGAAGTCCACAAATCTTAAAGTTGCCAAAGTTGGACATCCCTGATCTAAACAGAATTTATAACTATTTTTATATGACTATCACTTTGGCTCTCTGAAGAGGAAGTTTCTACCATCTGTTTTTCCTATGATGAGAAGGTCAAGGATGTTACTGTGGGCAGAGTTCCTGAGACCACTACAGACCTCCTCCATAACTAATCATTTTAAAATATTCAACTGGGGTCTTCAATATCTGGATTTAGAATTTATTTGAGTTAATCCATCAGGACCTATTCTGATTTTTTTAAACTGCATGAGTTTTCTCACAAGTATATGATTACATTAGGATCGAAAAAGGAATATTTAGGGCAGTGATGGCGAACCTTTTAGAGACCGAGTGCCCAAACTGCCACCCAAAACCCACTTATTTATCGCCAGGTGCCAGGTGGGCGTGGCTGTGGTCATGGTAGACTGGGTGGGTGTGGCCAAGGTGGGCATGGTCACCTTGATGTTGCTCGTGGGGAGGGACGCCTGTGGGGGCCGGGCAGGGTTGGGGGAGATGCAGGGGGTCTCTGGCAGATGGGGCGGTGGACAGGAGGCTCGTCCTGTGGGGTGAGGTGAGGCAGGGCAGGGGTGCCAATTGCTGTAGGGCAAGGCAAGGCAGGGGCCAGGGTGGCTGCTGCCTGACACCATCGACCCCCAGACACAGAGGCCAACGAGCACATGGGGGGCGATGGTGTCCGTCAGCAGTCACAGCCTGCCGGCCCTTCAACTGGCACACTCTGGGGCTCTGCAGCCTGCTGCCAGCAGTTCAAAGAAGCCACCTCTGAGCTGGATGGCCAGCCAACAGCTGAGGAGGCGATGCAGTGGGTTGTGCCCAGGAAAAGGAGAGCATGCGAGGCCAGGAGGGATGGGACAGGGGGGAGGGAAACCAGCCGTGCTGGGATGCATCTGGCCATGTGGGACCTCGGCAAGTTAGTGGGCGGCTGGTTGAAGAGGGACGGTTGCCATCTCTGGGGCATGGTGCATCTCATAAATTTTCTTACTGATTCTCCTTTGTCTCCCTTTGGGCCAGGAGGTCCAATTGGTCCAATGTCTCCCTTGACAAAAATAAAGATATGTTAGCAAGAAGGAAGTGATTTCCCCCCACTGACCTTTATTACCATAGCCAGTTTTTTAAAATCAAAACTTAATGGTGAAACATGCATCTCTTGATCTAACATGGAGAGGAAGGAAGGAAGGAAGGAAGGAAGGAAGGAAGGAAGGAAGGAAGGAGGGAGGGAGGGAGGGAGGGAGGGAGGGAGGGACGGAAGGAGGGAGGGAGGGAGGGAGGGAGGAAGGAAGGAAAGGAGGAAGGAAGGAGGGAGGGGGAAGGAAGAAGGAAGGAAGGAAGAAGGAAGGGAGGGAGGGGGAGGGAGGGAAGGAAAGGAAGGGAAGGGGAGGGAGGAGGGAGGGAAGGAGGGAGGGAGGGAAGGAAGGAAGGAGGGGGGAGGGAAGGAAGGAAGGAAGGAAGGAAGGAAGGAAGGAAGGAAGGAAGGAAGGAAGGAAGGAAGGACGGGGAGGATAAAAGATTGCATAGGTAGGATCTGCATCCAAGAATATTGCTTTTGTGCAAATGTTCAAATGGTATCTATCATTTCCAGAGCTGTAGAGTTAGTCAGAAAATACGCATCCACAAATGTTATGAATAAATCAGAATAAATAAAACTACAATGTGTCATATCCTTAGTCTTATTATACTGTCTTTTTCTAGTGCCCTGTGGTCTAAATTCTAATCAATTAAGACAGCCAAATAACTTTAAAGCATTTACAGATGCCATCTGCAAAGATGTTGATGGAAAATAACCATTACTCTGTGCAAACATAAATCATGGGTGAAAAAAAAAACAAATATTAAAAGAAGAAAACGAAAAAGCAGAAGCCTTTAATACCACGTCAGTGTCAAACAAACCACTCGACACATCGAACCAGTTGTGTAAGCAGGTCTGCTTTGAGTGTTAAACAGGAATCTGTATTGTATCTGGCACTATTTTAGAAATGCTGTGGGACACCATGAACGGAATGAGTTTTTAAGGTTGATTTCTTACACAGGCAAAATCCTGTTCAATCATTGCATTTCATTCTATTAAGTTGGCTGTGGTTTAGCATCTTTGGAATCATCTTGAGTGCCAGCCGTGGGTTAAGGTGATGGCTATTAAAAGATAAGAGTGTTGTGGTCATCAGACAATAGTTCCAGTGGTGGGATTCAAATATGTGAACAACTGGTTCTCTGCGTGGATACCACTTCCGGTAATCCATTCTGAGCCTGGGCAACAAAAAATTAGCTACCGATTC